TAAAGAGTCAAGTTCAGAGGCCAGTGTTGTGGCCTAGTGGATTATGCCACTGCCTGCAGTGCTAGCATGTCATGTGGGCACCAGTTCAAGTCCCAGCTGTTCCACTTCTGATCCAGCTCCCTGCTAATGTGCCTGAGAAAGCAGTGGAGGATGGCCCAAGTGCTTGGGCCCCTGCACCCACATGGGAGATCCAGAAGAATCTCCTGGCTCCTGGCTTCCAGATGGTCCAGTCCCAGATGTTGAGGCCATTTAGGGAGTGAATCAGCAGATCTCTCTGTCTCCTACTCTCTCTCTCTCTCTCTATCTCTGTAACTCTGCCTTTCACATAAATAAAATGAATATATATATTATAGTCAAGTTCAGAAGCTTGCATTTATTTTTATTTTATTTTTTCAAGATTTATTTTATTTATTTGAAAGACAGAATTACAGAGAGAGAGGTAGAAACAGGGAGAGAAGTCTTCCATCCGCTGGTTCACTCCCCAGATGGCTGCAATGGCCAGGGCTATGCTGATCCAAAGTCAGGAGCCAGGAGCTTCTTTTGGGTCTCCCACATGGATGCAGTGGCCCAAGTCCAATACTGCTTTCCTAGGTCGTAGCAGAGAGCTGGATTGGAAGTGGAGCAGCTGGGACTAGAACCGGTGCCCAAATGGGATTCTGGCATCTCAGGCCAGGGCTTTAACCTGCTGCACCACAGCGCCGGCCCCTGGGAGCTTGCATTTAGAAGAGTATTTTGAATTTTTTCTTAATGAAAAATCTCTGTCATTGACCCTGAAATAGGTTCAGACACAATAACCTTTAAATCTGTCCTCAAGGGTGCCACCATCACACACACAGAACAGGGACTCTATCCTTGGAACGAATTTGCCACCTGTCAGTGGACATGCTGTAAGGGGGGTAGTTTATTTTATTGGTTTATTTATATATATTTGAGAGGCAGAAAGAGAGAGAGAGGAGAGAGGAGAGAGGAGAGATGAGAGAGGAGAGAGGAGAGAGAGAAAGGAAAAGGTGAGAGAGGAAAGAGAGAGAAGAGAGATATAGATATAATTCCCATCTGCTGGGTTAGTCCCTCAGATGCCTGTAACACCTGGGGTTAGGCAGGGGTAGAAGCTGGGAACCAAGAACTCGGTTGAAACCCTAGCAATGGGAGGATGTGCGTAGGTTACACGCAGATGCTCTGCCATTTGACAAGAAGGGACGAAGCTTCCATGGATTCGGATGCCTCTGGGGGATCCTGGAACCAATCCCCTGCGGATGCCGGGGGATGACTCTTGTCTTTTAGCTCCAACCCACTCTCCTATATTCTTCTTTGCTGGGGCTAAGACCCTAAACTGAATTTCCGGTTTACCAGCTGCCTGCCTGCTCCACTCTGCCAGTGGGTGGTGTGAGAGGGGAGCTGCAAGGGTGGAGGAGTGCATTAGTCAGAGCTCCCCAGGGGGACCGAAGCAATCAAATACGTGGGCATCTCCTGAGAGAGAGCTGTATTGTTAAGGAGCTGGCACATGCCGTTGTGTGGGCTGGCAAGTTTGAAGTCTGCAGAGCAGGCTGTGGGCCGGGGACCCTGGGAAGAGCAGATGTTGCAGCCTGAATCCCAAGGCAGTCTGGGGGCAGAATTGCCCTCTGCCTCGCAGGAAGTGGGTCCTTTCCTCTTCAGGCTTTCAACTGATCGCACGTGGCCCACCCGTGTCACGGAGAGCAATTGACTTTACCCAACGTCTACAGATGTAAATGCCGGTCTCATCTAAGACAGTGCCTTCACAGTGACAACTAGGTGGCGTTCGACCAAATCCCTGGTACCACGGTCTCGCCAAGTGAACACGTAGAATTCACCACCACAAGCAGGGAGAAGGGACTCGCTGCTTCCTGTTCTCCCCAGCAGTGGCAGAGGTCAACTTGCATCTAACTTCCTCTGGCAGAGGTCACACGCACGCAGTCATCACTTGCAGAAGCAACTCCCTTGCTCCTTCCAGAGAGACCAGCACCAGCCAGCAGAGCCTGCTCCTTAGTCTGAGACTAGCTCCGTGGGGCGCCTTCCTCACGGACGTCTTCCTCAGTGTCTAAGTTGTATAATTCCTAGTCTCCCCGCTGTTTTCTTGGCCCTACTGGAGGTAGCTGCTTTTGGCAGTTGCTCTCTCCACGATACCTTAACCTATTTTTTTCTCTTCCCTATGAACAACTTTAAGTCTAGTTAGTAATTCTTTATGCTACATTCTCTGTGTTGCAGTCTCCCATGTGGTTTCTGTCTGCAGGTACAATTCTATGTGTTGTCTACGGTCTGTCCCCCCCCCCCCTCCACCTCCCACAGTGTCACCTCCATAAGGACAGGGGTTATGTCCCTTTTGTCACTGATTGACTCCAATCACCTAATCCGGTGCCTGGCACTTTGTAAGTGTGCAGTGAACTCTCGTGGAATGGCTGAGTGGCTCGATGGACGAATGGATGGTTGCTGGCTTATGATTCATTTGGATTATTTGTTTGAGTTTTCTTCTTAGGTTTTTGTTAGTTTTGGGTACTATAAATGAGATTTAGGAGCTGGCACTGTGGTGTAGTGGGTTAAGCCACTGCCTGAGCACTGGCATCTCACCTGGGCACCGGTTCGAGTCTCAGGTGCTCCACTTCTGATCCAGCTCTCTGCTAATGAGCCTGGGGAAGCAGCGGAAGATGGCCCAAGTGCTTGGGGCCCTGCATCCATGTGGGAAACCTGAATGAAGTTCCAGGCTCCTGGCTTTGACTTGGCTCAGCCCCGGCCATTGCAGTCATTTGGGTAGTGAACCAGCAGATAGAAAATTCTCTCTCTCTTTCTCTCTGTATCTTTGCTTTTCAGATAAATAAATAAATTAATTAATCTATCTTTATAAAAAAGAAAGGGAACAATCTCTGTAGTAAGAAGGGGTAAGACCACACGCAGTCCAGGACAGGGGGAACAGGCAAAGGACGGGGGGGCAGGCCAAGAAGAGACCATGCACTGATTTCTTTTTTTTTTTTTTTTTAATTTTTTGACAGGCAGAGTGGACAGTGAGAGAGAGAGACAGAGAGAAAGGTTTTCCTTTGCCGTTGGTTCACCCTCCAATGGCCGCCGCGGCCAGCGCGCTGCGGCCGGCGCACCGCGCTGATCCGATGGCAGGAGCCAGGAGCCAGGTGCTTTTCCTGGTCTCCCATGGGGTGCAGGGCCCAAGCACCTGGGCCATCCTCCACTGCACTCCCGGGCCACAGCAGAGAGCTGGCCTGGAAGAGGGGCAACCGGGACAGAATCCGGCGCCCCAACCGGGACTAGAACCCGGTGTGCCCGGCGCCGCTAGGCGGAGGATTAACCTAGTGAGCCGCGGCGCCGGCCCATGCACTGATTTCTCCATTTGATCAGAGAATAAGTGAGTGAATTAGGAGCCAAAGATGTCTTGAAGAGCTACCTGGGCATTTACTAAAATGATTTACCCATTAGAAGGACGCGACTTTATCTACTCTTTATTGAGTTCATTCCCTGCCATCTAGAAAGAGCCTGGAAACAAAGCCTTGGAAACAAACACAGACCTCAGTTCACTGAATCCAAGTAAAAGTTGAGTTTATTTTGGCACAAAAAGCTTTTGAAATCCATGTATGGTCTTTTCACAATCGGTACTTTCCAGGTATTTTCTGAAGACCACTCACTTATGACAATTCATCATCTCCACTCTTTACACCGTTTGTTTCTCAATTTTGCTTTATTGGTTTGTTGCATTGGCTAGGCAGTCTCAGTCCACTGTGGAGACAAAATCATATCACCAGGTGTCTTGGTCTTGTTTCTGATCTCAAACATTTCACCACTGCATACGATGTGTGCTGTAGATTTTTTCTGATCTTTAAAAAATTAAATAACTGGGACTGGCATTGTGGCTCAGTGGTTTAAGCCACTGCTTAATATCGGAGGGCCAGTTTGAGTACACTTTCAATCCAGTCCCTGCTAGTGTGCCTGAGAAGGCAGCAGAAGATGGCCCAGGTACCTGGAAGCCCTGTCACCCATGTTGGGGAGACCCAGATGGAGTTCCAGGCTCCTGACTTCAGCCTGGCCCAGATCTGGCTGTTGTTATTTGGGGAGAGAATCAGTGGATAGAAGATTAGATTTCTCTCTCTTTTAATGAAAGATTTATTTATTTGAAAGTCAGAATTATAGAAAGTGAGAGAAGAAGACAGAGAGCGATCTACCATCCACTGGTTCATTCCCTGGATGGTTGTAATGGCCAGGGCTGAGCCAAGACAAAGCCAGGAGCCAGGAGCTTCTTCCGGGCCTCCCACATGAGTGCAGGGGCCCAAGCACTTGGGCCATCTTCTACTGCTTTCACAGGCCATAGCTGAGAGCTGGATCAGAAGTGGAGCAGCGGGGACTCGAACTGGCACCCAAATGGGATGCTGGATATGCCACAGCGCTGGCTCCCAGTGGTCTTCATACTCTACTCAAAACCCAGTCAAGCCTCAGGAACTATAATATCAAACTATTAAAATATAAAACTATTAGTTTTACTGTGAACGCATAGTTTGCATTTACATGTTTACATGCATCATACATATATGAATATGTATGTGTGTCTATTTATACTTCACGTATGTCACCTCAACTGAGCATCACAGTTTTTGTGTATGATGTGTGAACGCAGTGCCTGGTACTCAGAGCAGCTTCTGTTTTCCTGGAAAATAAATGACCTGGGGAAACTGTCACGCAGTGAGCCCCAGATGGACGATGAAGCAAGTCTATTCAGCATCCTTACCTGCGAAATCAGTGACAAAAGCAAGTGAGATGCAGCTAAAGATGGCCCAGGATGTGAGAGCCGGGCAGGCCGGCTCAGCTGTGCCAAGTCAAGAGGAGCCAATCAGTCCCTCGGGCCTGTGGCCCACGTGGCTCCGCCCCAGCTGACAGCTGGTGTGAGTTATTGGTGCTCGGAGACCCAAGCTCTTTGGCCAAAAAGCCGCATGCTTCTGTCACCTGCTGGGTTAACATATTCACTTCAGTTTCTGATTTCTAATTAACAGGAACGACTCTGTTGGAAGCTGGATGCCCTAGCCTTTGAGTAACGGCTGGGAGTGTCTCTGGGTTCCTTGTCACAATCATCAACAGAGGTAGGCACATTTGCTAGCACTGCTGGGCCGATGAAGACACCGGGTTCTGGAGACGTTAGGTGACTGGGCCTGGGCAAATGAGCTTTGAAGCTGTGCACCTGCACCCCAAGCCTGGTGCTCTCAGCACTAAGGCTGCTTTGGGGACAAAATACTGTGTCATCAAAGCACTGAGTGAGCTAAATGCTATTAGTTGCTATTATGGATTCAATGGGACTTAGCTCCCCAAACTTGTGGAGATGTTTAAACTCAAGTCTTTTTTTTTTTTTTTTTAAGATGTATTTGAAAGGCAGTATTCTAAATTGATCTGTATATAAAGAGAATTGAAAATAAATCTTGAGCCGGCGCCGCGGCTCAGTAGGCTAATCCTCCGCCTTGCGGCGCCAGCACACTGGGTTCTAGTCCCGGTCGGGGCACTGGATTCTGTCCCGGTTGCCCCTCTTCCAGGCCAGCTCTCTGCTGTGGCCAGGGAGTGCAGTGGAGGATGGCCCAAGTGCTTGGGCCCTGCACCCCATGGGAGACCAGGAGAAGCACTTGGCTCCTGCCATCGGATCAGCGCAGTGTGCCGGCTGCAGCGCGCCACAGCGGCCATTGGAGGGTGAACCAACGGCAAAGGAAGACCTTTCTCTCTGTCTCTCTCTCTCACTGTCCACTCTGCCTGTCAAAAAATTAAAAAAAAAAAAAAGAAAAGAAATCTTGATGTGAATGGAAGGGGAGAAGGAGAGGGAGAGGGGAGGGTTGTGGGTGGGAGGGAAGTTATTGGGGGGGGGGGGAGAAGCCACTGTAATCCATAAGCTGTACTTTGGAAATTTATATTCATTAAATAAAAATAAAAAAAAAGAAAGGCAGTGTTACTGAGACAGAGAGGCATATCTCCCATCTGCTGGTTCATTCCCCAAATGGCTGCAAAGGTTGGAGTGGGGCTGAAGCCAGGAGCTTCCTCCAGGTCTCCTACATGGGTGCAGGGGCCCAAGCACTTGGGCCATCCTCAGCTGCTTATTGCTCTACATTAACAGAGAACTGGAACAAAAGTGGAGCAGCAGGGACTTGAACGGGTGCCCATATGGGATGTTGGTTTGGCAGCTTTACCTACCATGCCACAAACCAAACCCCAAAGTCTTATATTAGATGATTGATGGATTATGGGTGAGCTTTGATTGAATTATGGCATCTGGGAGGAGGGTCTGGTGGGAGGTCTTTAGGTTGTTGGGGCTTGCCCTGAAGAAGAGCAAGGGGCAAATTAAGAGTTAAGAGGGGGTAGTTAAACACACGAGTTATATCGTGTGTGTCCATCTGCTTCCTGGCTGCCCACATGCTCCACCATGACCGGCCTTCACCAGCGCCAGACCAAGGCGGGCACCAGATCTTGGACTGAGAACCTGCAAACTGTAAGCCCAGCTGAACATTTCCTTCCCAGGAAGCTCCTCGCAGGTATCTCAGTTAAAGTAGTGAAAGACTGACTTGGGGCCGCGCTGTGGCGCAGCTGGTTAACGCCCTGGCCTGAGGCACTGGCATCCCATATGGGCGCCGCTTCTAGTCCCTGCTGCTCCTCTTCTGATCCAGCTCTCTGCTGTGGCCTGGGAAAGCAGTAGAAGATGGCCCAAGTGCTTGGGCCCCTGTACCCACGTGGGAGACCTGAAAGAAGCTCCTGGCTCCTGGCTTCAGATCGGTGCAGCTCCGGACATTGCGGCCATCTGCGGAGTGAACCAGTAGATGGAAGACCTCTCTCTCTGTCTCTCCCTCTCTCTGTAACTCTTTCAAATAAATAAAAATAAATTTTAAAAAAATAAATAAGACTGACTGACTAATATGGTTGCTTTCTCACCCTTAGAAAGCAACCTGGAACCAACCATGCTATGGTTTCAATGCATCCCCCGAAAGTTCACGTGTTGGAAACTTTATCCTCAAGGCCATATGTTGATGGCATTTGGAGATGGGGCCTTTGGCAGATGGTCTGGATTAGATGAGGTCAGGAGGGTGAGACCCCTATGGTGGGATTTGTGGTTTTCTATTTTTTAAATTTGTGTTTTATTTTAGAAGGAAGAGACAGAGACACACAGAAAGAGACAGAATCTTCCATTTACTGGTTCACCCCCAAATGCATGCCATAGTTAGGGGTGGGCCAGGCCGAGTCCAGGAGCCTGGAACCCAGCCTGGGTCTTTGACATGGGCGGCAGGGAGTCAACTCTCTGAGCTGTCACCGGCTGCCTCCCAGGGTGTGCATGAACAGAAAGCTGGGTCAGAAGTGGAGGAGCCGAGATGGACACCAGGCACTCCAATATGGAACGCACGCATCCTAAGGTGATGTGGGCAGCGGATAGGTTAACGTCTGATCTGTGTTCTAGCCTCCCACAGAGACGGAAATCCTAAGCAGAGCCTGGCATCATGTGCAAATAGGAACAGAACTTATTTGGCAATGAGGGAATAAACATATATTCACATGTGAGCCTGAGTCATCCCACACTGAGAAATACCCAACACGAGTGGGTGGAAGAATTGCCCGGGCCGGCGCCGCGGCTCAGTAGGCTAATCCTCCACCTTGTGGCGCCAGCACACCGGGTTCTAGTCCCGGCCGGGGCGCCGGATTCTGTCCCGGTTGCCCCTCTTCCAGGCCAGCTCTCTGCTGTGGCCCAGGAGTGCAGGTGGAGGATGGCCCAAGTGCTTGGGCCCTGCACCCCATGGGAGACCAGGAGAAGCACCTGGCTCCTGGCTTCGGATCGGCATAGCTCTGGCCGTTGCGACCATTTAGGGAGTGAACCAACAGAAGGAAGACCTTTCTCTCTGTCTCTCTCTCTCTCTCACTGCCTGTGACTCTACCTGTCAAATAAATAAATTAAAAAAAAAACCACAATGAGATTTTTGAGGTCACATTAGGAGTCTTTATCAGCCAGCTGGCGACCACCCTCTCACAGAGCAGGTCCAGAGAAGACGGCCCCGAGGTGCAGTGGCCGGGCTTTTTTAAAGGCAGAAACTACATTTTGGTGGCCTTGGCCATTATCAAGCAAGCAAGCAGGGTACAGAAGCCAGAAATATGCCGGTTACAGCCGGTCGAGCAGACCGATGTCTGTCACTTGTTTCTCTCAAAGGAACAGTCCCTGCTCTGAAGCAACCAAGCAAGATCACCTATGACCCCCAGGCAGGCTGTGCCCCGTGGGAAAACCTTAAACTTACAGCCACCCTGCCACAAAATGAGCTGATGTTCGAGGCGCTTGTCCCAACCAAACTAATCTCCTAAAAAGAACCCACGAGAAGAAAATCAACACATTTTAGAGGAATACGACAGAATCCAGAGTGCCCAAACCTAACAGTGACAATGCAATCTCGAGTCATCTGACAAAGGTCTGTTTTCAGGGGAAGAGAAAATCAGCAGAACCTGACCCGGAGGTGGCAGATGAGGATTTCAAAGCCGCCGTGCGAGCTGTGCTCTGCACAGTAAGGAGAACGTGTTCTAAGGAAGGGGCCGATAGGCAGTCTCGGCACAGGGAGACAGACCGAGAAAGAACCAAACGGAAATTCTGCAACTGTAAAATGCGCTCTCTGAAGTAAAAATGGTCCCGGGTAGGCTGAAGTCTCCAAGGATGACAAAGAGAAGGTTCCAGGCCCCGTTGAGAAGTCAGGCACAAAAGGAAAATGAAAAAACTGGCTCGAGGGCTGGGAACACAGAATAAGAAACGCTGGTCTGCAGCGATGGGGCGGATCTCTGTGGTCGCTCGGAAAGCATTCAGGAGCCTTGTTTCTTTCCCTTTTAAAAAATATTTTAAAAAGTTTATTATAGCTATTTTGAAATACTAACAAGAGAAGAAAATCAACATCAATTTTGTAAAAAGATTTATTTGAAAGGCAGAGGTACAGAGAGAGCGAAGGAGAGAGAGAGTGAGTTTCCATCTGCTGGTTCACTCCCCAAATGGCAGCAACAGCCAAGGCTGGGCCAGGCCAAAGCCAGGAGCCAGGAGCTTCATCCGGGTCTCCCATGTGGGTGCAGGGGCTCAAATACTTGGGCCATCTTCAGCTGTGTTCCCAGGTGCATTAGCAGGGAGCTGGGTTGCAAGTGGAGCAGCTGGGACTCAAACTAGTCCCATATAGGATGCTGACACTGCAGGTGGAGGCTTAACCTTCGACGCCATAGTGCTGGCCCTAATAAACATCAATTTTAATCTTACCACCTAGAAACATCACTGTTTACATTTTGGTATGTATTCTTCCAGTCTGCTAGAATATGTCATTTTTATTTTACCAAAATAACATCACATTGTGTTTACTGTTTGAAATACTTTTATTTTTGTTTATTACAATTTTATTTATTTGTTTATTTGCCAGGTGGGGAAGGAGAGAGAGAGAGAGAGAGAGGGAATTTCTATTCTGGGTTCCTGGCTTCAGCCTGGCCCAGCCCCAGCTGTTGTGGCCATTTGGGGAGTGATCCAGTAGATGGAAGACCTCTTTTTGTCTTTCCTTATCTATCACTCTGCCTTTCTTTTTTCTTTTCCTTTTTTATTTTTAAGATTTATTTATTTATTTGAAAGTCAGAGTTATAGAGAGGGCTAGGCAGAGACAGAGGCAAAGAGAGAAAGGAGAGGAGGGAGGTCTTCCATCAGCTGGTTCACTTCCCAAATGGCTGCAATGGCCAGGGCTGGACCCGGCCAAAGCCAGGGGCCAGGAGCTTCTGGGTCTCTCGTGTGGATGACAGGGGCCCAAGCACCTGGCCACCTTCCACTGCTTTCCCAGGTCATAGCAGAGAGCTGGATCGGAGTGGAGCAGCTGGGACACAAACTGGTGCCCATATGGGATGCCGGCACCCGTAAGGCGGAGGCCCCCCAAGCAGCATCTTAACTGCTGTGCCAGACACCTGTCCCAGAGCAATTTTTGGTAATGTGAAAAAATCATTTTGATGTAATGGCAAATGAAAAATCCAGAATGTAAAATTTTATGTAGGATTTCTCAGCTCTGTATAGACCAGCAGGAAATCCAGCAAAAATATTAACCAAAGTGGTGTGTGAACTGGAAATGCTTTCAGCTCCAAGGAACAGCAGACCTAGTTTCCGGTGGCTTGAACACAGACCGGTTCCCGTTTCTGTTGTACGTAGGGAAAGGAGGTGGTGGCAGAGGGCCTGGTGGCAGCAGCAGCACCACACCAGCACTGCGAGTCTCTTTCTTCATGGTCCTGAGGTGGCTGCCCACGTTAGAGGCAGGAAGGAGGGAGGGGAGTGGCTTCATACCTATTGTGTCTGCTCCTTTGATCAGCGACATCAAGAACGCCCCCTCGCCCCGCCCAGCACCCAGCTAGCGTCTGCTTATTTCCCTTAACCAAATTGCATCCCGCAGACACCCCAGGTAAGCGGAGCCTGCGGAACAGAGCGGCGATGGGGAACAGGTGGGAACATCTGTCAGGCTAATAAGCAACGATTCCCACTCTGCTTGTTCCTTGTACATGAGCCTTGTGTGTGGGTGTTTGAACTCCTCTTTTTTTTCTTTTAAATTATGTATTCAGTCAGTTTATTTGAAAGGCAGAGAGAGAGAGAGAGAGAGAGAGAGAGAGAGAGAGAGAGTTCTAACCACAGTTCATCCCCACAAATGCCCACAATGGCCAGGGCTGGGCCAGTCTAAAGCCCAGGCCAGGCAGTGGGTCTGGGCCTCCCACGTTGGGGCAGGAACCCAGCTACTGGAGCCATCATCTTCCTGCTGCTCCTCCGGCTGCAGTCAGCAGGAAGCTGGAATGGGGAGCAGAGCTGGATATGGAACCCCGGTACTCAGATGTGTGATATGGGTGTTACCACTGCATTCTACACGCATTAGTAATCTCTATAGAAAAAGACAACAGACACCAGTTTAAAAATCCCTCTTGAGACCTTGGGCTTCTGTTTGTGGAGTTGTTGACATTGTCATCGGCCAGCCACGTGCTGACGCCAGGCATCGCCGTGGCACCTCCGGTGACTCCCTCCCCTCACAGGGCGTGGCTGGCTGGGGCAGCTCTCACGTGTTGAGCTCCTGCCAGGCACTGTGCTGGCTCATCTGATCCAGCAACTAGGTTAAATAACCCAATCAAAGCTGGATCCCAGATGATCGCACCAAGCTTTAATTTTGGGAGTTCCTGCCACTTAGCAAGCTCAAGAATGGTTGTGTTGAATGAAGGCAGAGTCAATGAAACCGTGGCTATGTAGGTTTTTTTTTTTTTTAAACTGCACCATTACTTGATAATTATTTCTGGTAGAGCAGCCATTCATTTTAATTAGCGCAATTGAAAAATAACAGGCTATAATCATTGCCTGCAAGAGAGAAGCTCTGTGCTCCCTTGCCTGCATCTCATAGCCCTAATTGCCGGATGTAAATAACTAATATGACTACGGATGAAAAGCCAGCAGGGGATTTGTTTCCTGAGAGGTCTTCATAAATCTTTACGATGAGATCATTACACACACACACACACACACACACACAGCAGCAGAGAAAATGCAGTGTGAACCTTCACGGAGCTTCAGGAATCATCCCCCTTTTGCTAACTTTTCTGCTTATCTCCCTTCCTCCCATTTATTTTTAGAGTATTTAGAGCAAACCCCAAGACTCATTTCACGCAGGCAGTTCTGTATCGGGAATGAGAAGGCTTTTGTGTGTGGCCCTGCATTTTGCTGTCTTCAGGTGTGGGGGCCCAGACAGGGGTGATGCAAAGCTCAGCCCTGGGCGCTGGGTTGCTGGGAGGCACGGGCAGGGAGGGGCCCATTGGGTGGGGAGGGGCACACTCCCATTCCCCCGAGGCTGTGCCATTTGCTTGGCTCCTAACCCAAGGCACTCTTCGCTAACTCCTCCAGGCTCAGCAGGGGGACTGTTCTCACAAGCTACGAACCAAACCGGAATCTACTTCCCTTCACTGAGACATCTGGGGAGTGTTGCTTCTGAAACTATTTTTGGTGTGAACATGTCGCTCAAGCTGCCGCAGCTATGTGGGAATTTTGAAGTGTCAAAGGCGTATGACTGCAGCTGGGCGGAGGCGAGTGGGCAGGGTTATTACAAAGCCCAGCCAGCTCCTTTTCAGCTCCCTGCTCACCTCGGCTCTGAACGCCTTAGAAGGGCTGCACCCAGGTTAGGATGCAAACGGTGGCACAGGTGTGGCTGGGAGGAGCTGGTGGTCTGGCAGAGGGGCCTTACGGGCCTGGGGACCCTTGGCATCCTGGGAGATCCTTGGAGGTGATTCGTGGAGGGTTCCTTGGAGAATGCCGGGGCTGTGTTTGCAGATGGTTCCTCCAGGTAAGAGACAAGGTTCCTGCTTTCTAAGTCTCACACAGGGTCCTGGGATCACACTGGACCCAACGACACATTTCCCAGGGTGAACCAGAAAAAGGATCCTAGAAGGAGCCATTGGGAACAGCAGCTAAGGAGGAAGCCAGAGGGGCCCCAGCTGGCCAGGGAGTGGAGTCACTGGGGGCCGGCTGGGGGGCGGGCAGTGGAGTGAAGGCCATGGATCCAGGGTGTACAGTGAGAATGTGGCCTCACGGGACGGCGACCCATGACTGCCACCACCCTGGGCTCAAGAAACAAGGGAGGCCCTGTGGGGAGGTTGATGACACATCGCAACCCCGTCCCAGGGGACTTGAGGTGTCACTGGGCTGAGGTGAGGAGGCTGAGCGGCAACAGTGAAAGGCCTTGGGGCCTCCATCCCCACGCCCACCTCCCCCTGGGCCTGCCCCCTCCACGGTCCTCCCAGGTAGGACCCCAACAGGAAACCGGGGAGCCTGGGCTCTGAGAGGCGGGGGCAGGGAGAAAGGAGTAGCCCAACCGGGGTGATGGGGTTCCCAGTCCTTGGGAAGGCTGCTCCGGGATGCACCGTGGGGGCCTCTATTCCGCAGGCCGGACCGAGAGTAACTTCCGGCTTCCGGTCGTGCTCCTAAGGAGCTTAGAAGTCGCCAAATGAACAAGCCGAGAGCTCTCCTGAGATCACTAAGAGAAGGGCGGGCACAGGGCAACGGCTGCCCTGCTGGAGAGACAGACAGGTGGGTCCTGAGCATCCAAACTTCCTGGGGCCGGAACCGTGGGCAGGAGCCTCTGGGGGACCCCGGGCAGGGGGAGAGGAGCCCGAGATGGAACGGAAGAATTACTTGAGCTCCAGGTGGACAGGTGTGAGAGACGAGCACTCCCGGGGCCCCCACCCTTGCCTGAGTTTTACCTCCAGGAGCTGGACCAAGTTCTCACAGTGAAGATCAGAGAAAAACCCCTCAGTGGCTTCCAGCATGGGGGGGGGGGGAGGAGCCGTTTTGAAATATGCTGGAGCGTTCTCTTCACAAAGCCTGACCTCCGGAGAAACCATTTTACCAGAGCCGGATCTGCTGCTGTTTTACCAAACCCCTGGGGGAGGGAGATTACCCCTGTGGTCATCTGCCCCGTCCTGGGTGCAGGCTCCCTAAAACCTGGGTCTAATCGCAGACTTCCCCGGGCTTCTCCTCCCAGCCCTCGCCACAGCGCACTGCCCACGGCAGGTCCTTCTACCTGGCACGTAAGGACCACCTTTCGACAGAGGCTACAAGGCGCACCAAAAAGCAAAACCCAGGGCTGGGCGTTTGGCAAGGCTGTTAGACACTGCTTGGAATGCCTGCGGCCTATACTGGAGGGCCTGGTTGGAGTCCAGCTTCACCTGTGATCCAGCTTCTCGATAATGAATGCGCTGGGAGGCAGCAGATGTTGGTTCAAGTACTTGGTCCCTGCCACCCACACCAGGAGGCATGCATGAAGCTGAGTTCCTGGCTCCTGGCTCCTGGCTTTGGCCTGACTGTTAGGGGCATTTGTGGAGTGAACCAGCAGGTGGGCTCTCCCCCTCTCTCTGCTTTTCAACTAAAATTTAAAGAATTAAAAGGTGAAAACTGCAGTTTGAGGAGTAGGCATGAGCACCAGACTGAGATACACCGGGGATACTGGAATTACCAGGCCAGGAGCTCAAACAAGCAAAACCACGATTAGCGTGCTGCAGGCCTGACAGAGCAGAGCAGGGCTGGCTTCTGCGCCTGGGCCCCTGGCTTGCTGTCACCTCACCTGGGAGCTCCCAGCATCCCCAGCCGCAGGAATGGCTGCCCTGGAGCAGCTTCTTAGAGTGTAAATGCAACTGTCACCAACAGGGGGCGCTCACAGCCCACGCCACGGGCTTTCTAGTTGTGCAGGAAGAACAACACTCAGACTCGGATGCGAATGTGAGTGGGGTCCCCAGGGCTAGGAGGGAGCCTTCTGCTTTACCACATCTTCATGGGAGAAGCTAAGGAGAGGCGAGTCCTTGGAAGTCATAACGAACCTAGTGTCAGCCAGAGGGCCCTCGATGACCTCCCACCTTCTCCTTATCCAAAGGGGACACTGAGGCTGAGAGGAAGCAAAATCACGGGGCAAGATGGCATGGGGGGGGGGTTTGCCTCTAAGGCCTTCCCGGCAATGGTCACGTCCCCCTTGTCCCTGCCTTCCCAGGGCAGGGTCTGCTCTGCACCGTGGCGCCTGGGACGTGGGCCTCTGGGCATGCCTGACCCCAGGCCTGGGCGCGGGCCTGGCTGGTGGACGCGGGAGGGGTTCACTTTGTCCTTCAACGCGGAACTCATTTCAGACAGCGGAGGGCGGTCTTATGTCCTGGTGTCGGGCGTATCGACGGCTTTTATTTTCCGCTTCATAACTTCCAGAGCTTCTCAAAGTTTTACAATCAACATTTCTAATTTTATAACCTTTCCCCATCTTATTTTGAAAAGGAAGGAATTTGGGGGTGAGGGTGGGGGTGGGCAGGGAAATGCCTAGCTCTGAGACCCCCCGAGCAAAGCCAACCAGTGGCAGAGCCCCGTGCTGGGAGTGGTCCTCCCCAGGCAGCCGCCCTCGCCGCCTCACTCTTGCTCCTGCCATGTCCTTCTCCCTCTACCACTGCCACGTCGAACTCATTTTTCAGGGCCCAACAGCAGCTCTGCCAACCGCGGGAAGGTGTTTCGAAGCCTCACCTCACCCAATTGGCACAGCCGTCGTCTGCTCCTCTGACCACCACAACACGTTACTCGGACCTGTTTTATAACTTGCACCATCTCCTGCCTGGTCCTGGAGTCACCTGCACTGGGTATCTGTCTCCTCCTGAACTGAGACCTCCTTGTGGGCAGAGCCTGCCTACTATTTTCTTTGTATTCCTAGTGCACCCTCAGCCTGGCACAGGCTAGACTTGAAACGACTGTTAGCTGAACTTAGGCGACTCAAAACCGTAACATCCTAAGAGGAGTGCTGCATAATCAGGTACTGCAGGGAACAACTGACAGGTAGGGTAGGCTGAGTCCGGGGGGGCGGGAGGGGAGCCGTGGCGTCTTGCAGCACCTGGCCTCTACGAGATGCCAAGAGACGCGCCAGCTGTGACCACCAGAAGATGTTGGCGGTGTCCCCCCGAGAGCAGAATTGCTGCTAGTATGGAGAGTCACTGCTCTACCATCTGCAAGAGGTTCTTACAAACAGTCCCTGGAGGCAGGAACACCCATGTGACAGCGAAAAAGGCAAGGCTCTGCAGCGTGTAGGGGTCTCCAAGCCCAAGTGCAGGCCTCGCAGGACCCCAGCAAAGTCTTTGCTTCCCCTCTGGGTACGCCCACTCCACCCCCACCCTCGTGCCCTGGTTCTACGCTCTCCTGCTTCCTCCTGCCCCGCCCCTGGCCTGTGCCCGGCTGTGACCCTGCTGGCCCACGCAGAGAAGGCCGGGCCCTGCCTGACGCGCCGCTCACATCCTCTTCAGCTCCGTGGGCTCATCTCCGTGCTTGAACACGCTGATGGTGACCTGGCCCGTCTCGGAGCCATACTTGTTCTTGACGAAGACCCCGTAGCGTCCGCTGTCCTCGCTGTTGACCTTCTCGATGGTGATGGTGACCTCCGAACCCTTCACCTCCATGCGGTAGCGGTCCAGGAAGGTGACGGGCTGGTCGTTCTTCAGCCAGGAGATTTCAGGGGCGGGGTCTCCTGAGATGACGCAGGTCAGGCATAGGGTCTGTTTCAAGGGACAGGAAGAGAACAATCGCATCACCTTGGAACTTGAACTTGGCACCTTCTTGCCCCCAGAGAGCCCCTAGGACAGGCTGCTCTTTGTGATAAACTCACTTTATTGAAACCCATAAAAGGGAGTGTTGTGTTAGTTCAACTCCATGTCTCCACCCTCCGCCTTTCTCTGGCAATATTTACCAGTTAAGATTTCAGACTTTGTTATTCCAGTGCTTATCTGCCTCTGGATGGCCTGCACTTTGCTTTATTGCCTTCTGTCCTATATGTCATGATTTTACCATGCAAATAGATTAGGTTGCTGTAGGACAAAGATGTTTGCACTGAGTTGGAGAATTCTTGACCAAGCTCTGATACGGAGCTGCGGTGATAAAGTGTTCCACACCCGGGCTGGGGTGTGACTTTCAATGCCGCCCCTTCAGGCTGTGTGGCCTTGGGCAAGTCCCTTAACTACTTTGGGCCCCAAGTTTCCTTAGCCATAAAGTGTGACCAGGAATCCTCCATGGCACATGTTGCCTTGATGGCGAGCTGAGCTGAAATGTGGAGTGTGGTTGGAAGAGGGCCTGGCCCAGGGTAAGCGCCACAGAGGTGAGCGAGCACTTTCAAGAACCCTAGGCTACAAGGGCTGGGAGGGAGCTTCCAGCAGAGCTCCTTGGAAAGCCAAGTTCACGGACAGAAAGCTGTGGCGCCCAGGGCTGTCTAGAGAAAGGGGGGTAGAGCTGGGTCGAGCCCCGACCCGGGTGTGACGCCAGGGCCGTGCCTTTCCTTTGTATCCCGTGCAACCCCTGAGGTGGGATCCCTGGACCCCTCTGGGGCCCCCAGCCCCTTGGCCAGCCAGCCCCTGCTTGGCTCCTGAACTACACAGCGCCATGTTTCACAACCTGCAGGGAGTGCGTGAGGGAACACGCCGCCCGGGAGGGTCCTACCTTATCCTCCATGATGGTGGCCACGTCCGGCAGGCCCCTGACCACTTTGGCACGATCTGGAAGGGAAACAGGAGACCCCGGTGACGGTGCTGTCCTGCCAGCTCCCCCCGGAGGCAGGTCCCCACAGAGCTGAGCTGCACTATTTTTTGTTCTATTTTCATCATTTTGGCTGAAGTCTTTAAAATAGTAGTCCAGGCTTCAGAAGCAGAAGATGGGGGGGGGGGGTAGTGTGCCGCTGCCACCAAGGTGAGATAGTTAGGTGCGGCGGTGCTCGGAGGGGATGGTGAGATGCCCCTGTCCTCACATCCTGGGACAAAGGGTAAGTGAGGCTGCTCAGGGACATAGAACAGCAAAATCCGCACAAGGGCGGGGAGGGTGCCCAGTGGGGTCAAGAAAAGTGGGACCCAAGGGCCGGCGCCGTGGTGCAGTAAGTTACGCCTCCACCTGTGGCACCGGCATCCCATGTAGGCGCCAATTCATGTCCCGGCTGCTCCACTTCTGATCCAGCTCTCTGCTGTGGCCTGGGACAGCAGTGGAAGATGGCCTAAGTGCTTGGGTCCCTGTGCCCATGTGGGAGACATAGAAGAAGCTCCTGGCTCCTGGCTTTGGATCAGCACAGCTCTGGTTGTTGTGGCCATTTGGGGAATGAGCCAGTGGATGGAAGACCTCTCTGCCTGTCATTCTGCCTCTCAAATAAATAAATCTTAAAAAAAAAAAAAAAAGTGGGACATGAGCTCTTGGGGCTCCGTCATGCTGGTCAAAGCAGAGACCTGATGGCCACTGTGGGCAGACAGGAAGAGAACTTGGTCCTAAGTCACAGGCAGAGAGCCAGAGATCCCTGTGCTGGCCTGGAGGCAGTGGACAGCTCAGCCTGGACCATGGACTGCAGATGTGCAGTCAGCCAATGCCAATGGTGGCTGTCCAGTGTGGGAGAGGGGACAGGTCCCTGACCCAGGTGGGGAGGGCCCAGAGATGGGCGCTGTCATGGGCAGGAACTTTTGCCAGGCCTCCCTGGATGGGTGAAACCATCGCTTCCCTCGGGACGTGTCCCTGAACTCTGCTTCCTTACGTGGGGCCCCAGAGGGGCATCCTGTCCCAGGACCTGGCTTTAAGGATGGGAAGGACTGTCCTCCCGGCCTGGGCTGGCCTTGGGGCTGTGCTCCCTCCACCATGGCGGCTTCTCCCCAGGGCATGGTCACTTAGACCTCCCGACTGCCCCCTTGCCAAAGCCAGTGATGAACTTGAGGCCTGGACTTCCCATCAGGTGGGGACACCCAGGGACTGTGATGTCCCAGCTGGTGGCGTCGTGGAGTTCCCCAGCTATCCAGGCGCTGCCGCTGGGGCCCACCTGGCAGGGCTCTGGGTGCTCTGCTGCCCGGGGCTTTCCCTTATGGGGGTCCCTGCTTTTCATCTGCTGGGCCAGTGATGCTGAGAGCCAGGCTTCCAGCACCAGGCCCTTCAGAACCGGCTGGGACAAGCTCATGCATGCGGACGTGGGGGTGGCTCCCACAGCTGCCGAGGCCATGTGTCCCTCTGGGGCTGGCGCTGCGTCCTGGATTAGAGGAAGCTCCAGTGCCCCAAGAGCCACAGCTTCAGCTCCCTCAGGAAGACCGGCCCAGCCCCCTTCCTCTCTAACCCTGTCTTTGGGGTCGCACCCACGTTGCCCACTTGGCACCACGGTCCTTGCCGGGCACTTGGGGACCCACGATCTTGGGGATCCCTCGCCTCCTTATGTGTCTCCCTGTGTGCCGCAGCGCCCAGGTCTCTCTCCCCTGCATCCCTGAGGACGCAGACCCCGGGGGGCGGGGCGGGGCTTTAGCAGCCTGCGCTCCGGGAAGCAGAGCGGGACTCCAACAGAAACGCAGGAGGAGCGGCGGACTCACTCTTCTCGATGATGGCCAAGGCTCTGAAACAGACATGGGAACAGGTCAGGGTTAGCCTTGGGCAAGGATGACCCTGCCTGGGCAGGGAAACCCACGGCTGCCAGGAGGCGCAAGAAACACAGGAAACTCACTTCAGTCTCTGGTGTTCAGCCAGGGCGTCCTCAAAAGCTGTGAGGAGGACACAGAGGGAGAGGGGAGCGTCAGGGCCTCTGCTGTGGGACCCTCAGGGGCAGGGCGACCCCCAGGGACACAGCTTAGCCCTGACTGTCCTCCCCGATCCAGCATCTCGGGACAGGGACAGGGCCAGGACTGGGTGGGGAGCTGGGATCCCCCCCGCCCGCCAGAGCCCCCGGCATCTCCCCATGGGTTTCTCAGCAGACACCAGGCAGACGGCCGGCTCACCTTGCCCCGAGAGGTCCACCGAGAGCTGCCGCGCTTCCTTCCCGGCGGCTATCTCCAGGGTGTACTTGCCCTTGTCCGAGTCTTTGGGGTCCAGGATGTGCAGCCAGATCTCATCCAGGGTGGTGCCTGCCCGCAGCCGGTCGCCGGTCTCCAGGCGTTTGTCTCTGCGTGTGTGTGTGTGTGTGTGTGTGTGGCAGGGGGGACAGGGCAGTGGTTAGGGCTGGCCACCTGCAGGTCGGCAGAGGGCTCCCGCCCTGGCTGCACGCTCGGGTGAGACACTCAAGACACATCCACCCCACCCTCCATTTACCAGGCCACCGCTCATTCATCCATCCTCCAGCTCAGCTTCCATTCATCCATCCTCCAGCTCAGCTTCCATTCATCCATCCTCCAGCTCAGCTTCCATTCATCCATCCTCCAGCTCTGCTTCATTCATCCATCCTCCAGCTCAGCTTCCATTCATCCATCCTCCAGCTCTGCTTCATTCATCCATCCTCCAGCTCTGCTTCCATTCGTCCATCCTCCAGCTCTGCTTCCATTCGTCCATCCTCCAGCTCAGCTTCCATTCATCCATCCTCCAGCTCTGCTTCATTCATCCATCCTCCAGCTCTGCTTCATTCATCCATCCTCCAGCTCTGCTTCCATTCGTCCATCCTCCAGCTCAGCTTCCATTCATCCATCCTCTAGCTCTGCTTCCATTCATCCATCCTCTAGCTCTGCTTCCATTCATCCATCCGTCAGAGTGTGTGGCTCAGGGGCCACATGCCGGTGCCGTCTGTGTCTGTGAGCTGTCACGCCAGGGGCAGTGGCCACCACTCTTCCCACCCCGGGAGCCTCTTCCTCACTTCTTAACTTTCTTCCTCTTAAACCGTCCCACTCTCCCCTAACCTTTGGAAACCATATAAAGTTAAATTCCTTCTTCTTCTTTTTCTTCTTCTGCTTCCTTTTTTTTTTTTTTTTTTTAACTTAAGTGTCATTCCTGGAGACTCCTGGCCCATGTCCCCAGTGTGGGCTTTGTCACTCTGGCTAGGCCTCTGGCCTTGCCTCTCACCCTGTTGATGAACTTGACCAAGTCAGTCTAACCGTCCCCATAGAACAGAGGCAGTTATGTCTGCTCCACAAGGCTGAGGCGTGCTCACACTAAGAAGGAATGGGCAACTCTGTTCTCAAGCTGGCTGGGGTGACTTGGCTCCTGGCTGGGGCTCTGTGGATCCTCATCTGTCCTGCCTTCAAGCCCCGGCCTCCAGCTAGTTGTCAGCCCACAGGTCCTTCTGCCTACACCATTGCCCCTGAGCCTGGCTGCTCGAGTTTGCTGAGGCTGCACAGCCCACAAGGGCACCACAGCCCACAAGGGCACCACAACCACCGACTATTGGGTTCTGCCTGCTGCCGCATCACGCCCTCCCCACGTTCCCGGAAGCTACTCTGAGGCTGAGGTCTTGCTGCAGCCATGGATATTCCAGAAAGGTCTTCCACCATCATGGTTCTCTGTTCCCTGGGGGATCTTGGGAAGGCCCTCTAGTCTTCCGCCTGCTGCTTCCTACCCCAGCTCTCTCTGGGGACCAGAGGGCCCGAGGGAGACCCTTGTCTCTGGCAGCCCTCTGGTTCTGGGCTCTGCCAGGAGGACTGGGCAGGGGCAAGGAGGGAGGGAGGCCCCTGTGTGGCAGGTGCTGGGCTGTGGCTCCTGGGCAAGGCCAAAACCTACTTGTGGAACCAGGTGGTCTTCATGTACTCCACGTTGTAGTACTTGACCTTGCTGAAGATCCGGATCCCCTCTTCGGTCCCCTGGATTTTCAGTGGGGTTGCAGAGAGGGCTGGGGAGACAGGAGAAGCATGAGTCCTGGGGCGGCAAGGATCAGAGGCAGCCCCTACGGAGGTCGGGTGGCAGGGGGACCAGCACTGTCAGGAGGCAGCCCAGATGGGAGGGACTGGGCCAAGGGTAGGCTGCTTACCACCGATCCTGCCCAGCTCCGTGAAGATAGCGTCCAGGGCTGCAGGGAGACAGAGAGAATGGTCAGCTGGCCTGGGCTCCCCTGGGGATACCCGGGGTGGGGCCCCCCAGGTGGGGCTCCTGAGCTGCTCCCAGTGCACAGGGAGCACAGCAGGCGGGAAGGACTGGGGCACCCACTGATGCGCCAGCGCAAGCATTTCCCTGCAGGCTGAGCGGCGGGAGTGAGCCCAGGCTCTCCACCATGTGTACGGGAGTCAGAGCCGTGCACTCCAGGCCCCTGCTGACCAAGTCCCTTCACCTCCCAGTGCCGCCCCCTCCCCCAGTGCCACGGGGGCCCCCATCAGTTTTACCCTGCAGGTCCCACTCCCAGCCGCTCTTGGCCTCGCCAGCTCCTACCTTCATCCATGAGGTCCAGGATGGTGTCGTCCTCGCCTCGGTCATCGGCGACCACGGCTCTGTAAACTCCCCGGTCCTCTCTGGACAGCTGCAAAGGAGGACGGGGGAGACGGTGTCGGCGGGCTTCCGGAGGGCGGACGGACAATGCATCAGAGGTTCCAGGCTCCGGGGCTGCCCCTAGCACTGTGCCCTGGGGACCCTGCCTCTCCCTGGGCCTCTCCCTGGGCCTCTCCCTGGGCCTCATCTGAGCTGGGCGGTCTCTCCAGAGCCCTCTGAGTCCTGCGCCAGGCTGGTCTGGGCCTGGGCAGGGCTGAGGGCAGGAACGGCCAGCCCCCCTTGGGGTTTCCAGGCACAGCAGACCCTCCGTGCAGACCTTGGCTGCGCCTGTACACCCTTCATGGGCCACCCCTCCCCTGGGGGCCCCGGATGGAGGGGTGCCCCTGCCCTGCCCCCACAGGAAGGGATTCTTCTGGTACTTGTTTATCAGCCCCAAATGAAATGGGGACCATTGGGGCCAGCACTGTGGTATAGTGGGTAAAGCCACTGCCTGCATTCCATATGGATGCTGGTTTGAGTCTCGGCTGCTCCTCTTCTGATCCAGCTCCCTGGTAATGTGTTAGGCTAATGTAAGCAGTGGAAGCTGGCCCAAGTGCTCGGACTCCTGCACCTGTGTGGGAGACCCAGAAGACGCTCCTGACTCCTGGCTCCAGATCAGCCCAGCCCTGACTGTTGTGGCTATTTGGGAAGTGAGCCACTCACCTTTCAAAATAAATAAATCTTTTTAAAAAGAGATTAGAACCAATACTCAGCAAAGAACTTGGTTGTGCTTAAAAACAAAAATATTTTAAAAATGTATTTGAAAGACAGAGGGAAGGAGGGGAAGGGAGAGGGAGAGAGAGAGAGAGAGGGAGAGAGAGAATCTTTCATCTGCTGATTGCCTACAACAGCCAGGCTGAAGCCAAGAGCCCAGAACTGCCGTTGGATCTCCCACACGGGTGGCAGGGGTCCAAGTACCGCAGCCATCACCTGCCGCCTTCCAGGATCCAGCAGCAGGAAGCTGGACCTGAAGCGGAGTAGCTGGGACTTGAACCGGCGTCAGTTCCTGCTGGTAGCACAGTGGCACATCCCTGCGGAATGCAGGTGTCCCAAGTGGGGGCTTCACCTGCGGAGCCACGACGCCGGCCCTGGTTGCGCTTTCAAGCTAAGGTCCAGAGATCCGAAGTGAGACCCCCGTGGCACACAGCCCCTCCCCAGGGCGGAGGGGCAACGCGAGGGCTCTGCAGAGAGCTCACGGCAGGGCCAGGTGTTTGGTGGAGCAGCGAAGGTGCTGCCTGGGACCCCCACAGCCCACATCAGAGAGCCTGGGCTGGGGTCCCGGCTCCGCTTCCGGTTCCAGCTCCCTGCTAACGTGCACGCTGGGAGGCAGCGGTGATGGCTCAAGTTGTTGGGCCCCTGCCACCCACATGCAAGACCTGGGTGGAGTTCCAGGCTCCTGGCTTCAGCCTGGCCCAGCCCTGGCTATTGTGGCCATTCTGGGGAGCAAACCACTGGATGGGAGATCTCTCTCTGTCCTTGAAATGAAATGAACGTAAATATTTTTTTAGAGTTCGTGGAAAAATTGGAATGCAGACTTATATTTAGTTTGCCTTAAAGAGTGTTTGAAATCCACGCGTGTTCTCCTGATGGGGCACATTTTCCGGGATGGTTCTGAAGAGCCCTTATGCTTGCCTTCCCACCCCTCAAGGTCCCTCCCACCCAGCCCAGCCCCACTGGAGGGTCTGGAGCCAGCTCTGAGCCGGGAAATGCGGGGCTAAACCCCACACTCTTCTCCTACCGCCCTTCCGCCCTCTCCCGGGGGGCCCCACGGTCTCAGCCAGGTCTGGGGTGAGCGATGGAATAACTTCTGACCCCATCCTCTGTCCCTGTGTCTTTGTACTTGAACCCTCTGAGCGTTTGCTCCCTCGTTGGTAACACAGGGGCACACTCCTGCTCAGTCTCCCCGGGACAGCTGCAGTGAGGGTGCGAGAGGGCTCTGCACCAATGGGACAGGGACAGAGGCTGGCAGCTACAGCCCTTGTTACAGAGCACCTGCCCGAAGCCACGCCCCACTCCTTGTAGTGCAGTGACCAAGGCCCACAGGGCCTCATCCTGGCTGGCCTCTGAAATCATTGTTTCCTTCCAGGTCAGCAGAGCTGCGATGGCTCCAGTGCTCCCTGGCGCCCGGTGGGGCCTCAGAGCTCGGCGGCAGCACAGGACACCAGGCCTTGCATTCCTCTGCTGACCGGGCCACACTCTCCTGAGGTCGCTGGGGAGCATTCGGGCTGGAGCAGGGAGCTCTGGGCCTGCTTGGTTCTGTCTACACCTAATGTCCTTCCTTGACCTTGATCCTAGTCCATGAGGGCAGGGAGGGTCACTGGGGAGGGAGGAATTTCTGCCCACCTGCTCCTTTTACAGCTGAAGGTTGAGATCAGAGAGGGACAGCAACTAGCCCCAGGCTGCACAGTCAGAGGCAGGACCAAGGCAGGGGCCCAAGCAAAAGGAAAAAACAGTGAAAACGGTCCTGTCTTTATTGGAAATGTTGCTGATTTTTTTCCTTCATGGTTCTTTTTTCGGGCATTAACTTTGAATTTTAAAAATATTTCATATATTATTTATCTAGATTACTGTTTCTTTTGATTTTAAAGGCTTTTTTAAATTTTTTTGAAAGGCAGAGTTACAGGGAGTTCCACCTGCTGGTTCACTCTCCAGACGGTGGCAATGGCCAGCCTGAAGCCAGGAGCTTCATCTGGGTCTCCCACGTGGGTGCAGGGTCCCTAGCACTTGGGCCGTTATCCACTGCTGTCCCAGGCACATTAGCAGGGAGCTGGATCAGAAGTGGAGCAGCTGGGACTCGAACCAGTGCCCACATGGGATGCAGGTGTTGTGGGTGGTGACTGGCGTGCGTGCCTCACCTGCTCCCCCGCTCCAGGCCTGCTCTGGACTCCCAGCCCGGTGCTCTCGCACGGCCTGGCCGGGGCTGACGGCCACGCGTGCTGCAGCGGCACTCACCTCTTCAATGCACAGAACGGCCTTCCCGGTCTGCGGGTCGTACTGACCATCGGGGGCCTCCCTCTTCCGGAAGAGCCACTGGAAGCGAGTCTCCTTCTTGGTGTTGGTGGCCTGGGGAGGGCGGAGAGCGAGGAGTCTCCATCAGTCTCCTCTCTCTAAGGAGACACTGGCTCATCAGAACTTTGCTCATAGGCACATCCGGCCTCCCTCACCCTCTCAGCCAAACCTCAGCCGGCTCCTTCCTCACACCCCGTGCTCCCTCTGCTGGCTTCCAGACTCCGAACTTTGCTAATGGAGTTCCCCTTGCCTTTTGTTCCTGCTCTTCTCTGTGTGCTACTTAAAGGCTCCGTTAGATGTCACCTCCTCCAGGAAGCCTTCCTGCAAGCACCCCAGTATGCCCCCCTTCCGTCAGTTTCCTGCAGATATTAAGCGTGAGGCGAGCTGCTTTCCAATGACGCTGCTCTGGGCTCCCGGAGGCCCAAGGAGGCGGCTTCTACACGTTTGTATGTCCAGTGCCTGGCAGGTGCTTTGAGTCTAGTGAGTGACGATGCTTCCGGGGGCACCCATCCCGCCCGAGGGTCCTGTTATATAAAGAGGCTTTTGGCTGCTGAGAAAGGCCTTGGGCTCCCAAGCCAGGTGGACTCGGGCAACACCTGTGATCTGCCCAGACCCCATGGTCTCGAGCTGGGTCCTTCCTCGCTTCCTGACCCGTAAAGTGGCATCAGTAACGCTGACCCCAGAGATGAGTGATGCGGAGGAGTTAAAACAACACCGTGGGGCACGGAGCAAGGGCCTGGCACAGCTGATAGCAAACCCAGGGACCCCTCAGCTCCCTGCCCAGAGCCGCTGGAAGCACTAGCTCAGGCCGACGCACCTCACACCAACTCCGCTGCTGCGCTCCTCTTGGGTGGGGGGAGGGCTTGCTCTGGGGGTTTGGTGCAGTCTCCCTCCCTGGAGCTGCTTCCCCTGTGCGGAGCCAGCCATGCTCAGCGGATGGCCTTTGGCGGGGTGGGCAGGGCTGGCCACTGGCTGAGGACAGTCCACGAGTCCTGTCCCACTGGGCAAGGGCGGGGCCGGAGGTGGTGGTGGGGGGACACTTGCCTTGCAGGTCAGCAGCACTTGGCAGTCCTCGGTGACCTTCCACTGCAGAGGTTCCTCGAAATAGGGACCTGCCAGGGCCAGACCCACACACGCCCACCCATCAGAACGCCACCTGGTGGCCAGGCAGGGAAGTGTCGGGAGACCCGGGCGAGGCAAGGAAGGGGCCTCTGGTGCCCCCACCCTCAGGGCCCGGCAGGGGCCAGCTGGCTGTGGTGGCATCAGGACTGAGCTGGACTGAGTCCCAGAGCCCCCTTGTGGGGGTCTTGTTCCCCCAGCCCCTCTGTTCCCTGGCCCAGATCAAAGGCCAGGGCACAGCCCCTTCACCCCTGCAGCTCTTACCCTGCTTTCTCTTCCAGTCTCTCCGCTTGGCATCTGCCTTCCTCAGGAGCTTGTCGAACTCTGCAAACACGCGGGGAGGGGCTGCGATGAGCCGGGAGCACAGGGCCAGGGAGGGGACAGCAGGGCAGGTGCTAGGCAGGGGTAGGGGCGGGTGCACTCAGCCGGCCCCCCGGGGAGGAGCGGAGCCGGGAGCCCCGGGGAGGCAGGGGTGTGGGCTGGGGCTCGGGGCGGGGCTGACCGTCGTCCACCAGCGCCAGGGTGATCTGGTTTTTGGCTTTGCCGTCTTGGAGCTGAGCGGTGTACGACCCTCTGTCCTCCTCAGACAGGTTCTGAATGATCACTTCCACCAGCCCCTTCTCCCGCTCAAAATTGATCTTGCGGTTCTGGGGGGAGCAAGCGCGCAGAGTCCTCTGGCATCCCCCTCCCCGGCCGTGGGGTGCACCCCAGGGACTGGGGCGGGGCCCCGGGGGAGCCCTTCCCTGCCTGTGTGGACCCGGGTCCCCCACACCTGCCCCGGGGAACGGCTCCAGGGCCCAGCGGGTGAAGAAAGGAGTCCTGGGGGCGGGAACTAACTACGCTTTCCTAACAAGCCCCCAACCCTCCCTGGGCCCCACACGTGGTAGTTGTCCACATCGTTTATCGTTTGCTACACAGACAGCCCATGAGATATGCAGTCTCATCTCAGCAGCACCTGCACACTTGCCGCCAGAGGGCGTCTTGTTTACTTTTAGGAGTTTTCCAAGTTTTGTCTTTCACTTCTGGGTCCCCACTCTGCCTTGTGTGCGTGTTTGCAGGAAGTGACCCACGAGTCCCGCCTCTGCAGGGGGCTGACAGCCCTGGGGCCCCTGTGCTGGGTGGCAAGCGCTGGCAGTGTCCTGCGGTCTCAGTTTTTGCTCCGCGCCCTCCCCAGGGCCACAGGGTTCATCTACAGGGAACGAGAGCTTTCATCCCGTTGGCCACCTGCCCTGTGTTCCCAGATCTTCCCAGTCTAGGCTTCCCGGATCCCATTGTCAGACGCAGAGACCGAGGCACAGAGTGGTGAAGAGGCCGGCCCCCGGCCAGGAGCCCGCGGAGGTGGACAGACAGAGTCTCCCTCCCAGAGCCTGCCCGGGGCTCCAGCGCCCCCTCTCCAGAGCACCGATTTCCTGATGGCCGTTTTGCCATCTGGAGAGGAAATTCACAAAAAAAATGAGATTGAATCACGAGGCTGAGTTTCTCCTGAGACTGGGAGCACCAGTTTGCAGCAAAAAGATTCGATTGTCGGGGCTGTTGCTGTGGCACCGTGCGTTAAACCTCTGCCTGCAGCGCCGGCATCCCATGTGGCTGCCAGTTCGAGTCCCGGCTGCTCCACTTCCAATCCAGCTCCCTGCTAATGTGCCTGGGAGGGCAGTGGAAGATGGCCCAGTGCTTGGGCCCCTGCACCCATGTGGGAGACCTGGAGGAAGCTCCTGGCTCCTGGCTTCAGATCGGCCCAGCTCCGGCCGTTGTGGCCATTTGGGGGGTGATAGAAGACCGACCTCTCTGCCTCTCTGTAACTCTGCCTTTCAAATAAATAAATAAATCTTCAAAAAAACAGTTGAATGTCACAATTCACAGGGTTCGATCTAACATCATGTGTCTACACGTATGATTTCAAATGAAGCCAGTATAACATTAACTGTACTAGGAGGAAGCAGCCAAGTCCTCTGAACTAGAAAGCTGCATTTGAACACGGAGACGCTTGGAGGCAGCCTCCGTCGCGGGGCTCTGCTTGCTCAGGGGTCGCACGGAGAGAAGCGGAAAGAGCAGCAGCTGCTGTGAACAAGCCTAGGAGTGGCCGAACTCCCCGTCCCGTGCTCTCAGAACCGCGCCAGAGGCGGGTGCCGGGCTTAGTGGGTTAAGCCGCCGGCAGCGGTGCTGGCATCCCATAGTGGACACCAGTTCCAGTCCCCGCTGCTCCACTTCCGATCCAGCTCCCTGCTAATGTACCTGGGAAAGCAGCAGAAGATGGCTCATGTGTTTGGACCCCTGTCACCCTCGGGGAGACCAGGAGAGAGTTCCAGGCTCCTGGCTGCCGCATGGCCCAGCCCTGGTGTTGCAGCCAACCAGCGGATGGAGGATCTTTCTGTCTCATTGTCTCTCTCTTTCACTGTCACTCTGCCTTTCAAATAAATAATCTTCAAATAATCAAACAAAAAACTGTGCGAGAATACTTTGTGAGTGCACCTAAGATGAGTGAGGTCTCGGCCTGCACAGTCAACAGTGTGAATGCAGTTTTCATCCTGGACTGCTGGGGTGTTCCAATTGTGGGGAGTGTGTGAGCCTATTTGTGGGTGGCACCTGGGTCCCACTCAGCTCGCCTCCTGTTCCCTGGGTGTCCCCATCCCCACCCCAGGAGAGCTGGAGTGCAGGCACTTCTGGAACGCCCACGGGTGGAGGGCCCCGCCCGTGGAGCAGCACGCAGGGCGCTGGGAGCCGCTGGCGCCCCTTACCGGTGAGCTGAAGATCTCTTTCTCGTTGAAGATGAGGTGCAGCTGGGCGGCCGGTGATAACTTCTCCACCTCCAGCCACAGCCGCACCTCTCCCTTCTCCAGGATGTCCACGTTCCAGCCCGAGATCAGTTTGATCACTGGGAGGAGCCAAAGGGAAGGGGTGTGGGCGGGGCATGCTCGACTCCACCCCCCCTCCCCAGCAGCGCCACCCCAGGGTGCACCACCAAGCAGGCGAGGGGCTGAGAGAGGCTGAGGAGGCACGGGCTGGGGTCGGTTAAGTTTCTCCTTTCCAAGGGCTCAGGGGCCCTGGTTCTAAACCTGACTGGCCGGGGTGCACCCTCAGAGACTCTGATGTGTCTGGGGGCATGGGGGCGTCTTTCCTGTGCAGCCAGATTTGGAACCCCTGCTTCAGAAGGTGCCCACTACCCCGGGCAATTCGGGGGAGCACAGGTTTGTTTAGCTTTTCCAAGCCCAGGTGCTCAGAGCCATAAAAATGATTACATGGAGGAGCCGGCTAGATCCGCACCCCGCCGCCCCGCGCCCCCCGCTGGCTCCCCATGACTGCCCGTTCATTGCCAGCACGCCCTGGTCTCTGCCCGCTCCCACTCCCACCTCTGCTTACCAGGGTTCCTGATCTCGTGGCTCAGCTTCTTTAGCCTGTTCAGCTCTGGGACGGGGAGGGGCAAGGAGGAAAGCAGACAGAATGAAATCTGCAGGCACAGGGGCTGATGACAGCACTGTCCCGGGACCCCGCGGGGGCTGGCGGTCACCAGGGTCACTTACTGATGACACCAGGGGCTGATGATGGATGGGGATGGATCCTGGGGCCACAGCCCCTCCCACCCACCCCCCCTCAGACTGTAGTTCTCTCTGTCCTTCAAAGCCTGGCTCCCACACCCCCCCCTGGAGGAACAGCCATCCTGTGCCAGGCTCATGCTCAGTGCTGTCAGCTGCTGTGGGCGGGGCGTTACTCTCCCGCCAGCCCCTGATGCCCGAGCCCCCTGTCAGCCCTCTGTACCTGCTGTCCTAGCGCCTGCACGCAAGGACTCAGTCCCACAGCCCGGAGCCCCCGCTGATGCCCCATCTACCGACTGTTTCTTTGTATCAGGTTTCTCTCTCCTGCTAAGCTGAGCTTGTCCAGTGCCCGCACACAGTAGGTGCTGAATAAGTAGGCACTGCCTGGATAAACCGCCAGGGGCAGAGCCCATACTGCATTTCCCCTTGCAAGCCCTGGAGGCTGGGCTCTCAGCGAGCACCACAGAGCCCCACAAAAACCCACCACTTTGGTGGAGGGCTGTGGTTTGCACAGAATCGTCTCGACGTATCTGCACAGAAGCAGTGTTTCAGCTGGGTGGTCAACCAGGCATTATAACTCCCCTGCAGGTGAGGGCACAGGGCCCAGAGCAGTGACGCGGCTTGCCCACAGCCCAGCGGGACCTGGAACTGGATGGCATCTCTCTGGTTTGTGCATCTTAAAAAGATCAACGGGCCTGACATGCCACAAACAGGATGACAATAGGCCAGGGCCGTGCCAGTTGCTATGGACACGGCAGCCTCATCCGTCAACAGCCCTGGTTTCAGTTCCGTTGAAACCACCAAATGTGGATGGTCTTAGACGTGGCATCCGTTCTCTGGTTAGCCACAGTCCCCACTGCTCCCTACTGCATCCTCATCTCTCAGACCAACCCCTGTCTGCAAAGTATCGTCCTCGTGCACTGTGGGTTTTCTTAGGCTGCTGAAGGAAGCAAACGCATCCCGATAACTTTGCCTTTGTCAAATGTGGGTAAACCAGAGAGACAGGAGGAATGTGAACTCTGCCAGCCAGGGTCGGCTGCCAGCCGAGCCCCCTGATAGAACTCGCAGGGTCTGGGCTGGTACCTGGCAGATGACAGGTGCTAACAGGTGGGTACTGAGCGACTGGCAGAATGAACGGAAGCCTGGGTGAGGGCTGGCGGCTGCAGAAGTCGCTGTGCACTCAGCTTGCAGCCTCCTGCTGCTCTGGGGGTGACTGTGTTGGGGCTGCTTGTCGGGGGTCTGTCTCTGGGGACACCGAGGGGCGAGGGGTGTTACCTTCCTCGGTCAGCGTGTGGCTCGCAGAGATGTCTTCGTCAGCATCGGTGACCACCACCGAGTAGGTGCCCAGGTCCTCGAGACCCGGTTCCTTCAGGATGATCTTGGACCTGGCAGAGGGGAGAGAGCAGAGGCTCTGGGCCGGGCTCCTTGGCCCTGTGCGTTGGGAGCCTGGGAGGGGAGATTCCCATTCAACTCTGGTAGCTCTGGGCCTCATTCCAGATCTCGGCCAAGCCAGGAAGCGGGCAGGGCAGGGGGAGGTGTGTCTTGGGATCTCCTAGGACCTGGCACCTGCCACGGCCCCACGAGCCAGGCCTTCTGGCACAGAGGCTGCTTGCTGGCTGCCTTACCCCACCTTCTGGCAGGGCTCAAAGTGTTGGCTTTGTCCCTGGGAGACAAAGCTGAGGGCAGGAGCTGTGGGGGCAGGAGTGAGACACGGAGGCATTTGATAGTGGCCCAACCCCCTACAAGGAAGCTGCAATGGCTCAAACAACAGGTGGCTCCAGAATTCTCAGAATTTGGACTTGAAAGTGGTGAGTTGAGGGGCTGGGTTGTGCCGCAGACACACCAGTGTGAGTCTCAAGTCCTGGCTGTTCCACTTCTGACTTGGCTCCTCCTAATGCACCCGGGAACCAGTGGATGATGGCCCGGGTGCCTGGGCCCCTGTACCCACGTGGGAGACCCAGAAGGAGTTCTAGGCTCCTGGTTTTGCCCTGGCCCAGCTTTGGCTGTTGGGGCCTTTTGCAGAGGGAACCAGCAGAAGGAAGATGGATCTCTCCCTGCTTCAAATAAATAATAATAATAATAAAAACGCCAAAGCCATGAGTTGATGGTAAGAGGAGGGTGGAAGCTCACTCCAGCCCCAGAGTTTGAAGGCGGGGCCTTTGGGAGGAGGTTGGATTGGACCTGGATCCTGACAGAGTGCCGGTGGCTTTACAGGAGGGAGAGCCAGGCACAGGTGCTCCCTCTTGCCACGTGCCACTCTGGGCCGCCACGGTACTGTGCCAGCAAGAATGCCGTTGCCAGACAGGGACCTAGCCCTGGCCTGAGAGGCTCTGGGACTGTGAGCTGCAGTCAGCCCCTCCCCCCCAAGCAGTGGCTCTCAGGAATCTTGTGATCATGAAGCTGGGCCCAGGTCTGGTCCCTCCCGGGAGACCGAGGCAGAGCACCTGCGGCTCTTTACAAAACAATCTCCAAAAAGCCAAACGCCCCCGCTGAGCCCCTTAACTGCCCTGGCCCCCCTACTCCGTAAGGCCACAGTCTGCACCCCGGGGGCCAGCCCACTCCCCTCCCCGCACACAGAAGTGGGTCCCGCCCTCCACACAGCGACAGCTTTGGCCTCTCCTCCCTTCACTTACTTGTTAACTCCGTCCTCGACCTTGACCCTCTGGGGGTCCGGAGGACCCTTGTAGTCTTTGGACCACTGAAACTCCGAGGAGTCGGGGGCCTCAGGGGCTTCGAAAGCCAAGTAGATAAAGCCCTCTTCGTCCACGCCGACCTCGATCTCCCGGGCATCTGGGAGTGAGACCGAGGGAGGGCACTGGGCATTGGTAAATAACAAACCAAGCCAAGCCCCTCCCCCCTGCACGTTTCTAAAGTGGGGTTGACCATCCCTCCGTGAAGGGCTTGGTGGGGGCCGGGGCAGGGTGGGGGCCAAGCACAGCACCTGGCTTGTAGCGGGAGGGGGCCAGCGGGGGCTGCCAGACAGGCCAGCCCAGGGTGCCACCTGGGCCCTGCTTTAGACAGCTGTGTGGTTTCTAAGTGCCGCAGGGCGGGAGCTACCATCGAGGCACAGGGAGCAGCTGTGTTCCTATCTTGGGATCTACCAAGTAACTGGAGAGGGAGAGGCAGGGCCCGAGGGAGGGAGAGGCCGGGGTGGGCAGAAGGGCCTCTGGTCCCCCAGCTCCCCGCGGGCCCAGCCTGGCTGGGAGCACCGGCTCCCTCTGGCCACGCTACCTGGCTTCTCCTCCAGGAGCACGGGGTCGGTGGGCATCGACGGCTGCCCCAGACCCGCTGAATTGATGGCCTGCACCTGGAACACGTAACTCTTTCCTTGCTGCAAGTCAGACACCTGGGGGAGGGGGAGAGGACAGTGAGCTTTGAGGAGGCGAAGACCTCTCGCTGTGGGACCCTGAGGGCGCTTGGGGCGAGGAGCAGGCCTCTCCTGAGTTCCAGTGTTCGGTGGTCCACTCGCGGCCCGGGAACTCCATCCACTGGAAGATCAACTCATCCACCTCCCCGCAGGCAGACCCTCTCCCTCCCGGCCACCCTCAACCCTCCCTCGATACCATCGCCCCACACTGACGCTGACGGAGAGGCTGGGGGCCTCTCTGACGTCCTCCTCTGGAGCCCTCCCCACCCAGCAACCAAGTCCCAGCGGTTTCACTTCCCTACCACTCCCGCACACGGCCCTCCCCTCCGCGTCCCAGTCCCCGCCCCTCACCTGGATTCGTCCAGAAGCTTCCTAAATAGCATCTTGCCTCTGCACCCTCCCTCTGCTTCCCTCTTCCAAGCTGACTGTGCTTAAATCTTTCCATAGCCTTCAGGGTCAAGTCCAGTGTCAACTTCCCATCCTCTTTCTCCTCTGCTGTTCCCCTCCTCCACCTCCTGGCTCCCTCAGGGTCCCCAGGCCCATCAGTTCACACCTCCTCCTCCCTGGGACACAGTCTCACCACCTCAAGCTTGTTCTGCTCAGGCATCTGCAGGGTTCTAGACAGAGGCTCGGACCTTCCCGCTCAAGCCCCTAGAATTCCATGCGTGCCCTCAATCACAGCACAGTGTTGTCATTGCCTGCTGCCCACTGATTTCAGCTGCTTGTGCCCGGGTTCCGGGCCTGAGCTGCGCTAACGAGGGGGGGGGGGTGTCAGGGGGTCTTTAGCAAGTGACTGAGTCAAGGAAGACAGCCAACCATCCCGACACAGCAACCAGTGCCAAATCACCCAGGGGCCCCGCCCGGCCTGGGCCAGCCTGGGTGTTCGGGGAGCAGGGGGCGGACCACCCATCGCCAGGCCTCCCCCCAACCCCAGCCACTGCGGGAGGGGGGGCTGCAGGACCTCGGGGGATTCCACTGGCCAAGGCGTGTCTGCTCTGATTCTGAAGTGGCCTTAATTTCATTTTACAAAATCAAGGTATTTCACTTTGTTTCTGATGAGTCAAGAGGTGTTTGCTGTTGGGGGAACTTTAAAGAAGAATGCACACAGAAGATGGGGCACAGTGGCTGCGACTCTGCTGGGCTCCAGGCCTGGCTCTGCTCCTGGTCCCAGCTGCCTGCTAATGAGCACCCTAGGAGCAGCAGGTGATGGCTCAAGTCCCTGGGTCCCTAATACCCATGGGGGAGACCCAGATGGAGTTCTTGGCTCCAGCCTGGCCCAGCCCTGGCTGTCGCAGCCATCTGGAGACTGAACCAGCAGGTGGAGGATCGCTCTCTGTTTTGCTGTCTCTTTGCTTTTCAAATAAATAAATAAATCATTATTTTTTATAAAAAGGAAAGAGTAAAGTCTCCTGGCAATCCCAGAATGGACTCTTAAATGCACATAAACCCCATAGAAACATGACATGTGCTGGATTCCACTTGTTGGTATCAGAGTTACAAAGAGAGAAGAAGAGAGATCTTCCATCCTCTGGTTCACTCCCCGGATGGCCAAATCGGCTGCCTCGTTATTTCTACAACACAGTTCCTGGGCTGAGTATGTGCACGTGCAAACGCTGACCTACCTGGCTGGCTGTCACATGAGTTTTTAGGGGCATCTGCCTTGCACGGAGCTGGGAAGGCCACCAGTTAGCCTGACTTGCTACCAATTCACTGTGTGACCCTGGGTAAGTGACTCTGCCTCTCTGGTCCTCTGTGCCATCATGGAGGATGTGGTCATGAGGTCATTCCAGCTTTGCTGTTCTGTGGTTCTGCCATGTCCAGTGGAGGGAAGGCCCAGGGCCGGACAGCAGATGACGGGGCAGGACTCACCCTCAGGTGGGTACTGGGGACAGGGCCTGGGGTGGCCATCTTCCACTGCTCAGAGCCGTCTTCCTGGAAGCTGACTTGGTAGCCTGTGACCGGTCCAGCTCCCGTGTACAGCGGGGGCTCCCACTGCAGCATCAGGGAGGTGGCCCGCACCTCGGACACCCGCACATCATATGGCGGCCCTGTGGGGGATGAGAGAGGGGGCAGAGATGTGAGGGGTGGCCGGACGGACGGGCAAGGCGCTGGGCAATCAACGTGCCGGCCACAGCCAGGCCTGGGTAGGGTGGCTCCATGCTCAGCCCTGGGCCTGGAAGAGGTCACCTCTTCAATATGTGCCCTGATCACCTCCTCCTGGAAGCCTCCTTGCCCTTCCCCCACCCCGTCCCAGGAGGCATTAAAGGGCCCAGGGTGTGGCCTCTGGAGTCCGAGCACCAAGGACCCTGACCAGCTCCAGCCTCTCCTATGGGGACTCTCTTGTCTTCTCATCTACAAGACGGGGACAATGAAAGTTCTTACGAGACAATGCTATTGTGAGCATGAAGGAGAGACTGTACAGCCAGTGGTATACAGTAAGTGCTCAATAAACATTACCTCTCATCTAAAGTGTCACACACTGTAATCGCCAGCCGCTTGGATCAAGGTTTCGTGTAAATGCCAGAACTGAGCTGAACGAGGGGGGGGGTGGGGGGGAAGGTTGTGACTGTCCCCACCAGGGGGCAGGGCGGGGCTCGTGTGTGAGCTGATGGGCGGGGGGGGGGGGGACAGTGCGCTGTGCAGGGGGACCAACCGTCCTGGGTGTCCAGGATTGAGGGGTTCCTAGCAGCCAACTAGGATGGTCCCAGAGAAACTGTGACACGTTGGTCACCTTAGCAGTGTGCCTTTGGGGTCAGAATCACAGGGTGGATGGGGTTGAGTGGGGAGCAGTTTGTGCCAGGGGTGCAGGACCTGCTGCCGGCCCAGGAGTCCTTGGAACAGAGTTCAGAGCCTGCCTGGGACTGGGAACACAGGGTCAGTGTGTGCAAGGGCCAGGGGCACAGAGCAGGTGCGAACACACGGAGAGCACGCTCCTCTCCCGGGCTCTGTCGTGAGGGGGCGGACGGGGCTGGACTTCGGGCCTGCAGGCCCCTCACCTGGCTGGGGCATCGTCCACTCTTTGCACTCAAACAGGCTGCTGGGTGCCGACAGGTCACCAACGCCTGCCCAGTTGACCGCCCGGGCCCGGAACTCATAGAAGTGGCCCTCGTGGAGGTCACTGACCTTGAAGGACACAAGCACAAGCCGTGAAGACGGAAGCTGGGGCTGCCGCGGGGGCAGGGGCCCAGAGCAGGAGCTGCGGGGGAGCTCTAACCAGGCCTGTCCCAGTGCCTGCTGCCTTCCAACATTAGCTGGGCGATGGAGGTGGGAGCCTGACGCCCCCAGCAGCCAGCAGCGGCCCTCGGCTGCCCCCTGCACAAGCGTGGTGGCGGCGGCGCAGTCTCACCTTGCACACGCGGCTGGGGACGGGCTGCTGGTTGACCGGGTGCCAGTCCAGCTCCTCCGAGTCGTGCTGGTCCAGGAAGTAGCCCAGGATCTTGCCGCCTCCACGACGCTTAGGGGGTTTCCACCCGATGACCATCTCGTTCTTCCCGCAGCTCAGGAGGGCGAAGTCGTATGGGGCAGATGGGGTGGCTACGGGGAGGAAGGAGGTGAGGCCGCTGCTCCCTAGGGGTGGCTGGCTTGGGCGCTGGGGCCTGTGGGAATCAAGACCCTGCCCTGGTGCCCCACCCCCAGCTCCAGGGGGTTCTCCCTGAGCACCTTTCCCCTGGAGGGCACCTGGGCTGCCCCCCCTCCCCAGCTGCCGGGGTCTCCTCCCACAGTTTCTCCCTCCCCAGAGGCAAGGGGGTCCGGGCCAGCTGCAGGGTCCATAGAGGGCGGATTACCCACTGCTCCCTGGGTTTGGTCCTCCAAGCAGCGTTTCTGAGCCCGAGTCCCCTGAGCTGCCCAGGGCCGCCCCCGCGGCCTGCACGCCGCGCTGCACTGCGACTTACCCAGAGCCTGCTTGACCCTGATGGGTTCCGTGACGGCCGAGCTCTCGCCCACCCCGGCCTCGCTGACGGACCTGATGCAGAACTCGTACTCCCTCCCGGTCCTCAGCCCGGGAACCGAGAACCTGGCCGAGGAACGCACAGCCCTCAGGGGTGCCTAGCAGCCTGGAGACATTCCCGAGCCGTCTAGAACGGCCTGCTAGGACACGCTGTCACCAGCGCGGAGGGGTCTGAGGCTTCCGGGCCCTGCTGACCTAGAATTAGTGCCGGACCCCACACTCGGCCTGAAGTGGAGCCGGAAGGATGCTGCCGTTGGGGTTTCGGAGGCCGCCCGCCCCTGCAGAGCCTGCTGCGGCAACGCAGCTCCCCAGGGAAGGACGCCCACTGACAGAACAACGGCCAGCCCGGGACCCAGAGCTCCACAGCACAGCTCCTGGGCTTTGGGCCATCCTTGATGAAGAAGGAGGGGTGGGGCCGGCGCTGTGATACAGCAGGTTAAGGCCCTGGCCTGCAGCGCCAGCATCCCACATGGGCACCTGTTCGAGTCCCCGCTGCTCCACTTCCAATCCAGCTCCCTGCTATGGCCTGGGAGAGCAGTAGAAGATGGCCCAAGTCCTAGAGCCCCTGTACCCACATGGGAGACCCAGAAGAAGCTCCTGGCTCCTAGTTTCAGCTCAGCTCAGCTCCAGCCATTGCAGCCATCTGGGGAGTAAACCAGTGGATGGAAGACCTCTTTCTCCCTGTCTCTACCTCTCTCTATAACTGCCTTTCAAATAAATAAAATAAATCTTAAAAAAAAAGTTGCTGTGATTGTCTGCATCAGTGCTGGGATGAAAAGCACAGAGACCTTTCAAAGACCCCCCAAAGGGAGTCGCCACTCAGAGACGCACACGGGGCCCTCTGGCTTAGAGGGGACATGCTTCCCTGGGCTGGCACTGTGGTGTGGCAGGTGCAGCTGCCGCCCATGACGCTGGTCACCTGTGTCAGAGCGCCTGGCTGCCCTGCTTCCAATCCAACTTCCTGCTAATGCGTCTGGGAGGGCAGTGGAGGATGGTACAGGTGCTTGGGCCTCTGCCACCCACATGGGCGACCTAGGTGGAGTTCCCAACTCCTGGTTTTGCCCTGCCTCAGCAGGTGCTGATGGTGACAGAGCCGCAATCCCCCTGCCTAGCAACACACTTCCAAAAAGAGGATGGTGCCTTAGGAGGGAGGGAACACCTGGACAGGTGAGGCTGGAGGTGACTCCCCAGGCAGACCCTGTGGACAGGAGATGGAAGTGCGACACTGGAGACAGTGGCTCCTGGCTATCCAACTCTCACCCTGCATGCGTGTGCGGCTACACCCCCACGAGGGCACGGCTCTCACCCTGGCTGGGAGATGGGTGCGAGGTCTTGCACACTGGGCTGTGGGAGGGGCCTGTGCAGGTCAGACTGTTCCTGTTACAGGTAGGGAAGGGGCATGCCCAGAGCTCACAGCCAGCTGGGGACACAGCTTTGTCCCTCCGTTCATTCATTCTAGCAGCCAGACATCGTGTGAGTCGCTCCTGTGCACCGGGCTCCCGGCTGCACACCAGAATGCAGTCTAGATGAGCTCCCCCTGGGCCCTCAGCCCCGGCTCTGACTCCTGGGCAGCAGGGTTCAGCCTCCACGACCCCTGGAGTAGACGACATGCTCACGTGTGATGAGCTCTCTGCACTCGCCAGAGGAGCCTGCTGCCCTGGTGGGTGACCCGTGTCCCTGCCGCGCCAAGTTCACATTCACAGTGACCCCCCCCCCCCCCATCACATGGGCATTCAAGTGAAGGGGAGAGGAGGTCGTACTCTAGGGATAACCTTGACTCTGAGCTAATCTGTTAAGAATCTGATTGTTCAACACGGTGACTTCATCTGTTAGGGCAACAAGCTACACCTTGAAGCTGCCTGTAGGTGCCTAAGACCTGAGGGACACAGGACAGTTCCTTTTCCTGGGTGAGATGACCTTGGAGCTCATGACCTAGAGCCAGGTGTGCTGAGGGCCTGGTCTGTCTTCCCGTGGAAAGGCGGGGGGGCATCACCCCTGAGCCCCTCTCTACGTAGCCCTCCGTGGTGAGAGGGGGCAGGGCCCAGCAGTTTGAGCCTCACCTGCCTGCAAGGGTAAAGGTCTCTGAGGGCTGCTGATGGAGGAGGGAGCCTCTGAGTGTGTTGGGAGTTGGAAGGTCAAGGATGGGTTCATGGAGGAGGAGACTGAGGCCCAGAGGGGGCACGTTCTCCCCGTGGGGCACCAGGAGGCTCTGGGTGGGGTGGGTGTGGAGCCTGACCCAGGCCTCCCTGACTGCCTGCCCCCACCCACCCCTCTGGCTCTGAAGCTCCTGGAGGGGCCCAGCCACAGTCACCTCTGTCCCCGGAGTCCTGCCCGCGGTGTTCGTTGAAAAAGAGCGGGTCAGAGTTCACACCCCAGCTCGTCCCCTGGCGCAGGGAGCCTGGGCAGTTACTGCAGCTCCCCGAGCCTCGTGCCTGTGCGTGGAGCTCGGTCAGGAAGGGCGGTCCTGCACGCACACGAGCACCGTGAGAACCAGGTGACCGACTGGTGAGGGAGCTGGGAGCAGTGCGCGGCCCCTGGTGGGGGGCAGATCCGGGGAAGCTGGGGGCTGTGTTCTCCTTCCAGGCGGTCCGGGCGCCGCAGGGGGGCTGGGCCCGACCCACCTGCTGCCCTGGATGGGCTTGTTGTTGACGGTCTGCCACTCCGTCGACCCCACCTCCCGGGAGTAGATGTAGTAGCCCAGGAGCTCGGGGCCAGCGTCCACGGGCTCCCAGGTCAGGGAGATGGAAGTCTGCGTGTCTCGGAAAGCTTGAACTTGAGCTGGGGGAGGGAGCGTCGCTGAAAAACAGAGAGGTGGGCTGAGTGAGGATGCTGAGCGCCTGGCTCTGACAGGCGGGGGCGGGGGCAGCGGGGAGCCCCAACCCTGTGGCGGTCAGCGGGGGTGGGGTGGGGGCGAGATTTGGGCTGGGGTTTCTCTCTGCTCTGCCCTGGGAGCAACTCTGCTTCCCCCTAAAGCTCCGAGGCCGGTGGTCACTCATCTTCACACGATTGCGATTTGGCTCCAGAATCACACAGGAGTTACACTCCAAAGTCATAAGGGAATGGTGCCGAGAGGGTGCAAACTGAATCCCACGTGGTGTTTGGGGTGGGCCTCGTGGGAGCCCTCGGGCCATTGAGGGGTGTGCCCTTGGAAGGTGGGGCTCCCGAGAGTCTTGGAAGCCTGGGCCCTGCCACTCTGTCTGTCCCTGGTTTGCCACGTGATCTTGTCTCTGAACGTGCTCTGCCATCCTCTCTGGAGCCGTGGCCAATGCCTGTGTAAGTTAACTTCCCCGGGTATTTCACTGTAGTCACAAAAATATGGCTAATAACCCCCCTGTCCCTGAGGTCACCAAGTCTGGCAGATTTCCTCTTCTGTCTTAAGAAAACTTGGTTCCCCTCCCTCAAAACCTTCTGTATCGACTCTCATGGCTCCCCGAGAGCAAGCGCCCTGAGTGGGGGCTGCCATGACTTGTTAAATGGTTGGATCAGAGAGTGGGCGGGCTGATGGCTGGCTGGCAGGTGCACGAGCTTCCTGGTGCTTGCGTCAGTCTGGGCTCCCCGCATATCTGCTGGTGGCTCCCCATTATCTGCTGCCCCCAGTGCAGGCTCCTTCAGCCTTCCGCTCCTTGACCTGCTCCACGTCTCTCCTCCTCCCTTGTCTCTGAGGGCCCTGCCCAACTCAGGCCTTTGTCCCTGACCCCTCGGCAGCCTCCGCCCGCAGCCCGGCCTTCTCAACTTCCCAACTTTCCCCGAACACCTCTCCTTGTGTTCTGGAGGTGCCTCAGAGTGGACAGGGACAGGGTGAACTTGAAACCACGCCCCTGGTCAGTGCCTTGGATACAGATGTGAGAGGCCATCTGGTCTCCCTCCCTCAGCTTCAAGTTCCCTTGCCCTGCTTTTTTTTTTTTTTTTTAAGATTTATTTATCTATTTGAAAGGCAGAGTTACAGAGAGAGAGGAGAGACAGAGAGACGAGAGAGAGATCTTCCATCTGCTGGTTTACTCTCCAAATGGCCACAATGGCGAGGGCTGTGCCAGGCCAAAGCCAGGAGCCAAGAGTTTCTTCCTGGTCTCCTACATGGGTCCAGGGGTCCAGGGACTTGGGCCATCCTCTGCTGCTTTCCCATGTGCACCAGTGGGGCGCTGGATTGAAAGTGGAGAAGCTGGGACTTGAACCGGTGCTCATATGGGATGCTGGCGCGGCAGTCCATGGCTTCATCTACTGCAGGCCCCTTGCCCTGCTTTTATGATTGCAAATCACCCTCTTCCTAAACTAAAAACTTCCCACAACACGGGATTGAGGGAGTGGCACGGCAGGCGCTACAGGGGCCCTGTATACAAGACTCATGAGCTCATCTATCTCCCCAATGGATGACATCTTGATGTTGGCCTTGTCTCGAGGGATTCCTTTTCCAGGAATCCCAGGCCCCAAGCAAAAAGTAAATTCCACCTGCACGTAGCCCCCACACAGACAGAAGGTCACTTTACCACCACTGAAATTCCCTACCAGACACAAGACTGGGGGCCAGCCTTGTGGCATAACGAATCAAGCCACCACCTGTGATGCCAGTATCTCATATGGCTCCAGTCCTGGCTGCTCCACTTCTGATCCAGCTCCCTGAAAATGTGCCTGGGAAAGCAGCAGAAGATGGCCAAAGTGGGCCACTATACCCACATGGGAGACCAGGATGAAGATCCAGGCTCCTTCGGCCTGGCCCAGCTCTGGCCCAGCTCTGGTTGTTGCAACCATTTGAAGAGTGAACCTGCTAGATGGAAGATCTCTCTGTCTCTCTCTTTCTTTCTTTTCTTTTTATAACATATCTTTTTTTTTTTTTTTGACAGGCAGAGTGGACAGTGAGAGCCTAGCCACAGCAGAGAGCTGGCCTGGAAGAGGGGCAAGCGGGACAGAATCTGGCGCCCCGACCAGGACTAGAACCCGGTGTGCCAGCGCCGCAAGGCAGAGGATTAGCCTAGTGAGCCGCGGCGCCGGCCTGGGCTGTTCTATAGCAAACTCAGCGTCTATCCGAAGTCACTGAGGGCCGACCCTGAGCCGGCACTGCACTGGCCTAGTGCCTGCGCTGAGAAACAGATTTCAGGTTCTGGCCTCAGGAAGGGCCTGCGGGTGACATCAGTGCTGGGACGGAGGGGAGAGGCCGCGGTGCCCCAGGGTGAGGGCAGAGGCTGGCAGGAGGCCCCCAGGGACCCCACATGTCTCTGGGACCCGCCACTACCCCAGGGCAAGAACCTGAGCTCAGGGGGCCCTAGTGTGGAGTAGTCCTCAGGCACTACACTCGGCATTTCCAGGAGGACTTCGTGACCTGGAGAAAGGGTTGTGCTATCCCGTGGCCTTCTCCCTGCATGGCGTCTGCCTGTGTTTCGGAAAGGTGCGCTGACCCACGCGCAGTTAAAGGGCCATTGTCCAAAGTGCCTTGTCCGTCTGGGAAAAGCATCCGTGCACCTGTGAACCTCCTGCCCAGAGAAACGTGGTTTCCAGGGCTTCCAACGTTACAGGCCCAAGGTCCTGTTTGCCTCCAGTGAGAGGGTGGGAGAGGGTGGAGAGGGACACAGGCACGGCTCGTGCCCAGCGGCCTGGGCCCCACACCCCAAATGCTGACGGCCCGGCCGCAGCCCGCAGTACCTGGCTGGCCCCTCAAGGCGATGGGCTCGCTGGGCTCCGAGGGCTCGCTCACGCCATGCTGGTTCATGGCCCGCACGCGGAATACGTAGGACTTCCCCTTCTCCAGGTCTAGGAGGGCAAACCTTGGGGACTTCACGGGCGCCTCAGAGCTGATGGCCTCCCACATGCCGCTGCCTATGACCGACTGCGAGGAAGAGATGGGAACGGGCTGTGGGGAAGCGGTTTCCGGTTTCCGGGACCAGCTCTGTGCTGGAAAACCCCCACACTGCTCTCAGAGCCTCGTCCCCGGTCCAGGCTGCCCATCCCCCCAACCCCGCCGCCTTGACGCCTCCACCCTGAGGCCTTCTGAGCATCTCCCGTCCAGCACACCCAGGCCCCGACTCTGGAACATTCTCCACTGCATGCTGCCTGTGTCATGGTAGCTGCAGCCATCTTTCCAATGACCTGGGCCTAACCCATGGAGGCGTCCTGGGCTCTTCCCCACTTTCCCTCGTGCCTTAAACACATTCCATTGACAAATGCAGCTGATTCCTCCTTCAGCGTCATGCAACCCTGACCCTGCCACCCTCCTGCTCCCCCTGCCCCTGACCTTGACCCAGGCCACCATCCTCTCTCCCAAGTTATCTGAGCAGCCTCTCCCCTGGGCTCCCGGCTTCTACCTCTGACCCCTCTGATCTTTCCTCTAATAGCGTCAGAGGGACTTTTCACAACACGGGTCACATCAGCGCCCCGTCTGCTCCCACCCCCCAGGCCCTCATCTCCCGCACAGCAAAGCTTTCCTTTGAATGGAGCCCGTAGACCTTTCTGGCCACGGTCCACTTTCTGCCTTGCTCACCCTCTACAGCCCTGGGCCTCGCTGCTGCTTCCTGATGGCCACCTTGGGGCCTTTGCACCTGCTGGTCTCTCTGCCCAAAAATCTTGTGCCTGGCTCCTCATTTCCTTCAGATCCCCTTAGCTCAAAACTCGCTTTCTGAGGCCCTCGCCAGCGTCCCCTCCCCACGAAGTAAGGGCTTCATCACCGGACCCCACAGCCTCACAGGAAGTTCCCATGTCGGAGAATGGGATCACCCGGGAGTGTGTAAAGAGGCCCATCTGGGTAACCAGAGCCTGCGCCCTCCTCGGGCTCTGTGCTGTGGGCTCTGGGACGCCTGTCTCAGCCTGGGGGAGGTCAGGGGCGAGGGCACCCTCGGGTGGGGAGGGGTGCGTCTGTGTAGCTGAGGGCGATCGCACATTGGCATGCCCGGTCTGAGTCCTGGCTCCACTCCTGAGTCCATGCCCCTGCTAATGTGCACCCTGGGAGGCAGGGTCGACGGCCCAAGTACTTGGGTCCCTGCTGCCCATCGTGGGAGACTCTGATGGAGCTCCCAGCTCTGGCCGGGGCTGGCTAGCCACTGTGGGCATCTATGGATGGGAGCGCTCTCTCTGTCTCATAAACAAACAGAAAAATGAATGAATAAACAAACAAATCAATAAAAGATGTCTCCCGAGGGAACACCTGGAGCTCTCATTTACCCACCATACTGGACAAGTGCACGGGAGCACTCTCTCTGCCTCTCGAATGAATGAATGAGTGCATACACACAGAAGAAATGGATGGATAATTCCCTCCCTGAGAAACACCTCCAGACCTGGGGCTGCTGGCCCTGGCCACGTGCTGGGTCTTATTCCACTCTCGAGACGGCTTCTCCCTCCCATGCCAGGGGAAGCCGGGGCTCAGAGAAGTCAGGGCTGGGGCTCAGGATCACACAGCAACAGCCAGGGGCTGCCTAGGTCTTAGCGCCGCCTCCTCCACACCATGGGTCCACCACACATGAGCTGCTCCTGTCCCCACTCTGTCCCCAGTGACAATGCCTTCCTGTGCCTGCTACGGGTCCGTGCCCATGGCTGGTGGCTGGGAGGCACCAGCTTAGCTTCCCTTCTGACGCGGCCCTGCAGGGAAGAGGAGCCTATGGCTGGGATCACCTGGCTCTTGACTGTGTATTTCCATGAACTGCCATTCCTCTCTGCTCTCAGCCTCCTGGGGACGGAGGCAATCGCAGAAGGCCACCTGGTCACTCCCCTGCCTCTGCGCTGGGCTCTCCCGGGCAGGGACCTGGCTTCTGCTCTCTGGAGGCTTCCCCCTGAGATGGGGGGAGCCAGCCAGGGTCTCAGCAGGCCCCTGTCCTTCCCCACACCCAGCTCCCAGTGTGCCTGTCCCAGCGCAGGCTGTCCTGGGCCTGGGCCCGTGGGGTCCCCCACCTTCTCCAGGAAGTACGTCAACGGGGCTTTGCCTCGGGGCCTCGGCTCGTCCCAGGCCAGAACCACGTAGGCGTCCCGGATCTCACTGGCGTGCACGTTGGTGGGCGATCCAGGGATGGTCACGGTGTCTGCAATTGGAAATCGTCGGGGGTGGAGCTGGGTGGGGCCTCAGAGATCCCTCATCTCAGCTCCTCATTCTGTAAAGGAGTCACCTGTGCCCCAGGGACTTGGTCCAGGTCACCCAGTGAGGCTGGGCAGAGCTGGTGCCGGAACCCAGGAACCCTAACGTCCCACCAGGACTCTTCTCCACAGCCCGGGAGCTGCATGACCCCCACCGCACGGGGGCACACGGGTGCTTCTGTGCTCTGCCAGTCTGCCCTGGGCTCTCCAGGACATGCAGGAGGCCGGCGCACTGTGGCAGTCTCGAGAGGGGCCTCATACCTTCAAAATCCTCTTCACTGATGGTGATCTTCTTCCCCAGGCCAAATGGGATCTCTAAGGAGGGAGAGTGGAGCCCGGGAGGGCGGGGTCACGGGAGGCCGGCTCGGGCCTGCCCTGCTGGGGGCTCTGAGTCCCGCCCCTGCCCAGGCCTGGCCTGTGGCCCTCGCTGCCCTGGGCCTCAGCCTTCTCTGGAGACCACAGTGGAGCCCCGTGGCCCTTAGGCCCTGAGCTTGGTCTCCTGGTGGGGACGGAGAGGGGGAGCTTGGAGTTGACACCAGGGGTCCCTGGAGCTGGGGGCAAACCCAAGTCAGGGGGTCCCAAGGGCTGAGCGGGCTGGGAGCCCACACTTCCTCTAGGGCTGGGGCTCCTGGAGGGAAGGGCTGCTCTCCTCCCAGAGATTACAGGTGTCTGAAGTAGCTGCTGTGGGCCTTCCTCAGATTAGCATCTCCTATGGACAGGTTTGGCTTCTTCCATCAGACTAGCTATAGCTTCCCTCCCAGGAGAGGAATTTCTGAGGGTAAGACTGCTTCCTCCATCAGATGCGGGGCTCCTGAGGGCTGGACTATGTCTCCTCCATCAGACTAGGGGTTCCTGAGGGCTGGATTATACCTCCTCCATCAGACTGGGGTTCCTGTAATACTTGAATAATAATTTGGGTGTGCCCCCACTGGCTTGTGTTTTAAAGTCTGAATCCCCAGGGTCTTACGGATTAAGAATGAGACTTAATCCAGTGATGGCGTCTGAAGGGGGAGGCCTTGGAAAGTGATGGGACTGGGTTAGCTTGAGGGTGGAGGCCCTGAGATGGCATCGCTTCGGTTCATGATGAGAGGAGATGGGTGGTCCTGCCTTCCACCTTGCTCCTCGGACCCCAGGGCAGTGGGGCCGCCCGGTCTTGGACTTTGATCCTCCAGAACCATGAACTGAAATAGACCTTCTAATGTCCTAGGTGCTTCCTCACAGCGATGCGTCAGCGATGGAAAGCTGGGTTCCTGAGGACAGCACTCTGTCTCTTCCATCAGACTAGGGGCTCCTGGGACAGGACTGTCTCTTCCATCAGACCAAAGTTCCCAGGACAGCACTCTGTCTCTTCCATCAGACTAGGGGCTCCTGGGACAGGACTGTCTCTTCCATCAGACCAAAGTTCCCAGGACAGGGATCTGTCTCTTCCATCAGACTAGGGACTCTTAAGGACAGCACTTTGCCCCTTCCATCAGACTAGGAGCTCTTAAAGACAGCACTGTATCTCTTCCCTCAGACCAGGGGCTCCCAGGACAGGACTGTCTCTTCCATCAGACCAGAGTCCCCAGGACAGGGCTGTGTCTCCCCTTTCTTACGACGGGGCGTGGTGTGGCCTGTGCCACCTGTCTGCAGTGTGTGCAGTAGCCCCGAGAGTGCCCTGACGCGCGCTCTAGGATGTTCTGGGGCTGCTGCACCCACCTGTCTTCCTCCGGGCTGCCTCATGGTCACCCATGACAACGGCTGCTGAGGCCTTGGAGGGGAGGCTGCTGCCCGCCTTGTTGATGGCTCTCACCCGGAACCTGTAGCTCTGGCCTTCGACGAGGCCTTGGATTGGGCACCGACAGGTCCCCCCGGGGGCCTCGTGGCAGGGCACCCATTCCCCGGAGTCGCCCTGGCACCTGCAGAGACAGGACCCAGCTTTCAGCCCCTGCCCAGGACTTCCCAGCTGGAGCCTCTGCACGGGCCACTCCCCTGATGCAGGTGGTGGGCCCAGCTCCTCTGCCAATCAAAGTCCCCGTGTCCAAGGTCAAAGCCTGGGGTCAACCTTGAGTTCCAGGGGGCCTTGTCACCACCTCCCACCGAGATGCTCCTGGAACAGGAGTTAGGGCGATGGCCTTGCTCTGCATCACGGAGTGTGGGCCACACGGCTCATGAGTGACAAGGTGAGGGTTTCAGCTGCGGGCCGCCCCCTCCTGTCCACACACGCTCCAGATGGACCGTCTGAGCCTGGACTCTCTGCGCCCTGCCAGTGCCATTGTCCAGACCCGCCCCTCCCGCTTCCTGGTGGCGGGGCAGTGGGCACACGTGGGCCCAAGTCCTGCCTCTACTGGCACATGCTCGGGTTTCCTCTCTGCCCTCCCTCTCAGTGCGTGCCCCAGAGGCCCGCGGGGCAGTGACCTGTCTGGAGGCACTGCTTCCCTCCGCCCACCCCCGGGGAACACTAACTCCTGCTCCATGCCCAGGAGTGAGGCTCGGGACATCTTTGAAGGCAGACCTGGGGCTGCCCCTCTCCCGGGGCTCCCCGCTTGCAGAGCATGAGAGCCGACTGACCGCTCGATGGAGTAGCCGGTGATGGGGCTGCCGCGGGTGTCACTGGGCGGGGCCCAGGTCAGGATCAGGCAGTCTCTGTTCACATCCAGGCACTGGACATTCAGCGGGGAACCTGGGGCTCCGGGATTCTCCGCGGCCGCATCTGAAGCCCAGGGGAGGGCCCTTCAGCTGATGGTCGCATGGCCACGAGCCCTTCCCCCTCCTGCCCAGCGCCCTCTTTCCCCTGAATCCCCCAAGGGCTCCATCTTGAAGCCCAGGGCCTGACAACCCCACCCCCAAACAGCAGCCGCTCTGCGGGGAGCTGACGGTGCCGTATGTTGGCAGCCCATCTCACATCAGGCACTGAGGACGCGGCCTGATCCTCTCGGAGCCCAGGGCAACCCTGCGCTGTGCACATGGGGAAACTGAGTCTCGCAGAGGGAAGCCACCCAGCTGGGACCTGACCCAGGCTGGGCCCAAGGCCCAGGAGGAAGCTATCAACTGGTAACCAGGACACCCCAGCCCCACGCTCAGCCCACTCAGCCCACGCTCCCCAGCTCACAGGCTGAGTGGGGGTTCTTCCCGAGACCCCGGACCAACACGGCCATGTTTTCCGCAGGGAAGCGGAGGCTCCAGGAGCACCTGGGACTCGCCTGAGGCCTCGTCCTGGCCTGTACCAGCCCTCACCTCGCACGAACACGTAGGCGCTCTGCTGCCGGGGCCCGGAGGGCGAGGGCACCTGCACCACGTAGAGCCCCTCGTCCTCCTTGTAGGCGCAGGACACCCGCAGGGACGCCTGACGGTCGGCGTACAGGATCTGCCAGCGGCCCAGGGACCTCAGCAGCCTCCCTGTGCAGGGGAATGGGGTCTGGTGTGAGTTTGTGGGGGCGTCTGACCCCACCCAGCCAGGCAGGGGGAGGAGCCGGAGGCTCAGCTTGGGGCTGGGGGTGCAGCAGAGCCTCCAGGGATTTGCTGAACCGCTCTCTGCAGGAAGTGGGGGTGGCGCGCGGGCCCCTGAGGAGGGGCTCAAGGAGGGGGCGTCTGAGGGTCCTGCGGGAGGTCAGGTGGCCTGCTGAAGGGGAGGGGCCATGGGGTGGGCATCTGGGGGCTCCGTGAGTGTAATGGAGGGAGGATGGGGCTCAGGAAAGGGGCCGAGTCTCTGAAAGTGGGGGCTCAGGGTGGGACCTTGGGGATGTGGGGGACTCAGCAAGGCCCTGTGGGGTTCAGCGAGGGTGGGGAGCCCCCCTCTTCCCTGCGCCCCACACAGAGGCTCCTCCTCCCATCAGCACATCTGCCCTGGAGGGTCTACACGTCTGGGAGACAGCTGTTTCTTAGGGCTCCTTTGGGCCCCTCCGCCTCTGCCCTCAGCAGGTGCAGTGCCCAGGGCCCTGGGCATGGGGTGGCTGTACTCCTTGTCCTTTGGCTTCAGGCCTGGGCACAGATGGGCAGGAGCCCAGCGCCCTTCTCTCCCCTCAGGGCCACCTCTTCTGCCTTAGCTGAGCAGCCTGCCCCAGCCTTTGTCCGTGGCGCCCCCAGATTCCTCCCAGCCCTCGAGTCAGCAATCACCCGGCCTGGCTCTGGGAAGCCCACAGCCTGCCTGAGCCACCACCCTGACTCCTGGCCACCATCCTGACTCCTGGCCTCAGCCTCACTCACTCCAGGGTGGTGACGATGCACGCAGACCACGGCAGCACCAGTGAGTGGCGGCTAGGATTGTGCTGATGGCTGCCTCCCTCCTCCCAGACAGACGGATCCCTGAGCTTGGGCTTGTCCAGCCCTGCCCCCTGCCCTGGCCCAGCACCCCCACCCAGATGTTTGGTGACCACTTGTGGGGTGACTGGGTGACTGTCTGACCCCATCTGCTTCCTCGGCTTCTGAGCTGGCCCTGACTGGGGGAGGGCATGAGCCAGCCTCCCTGGAGTGGGGCGGGGTGGGCTTCCAGGGCCGGGGATGGAGCCAGGCTCTTGGCACTTGGCCTGGGAGGCGAGTCACAGGGGCGCTGGGATGGGGCCTTCACCATCTTGGAACCACAGGATGTTCTGCTCGGCGTCCAGCACGTCCTCGGACAGCAGGCAGGACAGGGAGAAGGGCTCCTTCTCACGGGCAAACACAGGCTTCAGCACCGATGTGAACTCCACGTCACGGCCAAACATGGATCCTGGGGTGGGAGGAGATGGTCGGGACAGAAGGCGACCGAGCCGGCCGGCTGGCCTGGGCTTAGATGGACGCAGGGACCCTGCGGGGCATCCCAGGCCGCTGGATCAGGGCTCACATTTCCCAAGGTGGCCTCGATGAGGGGACTGGGCCTGGTGTTTAGTGGGGGACCAGCTAGGCCAAGATAGCAAACACCCAAGGCCAAGTTCCTCTGGCTTAGGGCATTGCCTGTTGACCCCAGTTGTGGTCAGAGGGCAGCCCCGGGGTACCCTGGGACCCCTGAAATGAGGGTGCAGGTAATAACGGCTCAGCACTGACTCCTCTGTGCCAAGGACTCTGTTCTCAAAAGGGTCCCCAACACGCCCTTCCCTCGAAGGCCCGCCCCTCCCACAGCCCGCTTACGTCTGAAGAGCTCCGAGTCAAAGCCAGCCTCCTTCCCCAGATACGCTGAAAATCAAAAGCAAACACATTTGGAGAAGTTCCAGACCCCACCTTCCTGCTGGGCCCAGGGGCCTAGGCTTTGGGGGTCCTGGGCTGCCGTTGACTACCTCTCCATGCCTCAGTTTCCTCATCCGTGAAATGGGACAGTGACTCCTCCCTGACAGTGGTGGGTGATGAGCCCCCATGGATCAATCCCTTGGCCAGAGCCTGGCCTGGGACAGGGACTCAGTGAGCATGGTTTCCCTCCTCTGCCCGCACTTGCCGCCAGCCGCCAGCCGCCAGGATCCCACACAACCCTGGTGGGAGACACTGGAAGTTCTGGTGGGGTCCAGGCAAGTGGCAGGGGTGTGGCAGCACTGAGAGAGCCGTCAGGAGGAAGCTGACGGGTAGAAGCCCAGGTCAGGTGGCACAGACCGCCAAAGACCAGAGCAGCTGTCACTCACCTAGGGGGTGCTACGTGCTGCCAATTAGCTCCCTCAATGTGTTGGGGCCATGGTTCTCCTCTCATACAGATGGGGGAAACTGAGGCAGAGCCACGCAGCAGGGCCCTTCCTGAGCAAGGTCCAGATGGGGACAGAGGTTGCCCCAGGTCGCACCGAGAGCCAGGGGAAGGCTCAGGATTAGAACCCAGAACTCCTGCCTCCCAGAGCAGGAGAGCAGAGAGGGGCCAGGGGGACCCCATGCCCTTGGCAGGAGGCTAAGCAGAGGCCTGGTACAGGTGGGAGCAGGGGCTGGAGGGAGTGAGAGGAAGGCCCAGCCGACAGAGGGAGCCGGGGCCCCCACGCCTGACCTTGGCTTGGCTCTGGGCAAGGCCTGTGGGGACAGCTCCAATTCCCACCCAGGAACAGCTGCGGCCTAAGAGCTATTTGGGGAACAGAGCGGGGTGGGGGAGAGGGCTGGGAAGGACAGTTTAACGAGGTCTGATGAGTGGCCAGAGGCTGGGCCTGGACTCCAGCCCGCCAGCTGCCCGGGACCTGCCCTGGGAGCTTGGGGGGTACAGGGACCTCGATCTCCGGGTCCACCGTGTGGTCCCCAGACGGGGCCCTGTCCTGGCCACAGAGGGGGCAGGGATGTCTGGTTTAAGGGGCATCCCCTGCTTGGCTAGGCCTCATCCACCCTGTGTCACTTAGCACCTGCTTTTCAGGGAGGGGGCAGGACACCCCGTCTATGGGCAAGGAGACACACTCGCATGAGTAAAGTCACTTATTCAGGTCCACACCGCCTGTCTGCGGTGAGCGAAGGTGGGGACCGGGGCCTGTGACCGCTGAGTGTCTCCTCTGCCTTATGCTATGATGTCAGACAGGACAGGGCAACCTCCAGCAGGAGCCTGACCTGACCGGGAAATGTGCACCAAACGGGGCAGGAGGGGGGCCAGGTGTGGAGCTGGCAGGGATTGGTCATTGTCATTAAGGACTCATCTCAGTTGGCAGGGCCTGACCACCTTCTCAGGGGTCCTCAGCAGGATCTGCACCCAAGGCCGACCTCGTGGGATAAGCATGCTCTTTGAAGACAGGCAGAGGGGTTGCCTTGAATAGTGGTGTAGGTTGTGCACTGTACAAAGGTATCCACTGAGAAGGCAAGTGGGGGCTGACATGCAGTCTGTTTCCCACTGGCCCTCACCATGAGCCCTGCTGTGAGACAGCACCCCCTTTCCTACCTCATCCACTCAGTTCACACAAACGTGACGTCCATGCCAGTGATGACCCTGCACACAGAGCCAAGTTCGGGTCCCAGCCCTGCCCCCTGCTAACTCGGCACAGAGTGCGGCACCAGCAAGTGTGCCTGGCGCTTAGGTCAATCTCCTCTCCTCTCTGGTTCCTGATGCCAGTCCATGGTGGGCAGAGGACCCCGCCTGTCACCACCAGCCCACAGCCGGCCCTGCTGCCCAGGCCCGTTGGAGGGAGGAGACCCTCATTTGTCCAGGCCTGTCGGAGGGAGGAGACCCTGGCTTGTCCAGGCCTGTCGGAGGGAGGAGACCCTGGCTTGCTCCACAGGCCCGGGGGGAAGTGAGTGTCTCCACGGCTGCCTAGGTCCCCCCCCAGGCTGAGCGCCGTGTGCCAGGCCCTTCCTCAGATCTGGCCGCAGACCCCCGGCCCCCGCTGCTGCTCGTGGCCTGCAGGGCGTGGGGCACTTACTGCGGACGAGGACCTTGGCGAAGGAGGATGCCTGGCCGTAGGCGTTCTTCACTTTCACCGTGTAAGTGGCCGAGTCCTCAGCGGTGCACCTGCAAAGGAGAGAGCACCCCCCAGACTGGGTGTGCGGGAAAGGCTGGGGTTCGAGGAAGGCCTTGCTTTGGGAGGACGAACGTCGCATCGCTCTTACTGACCCTGGAGGGCCAGAGGCTCAGGGACTTCCCAGAGCCACACAGCAGCTAGAATTCAGCCCAGAGCCAGGATGACAGCGCCTTCTGCCCTGCTGACCCCCGCAGGTCCGCGGCCCGGGCCAGGGGCCGCCTCCTCTCCCGCAGAGCCGCAGACATCCTGCCAGCTGGGCCGCAACTCGGGAGCTCAGGAGGGCGTTCCCGCGAGCCACATGTACTTGGTGGGAGGACTGGGCGTCCGTGCTCCCACGTGGCGCCCTCCACGCCGCTTCCTTCCACGCAGCTTCCTTCCACGCCACCTGGCGACTCCGCATCCCCTGCCAGGCCTGACTCTCCCCTGCGCTGCTTCCCCTCGCATGTGTGGCATGCATGCATGTGTGCACATGTGTGTGCCGCGTGTGTATGTGTTCTCCCAGCAAGGAGCTGTCCCAGCACGCCTCTCTCAGCATCCGGCCCTGAGTCCCAGGGTCCCACCCCGGGTTCCACGGCGTCAGGATCCCACGTGGCTGTGTGTGTTAAATGCAGATTCCTGGGCCCCTCTGGCCTCACCTAAGTCAAATTTCTGGGGGGCAGGGAGAGGATCAGCCTCCCCCCAACCCCAGATATATCTGAAAATGAGGCCAACTTGGGGAACAGCTCTGAGGAAGGGAGTGGGCCCCTGCGCCGGCCTCGGGGGTGGGGGGGCCCGGGGGTGCGGGACCCGGCTGGGTCTCCCCGACTCAGTCTCACCTCCTAATCTCCAGGGTCAGCAGCCCGTAGTTGTTGGTGATTCGGTACTTGCCGGCGGGAAAGAGGCGGGGGTCGAGGCGCACGTCATTCTTGTACCTGTGGAGGCGTAGGGGTCTGTAGCGGGGTCCAGGGTCTGAGTCCATCCTCAGCCCTGGGGGCTGCTTCCTCACTTTCCCTGCTCTGAGCCTCAGTTGTTCTCATCTGTGAAATGGGAGCGCGCTAGCTCCATCCTCGTAGGGCTGCCATGATGACCGGGACAGGGTCTGTGAGGCTGATCCCAGGTATTCCCTCCCTGCAGGTGTGCCAGGGCTCCTCCCCCTGCTGAGGGCCCTCCTCTGACAGGGACCCCCAGAGGTGCCCCAGGGACCAGTCCTAGCTTTGCCCCCCTCTCCTGCCATCCCCACTCCCCACATTCTAAAGCCACAGAACGCACCCCTGGCCACTGCCGGCTGTGGCGCCTGACCCAGCAGTGCCAACAGAACGCGAGGACAACGTCCCGCGGCAGGAGCATGGCTGTGAGGGTGGCTCCTGTGCCCCGCCGAGCGCCGCCGCCCCATGCCTGCAGAGTCTGGGCAGCAGGCTCCCGTGGCAGCCCGTGCCGGCTCCCCTGAGCATCCCCACAGAAGGAAAGTAGGCCTTGCTCTTACGAAAGCCGTTGAAAACCGGACCAAACCACGTGCCCAGGCCGCATCCGGGACCAGTGAGGCCACAGATCCTAGGGGTGGGCCCTGGCATCAGCATTCTGTAAATCCCTGGGTGATTCCTGGGGGTGGTGGTCAGTCAGCGCCCCCGTCCGGATCCTTCCTCTGTTGTCTGTGTACCGGGGGTGGGGTGGCCCGGGGTCTGAAGGCCTAGTCAGACAGCTGGAGAAGGAGTCTCAGTGAAAGTTACAGAGCCTGTGTTCTTGACACAGCTCGCTGTGCGACCTTGACCAAGTGGGCGCCCTCTCTGGGCCTCTGTGCTGCTGACATGGCACTGCCAGCTCAGGGGTGAGGATGGTGGTGGTGGAGGTTCCTGAGAGGTCACCCCAACCTCCTGGTGTTCCTTGCATGCAGCCCCTCCCTTGTCCCCGTTCATCTCCATCCTAACCAAACAGAGCCGCACCTGCCCCCGCCCATGGTCCCTAGGCTGTGCCCTCCTTGGAGAACAGCCCATGTGAGGCTCCTGCGGGTGGGAGGTGCCCAGTCTCTCCAGCTCTCCCAGGCCTGGGGGGCCATGGTTAGGCCCCCACCCTGCACCTGTCAGGAACATTCCAGACACCTCAGCCTGGCCAGCCCCTGCCTTTCCCGGAAAATGCAGCAGCTGCACTGTGGGCGCTGCCAGGCCACGGCCTCGGGGCTCACCGTGCCGGGTCTCTGGGTCAGCGGCGGCACAAGCTGCGTGGACGGCCCTTGGTGGCAGCCGGAAATAAGATGACATTAAGTCAAAGAGGGGAGGCCAAGAGCCCAGCGCGGAGCCTGGCTCAGAGAGGCCCTCACCAGTGGGATTGGTATGATTTATCTAAATCTTGTTTCCCTGGGCTGGCTCTGTGGTGTAATCGGTAAAGCCGCTGCCTGCGGCGCCAGCACCCCATATGGGTGCGAATTTGAGTCCCAGCTGCTCCTCTTCCAATCTACCACCTTGCTATGATAAGGGAAAGCAGTGGAAGATGGCCCAAGTGCTTGGGCCCCTGCACCCCCATGGGAGACCCAGAAGAAACTCCTGGCTCCTGGTTTCAGATCGGCGTAGCTCCAGCCACTGCGGCCATTTGGGGAGTGAACCAGCAGATGGAAGACCTCTCTCTCTTTGCCTCTCCTCTCTCCGTGTAACTCTGCTTTTCAAATAAATGAATAACTCTTTACAAAATAAATAAATAAATTGTGTTTCTCCGCACATAATTTGCTGTTGGATGCTATTTTTAAAGTGAGGACGCAGGAGTCTAACTTGGACTCGAGGCCAAGCCCCGTGTGTGCAGCTGAGCGCGGCCAGAGGGGGCCTGCTGTCCACGGACGACCTGGGCACCAGGGGCTCCAAGGCGCCATTCGGCAGTGATTTCCCAGAGTCCAACTGGGCATGGAGGTGAGGGAGTGGGCGTGGGCACCCCGGCTCCCCACCACTGTCCCACGCACAGTTCCTGGGCTTGGCATTCAAGGCCCCAGCCCGCTGCCCAGCACGCCCCTCCTCCCCCACTTGGTGCCTTCCCCTCCTTGCGCTCCCAGTGCAGGTCTCTGCACCCCTCAGGCCGTGTGGGGCCCTCGGTGTCCTCATGCGGTGCCCCCAAGCAGACCTGCTCCTCCCTGTGGGAAACCCCTCCTGGCAGGGCCGACCCCCGACCTCCTGCAACCTCACTGCTTCCTTCCTCAGCGACCCCAGCTCTGTCTGACGAGGACTCTGGGTGCTAGCAGGTGCTACTGCATTCAGATAGTGCCCAATAATTGCTGAATGAATGCACACTCCTGAGAAGCCGGGTCTTCCTCCTGACCCAGGGCAAGGCGTCTACCGGGGCTTGGATGAACCACTGGAGGCCAATTCAGCGATGATTTGTGGCTCTGCCCAAGGTGGCAGATGAGATGGGAAGCCAGAGCCAGGAGCTCCAGGGGCCACTGAGTCACGGGTGCTGGAGGGGAGCCCGGCCTTGGCTCCTAGCCCCGCCAGGAACACTCAGCTCCCTGTTGTGGCAACCTTGTTGGCAGGCCCTCTCGACACAGCTTCCACGAATGCCTTTACCATGGCCTTGGTGCCAGGCAGGCAGGGCGTGGCAGGGGGGCCAGGACAGCTCAGGCTGTGGTGCCCTGCCCAGCCCAGGCCAGAGTCGGGGACCAGCCTCCTGCTGGACCCAGGAACCTGCACATGGAGACCCCTCGTCCCCACGGAACCCCAGCGCCCAGCAGGGGCCCGACACGCATTTTTGAATAAGCGTCAGCTGGCAACGAGCAGCCCGGCACCTCTGCCCCAAGATGGCCTTCTGATGGCTCTGGCCCTGCGGCTCCCGGAGCGCTGTGTGTTGCTTTAGGGGAGAGGGCAGGGCCAGGGCTGCTCCCCCACTCTCTGGGCTGCTGGGGAGAGCCGTGCCTGAATCCTCGGGCACTCGGCTGTGTGCCATTGGGTACGCCACAGTGGACGGCTTACCCGTGAAATGGGGGTCAGGGTCCCCACCTCATGAGGGGCCCCGAGGCTCAGGAGAGAACAAGGCTGAGTCAACGCAGAGCGGGTTCAAGTTCAAAACACGGCTCCTGTCAGCCTGAGCCGCTCACCTCCAGCTCTGGCCGTTTTGCCACCTCCTCCAAGAAGCCTGCCTGAGCACCCCCTGTCCCAGGAAGCCACTTCCTCCTCTTTGCTCCCACCCACCCTGCGCTCACAAACACAGCCCATGAGTGTCTTCTCTGTGTGTCGCTGTTTCTCTCTGGGCTGAGGGTTCCTCCGGGGCTTCGCTTCTGTGCCCAGTGCCCAAGTCAGGGCCAGGGGCTCGTTCCACGCCCCCCTAATGTGCCTGCAAAGGGCCTCAGGGAGCCCAGTACCGGGGGCTCTGTTGTGTGAAGGGCCCGCCCCGGGATGTGGCCATGCCCACCCTCACGGCCACCACGTCCGTTCAGGAGCCCCCGCCCCTCCCTCTGGCTTCTGCTGTGGTCTCCCTCCAGGAACAGTGTCTCCCTTGATCCCCGCCCCTCTCCAGGCCTGAGGGCTTCTGTGTGGCTGTGGCATCGAATCCTCACAGTGTGCAAGGTGGGTAGGCAGTCTCCAACCCATTCAACAGAACAGGAAAACTGAGGCTGGACCACAAAGGCCACGAGTCATGGCTGAGACTAACGCTGAGTTAGCAAAGAGAGCAAGCAAGCGAGAGAGCCAGAGACGCCTGGGCTTGGAACACAGGGCTCCCACCCCCGCCTGAGCCCCTTCTCCCTGTGGGCCCCTCCCTCCCCACCTCCTCCCCCTCTCCCCACCCGGTCCTGCCTCCCGCCGCAGCCCTCTGACCCTGAGATGCCCAGCTCAGAGCAGCTGCCTCCACAGGCCACCAGGGTCACACTTTTACAAGGGCTGGCTCCCCGGTGGCTCCGTCTCTGGGCCCCCAGCAGGCCCGGAGGCTAAGAATAACCGGGCCCGAGTCTTCCCGACAGCTGCTGCTTTGCTTGGGGGTGGGCGGTTGGAGGCCGGGTGAGGCCCCGGCGGTTCTTACCAGGCCACCTGGGGCGGCGGCGAGGCCTGCACGGTGCAGGTGAGCAGGACCGTGGTGTGCTCCCACACGGCGTGCGAGCGCAGCGGGATCCAGAACCAGGGCCCCCGGCCCGAACACAGCTCCAGCAGCTCCTTGGCTTCCCGGACCTTCTCCTCCGTCTGCAGGGTGGGGGTGTGACTCCGTGAGCCAGGGACTCCCGTCCCCGACACCCAGACTCGGGAGCCACACCTGTGTGGGCTGAGTGCCTGTCAGTGGGGCTCTGAGTGATTGTGTCACTTACATCTGTGAGACCAGAGGCAGGGCCTCAGTCTCCCCATCTGTAAAACGGGGATGATAGCGATACTGTCCTGCCCCCTGCGGGGCTGTCCTGAGGATTCCGGGAGCTAATTTGTGATGGACAGGCACACTGAGCAAGCCAAGGTGAGAGTCACTGGGAGGGTGGGGGGTGCTGACTTGGGTTCAGGTGCCTGAAGTGGGTGGGAATTGCATTGCCGGCCCTGGGACAGTCACGTCACAAACCCGATCTTTCACGTCCCCTCAGTCCGGAGTTGCTACAACCGCGCCTGTTTGACAGACAGGATAACTGAGCCCCAGCAATGCCAGTCACCTGCCCAGGGGCACAGAGCAGGAGGGTGGGGGCGCCAGGAGCCGCCCCCAGGGGGCGCAGGGCCCCGCGGCCTTCCTGGGTGCCCGCCGGTGTCCGTGCGGGGCTGGCACTCGGGGTGGGCACCGGCGTGGGGCCCTCACCCGCCGGCGCAGCGCGTGGCGGTCGCGTCTCTGGCGCAGCAGGCGGTGCGTGTGCAGAAAGGCCACCTCGGTCCTCTCCCAGTCGTTCCCGAAGCCCACACGCTTCTGCCCGCGCTCCTCCAGCTCCACGGCCGAGGCCTGGCGACGCAGCTGGGCCTCCCTGGGGGACAGAGGCCGGCGGGGCTGGCTGAGGACGCACAGCATGGCCCCTGCTCTTGCCCCCAAACAGCCCAAGGGGCCCTGCCAACAGGGGGCGCGAGTGGGCGCGGGGACCTCTGACAGCGCTCCTTCTCATGGCTGGGCCGGCTTCCTTTCATAGCCAGGTCCCATGCCTTTGTCTCCCGTCCTACAGGACGGCCAGCTGAGCCTGCCCCTCCCCTCCCCGCTGGCCTCCTCAGCCTCTGGGCTGGGTCTGACACTGGGGGCTGGTGGGCTGGCTCCTGCCCTCCCTCTCCCAGCCCGTGGCCAGGATGCAAAGCCCGTTGGTGACGTGGGCCCCGCGGCCTCACTAGGTGCTGTCCCTCCGTGATAAGTGGGAACCGACCCTGGGCCGTGCATGCGCCCTGCGGTGGGCCAGCCCTGGCCGGGCCCCCTGTCTGCCCCGACTGCAGAGGCTCAGGGTGGGATCCCGGCGGGGAGCAGGGGACGGAGCCAGGCTCTCACTCACCAAGACACCTCCTTGGAGGCCGTCAGGGCCAGGGCTGCTGCCAGGGCGTAGTCGGCGGCGCTGAACTGATGCTCCTCCTCACTGTGCAGGGTGAGCCGGCCGGGTACCCTTAGTGCTCCTGCAGCCAGGGCTGCGCCACCCGCTGGAGCCTCAGGGCACAACAGCAGAACCTGGCCTCCCTCCCCCATCTGCAGCCCTCTCCCCCAGGCTGGAGCCTCCAGAGGGGAGGGCTGTGAACCCCCCACCCTCAGACTGGCACCTGTAGAGGTCAGGGCTGTGAACCCCCCCACACCTTCAGATTGGCAAGTGCAGAGGGCAGGGCTGTGCCTCTGCCCTCAGACTGGCACTGCAGAGGGCAGAGCTGTGCCTCCACCCTCGGACTGGCACCTGCAGAGGGCGGGGTTGTGCCTCTGCCCTCAGACTGGCACTGCAGAGGGCAGGGCTGTGCCTCCACCCTCAGACTGGCACTGCAGGAGGCAGGGCTGTGCCTCCGCCCTCAGACTGGCACTTCAGGGGCAGGGCTGTGCCTCTGCCCTCAGACTGGCACTGCAGAGGGTGGGGCTGTGCCTCCCCCCTCGGGCTGTGGCCCCGCGCCCACCTGCTGCGGAAGGTGTGTCTCCGCACGGAGGAGCCCATGTGCAGGCTGTGCTGCCGCTGCTCCTTCCGCTCCTCCTCCTGCCGGTGCTCCCGCCTGTGCACCTCCACCACCTGGGCGGGCCGGGGCTCCCCCACACTGGCGGGGTTGTGCGGCAGAGTCATGGCTGCGAGACAACCTGCCAAGGCCGAAGTGCACGGTCGGTCACCCTTCCAGGCACTCGCCGTCCCTTCCTGGGTGGTCCCACCCCCACCTCTGGGAGGTCTGTGGGCAGGGCGTTCTCTCTCTAGTGAGCAGGTGGAGGCACTGGCTGAAGATGGGACAAGGTGGCGGAGGCAGCTTCAGGGCCTCGCCAGCCACTGGGTGAGCAGAGCAGAGCCCCCGCTGGGGGACAGGCCCAGGGCCGCTGTAGCCCTGCCCTGCCTTGCTGGCTGCAGATGGGGGGGGCTTCCCCTTCCCCGGGCCTTCACTTGCTGGACTCTGAGCGACTGGACACTCTGATGTCAAGGCTGTCTGGGGGCTTCAAAGTGGGCAGGTGTCCCCCTCTCCCCTCTCCTGCCCCTGCCCACACTCAGTCCCACCCCTGGGCCTTTGCCCGTGCTGGTTTCCTCTCCTGGAGAGCTTTCCCCTCCCCCAGCCCTACTGGACTCTACTCTTGTTCAAAGCCCTGCGTGTGAAAGCTGGAGCTACAGGTGCAGCCCGCCAAGCTGGTGACCTTGGGGGAGACTCTGGGACCTGGTGTTCTCGTCTGTGAAATGGGTGTGATCCTCCCAGGTGGGTGCTTGGGCCCCACCCCTGAGAGCTGGACATTAGCAGTCTTTCTCTAAGGACTCTGCTGAAAAGCCACAGGCCACCTTGAACTTGCCCTCCTTTTGCACTTGGATCTGCACCTCCCGTTCCGCCCTGACTCAGAAAGCGCCTCCTCGGTTGGGTCATCATTTAATAACTGCATGCTCTCTGTCAGTGAACTGAAGTGACAAGTGTGGGCACCCACTGTGTGCCCGGCCCCAGGTCAGGAGCGCTCGGTCCCGGGGATAGCCTGCGTGGTGGCAGCGCCGGGTGACCCTCTCCGTAGGTCTGTGGTCCCTTGGAGGGAGATTTGGGGTGGGGGTGAGGGCCAGGGCCCTGAGGTTCCTGGGGCTCTGTCTTAGCAGCAGGTGCTCCACTGGGTTCCGAACCTTTGCTCTCTCTGGGTGTCCACGGTTGTGGCCATCAGGACAGAGACAGGGGATGACTGCAGAGTTGGCCGGGCCCTGGGGCTGCCCCTAGCCCCCACGGCTGTGGCTCCGGGGATGATCTCAGCCGAGGGCACTGGGACAGCCACCCCTTGGGCTTCCTGTCTGGTCCCGGGCTGGGGGGGCGGGAAGAGGTCAGCTGGCCCTGCTCATGCTGCTCTCTGCTCCGCACAGCTGCTGGGACCCCTCCCCCACTGGAGGAGGGGCAGAATGAGGCTTCCCCTCCCCCAGCCTCACTGGGACTCCGAGGCCCCCACCCCGGGGAGCCGAGGTTTCAGGTTGGCTGGCGTCAGTGCGCTGGCTCCCTGCCCCTGGAAGCTCAGCTCCCGATTAGCACAGCGGCCGGGCCTGGGCCTGGCACTGCTCCCTGCCCCTGGGGACTGCAGCAACCAGACCCCCGGCTTTAGCGGATGAGCCACTGATGCTTTTTAAAGCGCTGACTGATGCGCAGGATTAAGCGGGGACACGTTTGTGCTGCCCTTCTCCCACCGGACCAGGGCGCCTTTGCCTGGCACCCTGTGACAGCCCCCTGGTGGGCACCCCGGGAGGCCTCTCCCCTCCCTCAGGACAGACAGAACACACACAGGGGCTGCGCTGTGCGCTGGGGGCCAGGCAGAGACAGCCGCTGGCCAGGACTGGTTAGCCGGCAGCTCCGGCGGCTTCCCAGAGGCCGGGATTTGGCCCTGACCCTGTTGAGCCAAGGCAAGCCCTTCCCCATCTGTGTTGGATGAGATCCCTTTGAGCTGTAGGATTCGGGATGCCTTCGCCCTCTCCCTCTGCCTTCGGCCGGGCCAAGCACAGCTTGGGCAGCACTGCTCTGTTTTTGGGTTGTGCCTGCTCCCCCACTCTCCATGTCAGACTCTGGGTCCCAGGGCACAGCCAAAGGTCTGGCTTTGTGGCTCACAGGTCACTGAGGACCCGGCTCGGAGGACCCAGTGCCACCCGGTCTCTCCTTCCCCACCCCACCCACCCCCACAATCACAGAGATCCCTTCCCAGGGGGTCTCCCTTTCTGGTAGCCCCCTCCTGATCTGTAATCCCCGGAGGCGACACTCACAGAGGTAGCTGTGCCCACTTGGAAGTCTCCGGTGGGGGGGTGGAGTCCAGCGGGTGAGAGGCTCCTGGTGTCTTCTTGTCCTCGGCTCGGTGGGGACTGGGAGGAGAACGCGGGCCTGCAGCCCGCACAGGCTTAAATATAGCAGCTCGAGTCGGTGTGATGACAATGGAGAGGGGCTGTGTCCTTCCAGCACTACGGGGCAGAGCAACAGGTGGAGCCACCCCCACGCACCCCACCCGGCTGCTGCCCTCACTCCACGCCTTCTGCCCGGCCGAGTGCCTGTTTAGGAAGGCAGACCTGGGGGCTTGCCAACTGCGGGGGTTCTGATCGAAACGCTCCCTCTGGCTGCCGGGGTGCCCTGGGGAAGGCACTCGGCTGCTCTGTGTCGGATCTGATTCCCTTCTGAAAAATGGAGACAGTGAAATTGGGCACCCAGACTACACCAAGACGGTGGAGGGAAGGGAACCTAAAAATGAGCCCTCGTGCTTGTAAGTTATCCCTGCCTAAATAGCAAACGTGGCTTCTCCTCTCTCTGCCACTCCCTGCAGCCACCGATGTGGCCCCTGAGTGTCTGCTGGGGGGCGTGGCCCGGGTGGGTGTGGGAGAAGCTGGGGAGCCAGGGGGGAGGCACCTCAGGGCCAGCTTCTGTCCCTGGCCCCTCTTGGGGCTCTGAGGCGGCCAATGACGCTGTGCAGGTCCCTCTTCCTAGTGTCTCGGGGACTCCTCGGGGAGAGACGACACCAGGGAACTCCTCCCTCAAGTCTTACTCCTGCTCGATTTGCAAGCCCTTTCTAAGCTGTCCTGCTTGTCTCCCTTCCTCCTTGGCTGCATTGATTACAGGTTGTTTTTTTTTTTTTTTTAAGATTTATTTGTTTATTTGAAAAACAGTTACAGAGAGAGAGAAAAATAAAGAGAGAGAGAGAGAGAGAGAGAGAGAGGAACCGATCTTCCATCCATCTACTTCCATCCAAATGCTGGCCCAAATGTTGGGCCAGGCTGAAGCCAGGAGTCAGGAGTTTCATCTGGGTCTCCCCTGTGGGTGCAGGGGCCCAAGCCCTTGGGCCATTTTCCATTACTTTTCCCAGGCCATTAGCAGGGAGCTGGATCAGAAATGGAGCAACCAGGACACTAACTGGCACCCATATGGGAGGCTGACACTGCAGGCTGCAGCTTAACCAGCTGTGTCACAGCGCTGGCCCCATAATTACATCTTTTAGGGGAGCACCCCTGGCGTTGCTCTCCCCTCTTCTACTGACCCAGCCTAAGAAGGGCTTTCCGAGGTGCCGTGACAGGGGCGTGTGAACCTGCACTACGGCAGGCAGAGGTGTGTGCTTCCCGCTCAGTGGGGCACAGGCATCTGAGCAGGTGAGAGCAGGTGTACCTGGAGGTGAACCCTGAAGCCAGAGTGGCTTGTACTCCGGATCTGCCCCTCTTACGCACTAGTCACCTGCAGCTACAATCCCTGGGAGAAGCTGCTGAGGTCGGAGGTCTACTTGGGCTCGAGGTTTTGGAGGTTCACAGTTCAAGATCAGCAGGCTCACCAGGCTGGCATCTGACGAGGGTGGGAGGTGGGTAGGGCACGCGGAGGGAGGGTCAGACGGCAAGACAGGAAGCAGAGGGGCACAGGGTGCATCCAAGTGAGGGCTCTTTGTGGAGCCACCGGCGTTCAGTCCTGGGCCCCACCCCAGCGACATCACGCAATCCTCGGCCCTGCCTTCAGATGCCACGGCTGCCCTGAGATCCGTCCATAGTCCAGAAACAGAAGAAGCCGGGGACCAGGTCCTTTGGGGAGTGCCCAAACCATGACAAATTCCTGGGACCTGGGCCAGTCACTCAACCATTCTTTTTTTTTTTTTTTTTTTTAAGATTTATTTTATTTGAAAGAGTTACACAGAGAGAGAAGGAGAGGCAGAGGCAGAGAGAGAGAGAGGTCTTCCATCTGCAGGTTCACCCTCCTGTTGGCCACAATGGCTGGAGCTGCACTGATCCAAAGCCAGGAGCCAGGAGCTTCTGGGTCTCCCACGCAGGTGCAGGGGCCCAAGGACTTGGGCCATTCTCCACTGCTTTCCCAGCCCATAGCAGAGAGCTGGATGGGAAGTGGAGCAGCTGGAACTAGAACCGGCAGCCATATGGGATGCCGGCACTGCAGGTAGCAGCTTTACCCGCTATGCCACAGCGCTGGCCCCTCCATTCTGGTTTTATTCCCTGCGCAATGCCCACCTGTTGAAAGGATTCCGTGAAGAAGCGCAGAGCCTCTGGCATGGCGCCTGGCCAAGTGAGAGCCCCACCGGTGACCCCACACCTCTGCCAGGGCTTTCTTAAGCCACACCCTTCTGGGGGTGGGGGTCCTTGGAGCCCATGGCTGGCCACACCCCAGTGATGCGCTTCCTGCCCACCTCAGGTGGTGGGGCCAAGCAGGGGTTGGAGTACTTGGCATCACTCATACCCTGGTTTGCATCTCAACCTCGGGGACCTTGACCTGCTTTCTGGGCCTGTTTTCCTGTCTGCATGCTGGGGACGAGTTCTCAGATTCTGTCAATCTTTCTCCTTTGGAAGCTGCCCTGGTTCCACGCCGGGCTACACCTTGGCCGCCTGGGCCACGCCAATCACTTCTCCAAAGCCCCTCCTCTGAACCCTGAAGCTGGCCGCAGTGTTCACCCTCTTGGGACTCTGGGGACCAAACCTTTCATACATAGGCCGTTGGGGACACTCAGTGACATGCAAGCCACAGCAGGCCTGCTCTGCAGCAGGCCTGGAGACTCGGGGGAGCTACGTGTAAAGCATTGGCCGTGGTACCTGACCCACACTGCCCTCTCTACCCTCTCCTCCTCTCCTTTCTCTCATTCCCTTCCTGGGACTTCTGACCACACTGACAGCTCCCTGAACCCTGCTTCACAGACCAAGTACCCCATCGCCACAGCACCCCCCCACCCCCGCCATAGCAACCAAGCTGTCCTTGGCTGATGGCTCCACCTGGTGGCTCCAGTGGAGAACTGCCCGGCCCAGTGCTTCCTCCCTGCTCCTGGGATTCTGTGCAGGCATCCGTCTCCCTGACCTTCCTCGGTGGCTCTCCTATTCCAGTTAACTCCAGCTATCATGCTCATACCTACAGGGCAAGGCTTCTCGTCTTCATGTTCTTCCTCCTTAGAGTAGAGAGGGGAAATGGGCTCCCACCGCCCAGATGCTGAGTGTGGGCTGGGCTCTCAGAGCAAGGTCTCCCCGGCACAGCTCCTGCAAGGAGGCACGGGCGGTCTCCCGGTCTGTCGCCGTGCTGCCCTCAGCTCAGGTTTCTGTCCTACGGTCTGGAAGGCGGGGTGGGGATGACACCAAGCCATGATCTGCTTGTCCAGGCTGACGCTCAGATGTGGCGGGCGGGGGGTTAGGGGCAGGAGGATCCAGCCCCATACACAGGAACCGCAGCGCTTGTGTCCAAGCAGCCCTTGTGCTCCTCACTGCAGTAACTCCAGTTTCATTAAGAGCTGTTGTTACCAAGTTTGTACCTAATTTACGAATCTCGAACACACGGTGTTTATAGGGCTTGGCGTTTTCTATGGTTTCAGGCACCCACTGGGAGTCTGGGAATGTTTCCCCCTGGATAAGGGGGTGGGAGTTCAGTCTGATGATTTTTTTTTCCTCCTGGACTTTGCTTTTTCATGCTTGCAGGCAGGCCACACCTCGGAGGCGCACCTTTCTCTGGGCTGCACTAGGTGGCGCTGTGACGATTTCCACCAACAGAGTGGGACCGTGGGGTTTTCCGGATTGCCAGGGCCCCTGCCAGCTGCCAGGATTGAGCCACTGTGCCCTCTAGCAGGTGCCAGCCCCTCTGCAGGCCTGGGCTGCCTCAGCGCAGGAACCTCAGGGGTCATGCAGCCTGGAGCCTGTGCCTCGCCTGGGGACAGGGCCAGTCTGATGAGGGTCAGAGGTGCAGAGCCATGCCTTGTCTTTGAAACCTTTGCCAGTGGAGGGCTTTGTGGTCCTGTGGTTTGGAAGCAGAATTTATGGCTCTGATTAAAAAAACCAAGCGGGTATCTCCTGGTGCCACTCACCAGGCGGGGCTGGGCCAGCTGCTGGGTGCTAGCGCTAACAAACAAGGGAAGACAGGTAACCTTTGACCGGGGCCCCAAGGGACAGGAAGTTGCCACCGGTGGGGGTGGGGGGGATAAGCAGCTGCTGAGATGCAAATGGGGCCAGAGGTGCTGGGGAGGGCGGCCCCCTCTGTTAGGGAGATAGGAGCCAGGGGCCTTGAAGAGGTGTTAAATATTAATTATAGATCAGAAGGAAGCCACCTGTCCCCTTGTCCCAGGGAGAGGGAAGAGTGGGGAAGAAAAGCAGACCCGCTTCTGGGAACGGGAAAGGGCTCCAGACCCTGGGGGAGAGGTCACATGGAGGCAGCCAGTTTGATCCGGTTTCTCAAAAATGCCCAGTGAAGGCTTTGGGCCAAGAGGGCCCCTTAGCCCCCCACCCCAACTTAGACCCCATTAGTTTTGTCCACAGCGTGGACAGGGAGCCCCTGGTTCCAGCTCTAGCTCTGTCCTGACCACTGCTGCTCCTGTAGGAGACCCCCCTTCTTTGGGAGACCCAGAGCTGGGATCCCCAAGGTCTCGCCTTCCCCACCCCAGGGGCACCTGAGACGTGAGGAACACGAGGGTGTAGTGGCATCCTGGAGCCAGAGCCGGGGGCGCCTGCCCAGCCTGGGAGTGGACACGGGGGTGGGAGCATGGGGCTGGGCAGCGCTGCCGCCAGTGGGGTCCGGGAGGCGGCAGTGCAGCGGCGTGGGGACTCCACGCAGACAGAGATGTCTGAGATGGCCTGTGTAGCCCCCACACCGCTTCCTTCTGCAGCCTCGGGGAGAAGGCGTGCAGTATCTTGTCTCTAGACCCTGTTTCCGGAAGGCCCTGCGCGGCCTCCCCTGACCCAGTGTGGCCTGCAGGACCAGCTCGGCGAGCCTGGGGGAGCATGCAGCCCGCCTCAGTCTGCACAGCTCTGGAGTCATCCCGGGAAGTAGCTCCATTTATTGGGCACCACTGCTGTGAGCGAGCCCTTGACACACATTGTCTCATTTCCCCTCAACACCACCCGGGGAGGCGGTGCTGCTCTCCCCGTTTCACAGATGCAGGAACTGAGGTCCTGAAGTCACCCAGCTGGTGAGCAGTGTGCGTGAGCTGGACCCAAGGCTGGGCCCAGCGCTGCCAGGTAAGTACTGTTCTTTCACTGTCGTTTTTCACTGTTGTGTTCCCTCTCAGAGGCCACCCAGCCCCCACATTCCTTTCAAACCCCGTTCTTAGCATCCAGTCTGAACCTTCCGCCTGCAGAGAGCACTTGGGGTCCCTCTGCCTGGTGGGCCTGCAGGGGGCGAAGCCTGCAGCTGAGGCACAGGATGCCCCTGGTAGGGAATGAGCCGCAGGCCGCACCCCTCCCCGGAGTCTTGCCACTGGGCTTGATTCTGACCGTGGTGGCAGTGCGGTTTGACCTGATTCTGCCTGGCGGACGGTGAGTGTCCTTTTCCGGGCTCCTTTGACGGTGGTGAGCTGCGCAGAGGTGGCCGAGGCTCGCTCGCTGTGGCTGCTGACATGGGCCAGGAACGGGGCGAAGAGATGCCGGCTCCTTTGGGAGGCTTCCCCGCTAGCCCCTGGGGCTGATGCCCCCTCCACCAGGGCTCTGCGAGCCCACCCTTGCTGGCGTGCCGGCCCGCCTGCAGCTCCTCCTGCGGCAGCTGAACCCCAGGTTCTCCTCTGGCGAGAGCTCACTCATGGCGGGGACCCCTCGTCCTGCTTCCTCCGGCCCTCTCCAGGGCGCCCACCTGGGGCTGCAGCACAGGCTGTGTGGCACGGCTGGGTGCCGGTGACAAGAGGAAGCCCCAGGCTCTCCCCGTCCCTCTCTCAGGACTCCCACTGCACGGTCAGGGCCAGGCCCCTGAATAGTGAGTCCAGCTCTGTGGGCGGCTCCAGGCCCGGGGCCCTGGGGGCTGAGCCCTTGGCTTCAGCCTCGGACCCTACACTGTCATCCTTGGGACACACCACAGAGTCCAGCAGGCCCCAGAGACTTGGGCCGTGTTCTGAGGGGGAACAGGGAGGGGAAGGGGTGTTCAAAAGCAGGGGTGCGGGGTGGCCTTCGATCTGGACCGAGGAGAGGAGTGGGAGATCATTCCTGAGGAACCCTGGGATCCCCGGTCCCTCGCTGTGCAGCACGCCCAGGTCACGTTCTCTGTCCTTGCAAACTCCCAGGGGCGGGTGGAAGGGGCTGTCTTCTCTGGGGTCCTCCACGGCTGAGGAGATCAAGGAGGTCACTTCCTGCAGAGAAAGGCCCTCTGGGATGGAGCTTCCTGCTGGCGCCTCTTCCGGGATCTGACTCCTGGGCCAGAGGTGCTGGGGACCAGCGAGTGCCGCAGGGGGCAGGTCTTTGCCGGAGTCAGCCACGCACACGCCATAGGAAGGAAGCCAGCTGTCGGCCGCGGCTTGCGGGGCATAGGAGGAGGGCTGAGCCTTAGGGATGGCCTGTGGGGCATAGGTGGGCGGCTTTGCTTTGGGGGTTACTTGGGGTGTGTAGGATGGTGGTGGGACCTCAGGGGTCGCCTTGGGGGCACAGGGTAGCCTGGTGGAGCGTGTCTGGGGAGGCGTGGCGTCGGAGGGCCTGAGGACGGAGCTGTCCGACTGCTCTACGTAGACCATCCCGGGCGGGCTGTGCAGCTGTGCGGCTCCTGGGGGCTCCTGCGGCCCCAGACCCTTGATCTGGGAGTACTGGACAGGCTGGACCAGGCTGCCGGGGCTGCTGGGGCCGCCGAGGTCAAAGACGGGGACCAGGACGCGCTCCTGGATGGAGTGTAACGGCTGGAAGGTCAGGACTCGCTGGACGTTCTGTGAGGGACAACAAGAACCCGGCCCTGTAGGTCAAGCGGAGGCCCTCGGCGTGGGGGGTGGGGCGGACCCTCCAGGGGCCTTCCCAAGATCACAAGCCCCACACTTCTCTGCTTCCCAGAGATTGCTCTGAATGCCACGGACGGGGCTCCCTGTGCTTTGGCTGAGGGTCAGTTCCGAAGCCCGGGGAATCTCAAGGATGGGGAGTCGGGCTCTGGTGGCCCCAGGAGGTGCGTGACCCCAGAAGGAGATGACCCAGACTTAGGGTTGCCTTGGGGTTCGCTCTCAGGGCTCACGGGTCCCCAAGGGCTTGGCCACGGGCAAGGTGGGACAGGAGGAGACCAAGGCTCATCTGGACTTGGCTGCTGCCTCCAGGTGCCCCAGGGGACCCCTCCCTGAGTGGCTGCAGCTCAGGTGACTCCGCCTGCGGGCTGGGGGCCTCTGAGCGGCTCTGTGTGGCTCGTCTGGGGCTTCACATGTTAACATGAGTTTTGAAGAGTTGAGAACTGGGAGCTCTTGCATTACAACCTGACATTCTGACTTCTCTTGAAGAAACGCAAAGAGGGGCAGCATCAGGCCTGTGTTCCCTGGTCACCCTGGGGCTTCATGGCTCCCCGCCCCCCCCCCGCCCCTGCTGCTCCCGGGAGTCCTCCGTCCCCCACGTGGCCCTGGGCCTTGCAAGCCACTGTGCAACCCCGCTCCATGGGCACTCTTTCCCCACCACCTGCCCCTGTGCAATGCTCGCCACGACCAGTCGCTCCTGCCCTCTGCTCCCGGGGGGGCCTCCCTGCACCTCCCCCTGCCCCAGGCAGGACGGCTCACCAGCGAGTTGGGAGGTGCCGGCGGCTTGGTGACGTATCTGTAGCTCAGGCAGCAGAACACCGCCATCAGGAAGCCCATGAGGAACACGATGGCGCCCAGGAAGGAGTAGACCCAGGTCCGATCTGGGCGCGAGAAGGGACCAGAGAAGGAAGCGTGAGGCTGGGATCTGGCTGGGCCTGGTCGCCGTGTGGACGCTGCGTGCCCCCGCGGGCTCCTACCCTCAGCATTCGCAGGGCTGGGGCCAGACCTCCAGTGGGGTCCTGTGTGCTCAGGCTACATGGCCGTGTTTTTACCACATTTCAAACAAGGAGCTCCCTGAGCCACCTCATCATAGCCACCTGGGATTCCGGGGTTCCACTCGGAATTCCTGGGGTTCTGAGTCCTGGGCGGAAATGTGGAGGTGCAGAGAGAGCTCCCCCCGTTGGCCCCATTCCAACTACAACTGACAGGGCCCTGATGCACGTGCCCAAGGCGGCCCGGCTCAGCCACATCCCCTACAAGTAGCCACCCATGGCCAGCTGCTGGGTCCGAGGGTCAGCCCTCGCCAGGGAGGACCAGGGTCACATTTTCCCTGGGAACACAGGTGCAGGGCGTGGGTACTGGGAATGTCAGGCCCCCGAGGGTACTCAGGTGCGGTCTGGAAGGGAGGCCTTGCTCCAGGGACTCTTGATCTCTGGGGAGTGGGGTAGGGGGGCGCCTGGAGGGGCAGAGGCACAAGCAGAGGGCCTGTCCTGTGCGGCAAGGTCCTGGGGACCCTGGGAAGTCACCACTCTTTCCAAAAAGGAAGACGAGGGGTGACTCCGGGCTCCCGTGCCCCTCCCTCTCCTGGCCGGGCATCTTGGGGGTGGACACACCAGTCCAAGCGGGGCTCGAGATGGGCTTGGAGAGGAAGAGGACGCTAGAGGGTTTGTCCCCCTCCTTCTGGTCTGGGGCGCCCATCACCAGCCGCCGTTGACCTCAGCAATCACCGTGAACCAGGGGTTCACGCGTCCCTGTCACCTGACATGCTCCCCGCTGCTGCGGGGGGAGACAGGACCTGAATGTCCCGACCGGCCCTGCGTGACATGCCTAACGTGCCTGGGAGGCCACTGCTCCTGCTCCAGGACAGGACGGGCACTCAGAACATTCCCGGGCTGGATACACTTGCCATTGCACCGATGGGCGGCAGCATGCGGTAACGAAAACAGCAGCGGGGTATCAGAGCCCTGGCTGCAACGCAGGCTCGCGGGGCAGCCTTGGCTCTGCTGCACGACCCTCTCTGGTCTGCCATCTGCCACTGCGCTTGGTGCGCTGCCTGTCCGCCCCCGCCCCCACCCCCCGTCACCAAGACAACGTGGAGGGTGGGGGAGGCTCCTTCCTGTCGACAGTGGAGCTGAGTCTTAGCTCCAGGTGGACCTGGCCAAGGTCACACAGCCCTCAGTGGAGAAGCCAGGGCCCACGTGTGACGGTCCCGAGCTCACCCTCACAGCCCCTGCACAATCACGCCTCAGTGTGGGTGCCTGACCCCTGGAGCCCTTTCTAGCACCCAGATGCTGGGATGCTGTGCTGTGACCCTCGCAGACATCCTGAGAGGTAGAGAAGGGGGGGTGCTGGTGGTAGCACCCAGCACCCCCAGCACACCTGGCACACCTGGCACCCCAAGCACACCTGGCACACCTGGCACCCCCAGCACACCTGGCACACCCAGCATAGCTGGCACACTCGGCTCACCTGGCACACCCAGCATAGCTGGCACACTCGGCTCACCTGACACACCCAGCATAGCTGGCACACTCGGCTCACCTGGCACCCTGAGCACACCTGGCACAGCTGGCACACCCAGCACACCTGGCACATCTGACACACCCCGCATAACTGGCACACCCAGCTCACCTGGCACACCCAGCATAGCTGGCACACTCGGCTCACTTGGCACACCCAGCATGGCTGGCACACTCGGCTCACCTGGCACCCTGAGCACACCTGGCACAGCTGGCACACCCAGCACCCCTGGAACACCTGGCACACCCAGCACACCTGGCGCACCCAGCACAGCTGGCACACCCGAGGCAGACAGCACACAAGGCCAAGGGAGCCTGAGACGGGAGGAACAGGAGTGAGTGTGGAGCAGGTGGTGAGAGCCGCTGTGTGGCCACAGGCAGGCTGAGGCAGAGTTCCTCCTCCGTAGAGTGGGGATGAGGCTACCCAACTCGCAGGGTTGCTTTAAACTTTAAATAATATAACAATAATAATAAAGATCAAAGAGGACAGGTAAAGGGGCCGGCGTTGTGACTCGCGGGTTAAGCCGCCAGCTGTGACACCAGCATCCGTATCCGAGTGCCGGCTGTTCCGCTTCCCATCCACTCCCTGCTAATGCACCCGGGAGGCGTCAGGTGATGGCCCAGGTACTTGGGCCCCTGCACCCACGCTGGAGACCTGGATGGAGCTCCTGATTCCTGGCTTTGGCCTCGCCCAGACCTGTCTGTTATGGCCAGGTGGGGAGTGAACCAGCAGTTAAAAGATCTCTCTCGGCCAGCGCCGTGGCTCACTAGTCTAATCCTCCACCTGTGGCGCTGGCACACCGGGTTCTAGTCCCGGTCAGTGTGCCAGATTCTGTCCCGGTTGCCCCTCTTCCAGTCCAGCTCTCTGCTGTGGCCAGGGAGTGCAGTGGAGGATGGCCCAAGTCCTTGGGCCCTGCACCCACAAGGGAGACCAGGAGAAGCACCTGGCTCCTGGCTTCGGATCAGCATGCCAGCCGCAGCGGCCATTGAGGGGTGAGCCAACGGCAAAGGAAGACCTTTCTCTCTGTCTCTCTCTCTCTCACTGTTCACTCTGCCTGTCAAAAAAAAAAAAAAAAAAAGATTCTCTCTCTCTCCCCATCTCTTCCTCTCTCTCTGTTGCTCTTTCAAATAAATAAATCTTTCAAGAAAAGACTACATGTGAAGCATGTGACCCAAGCGTGGGAATTTGGCAGCACTTAATAAACGGCAGGAATTATTTTTAATTATAATATTCCTAAGGATGAAGTGCCTTCTCAATGCCATCAAGGCGTAGCCACCAAGAAGTGTGATTTACATAAAAGTAGCTACAGTCTTAGAAAAAAAAATGGCGTCACTTCCTGAGCAGGCTCCCTGAGAAGGAGAAGCCGCCCGAATGTGCCAGGAGGTGGGCGGGGCAGGGATGGGCAGGAACGGCTTCGATTTGCCCCATGCAGGCCAGGGCACAGGGGCACCAGCCAGCACTGCTCCCAGCTTAGCGCCCGAGAAGCCCCGTGCCTTCCTCCGGTTCTCAACTTGCCCCTCTCGCTCTGCAGTAGTCCCAGCTCCCAGAAGGGTGCGTCCTGGGCAAGTGGCCAGCTGGCCTATGTCCCCTGCTAATGAACGCCCTGGGATGTGGGTGGAGGACCGGTCTCCTAGGGGCTCTTCGGGAAATGGATGAGTTGAGTTTCTGAACCAAACAGAGGGGCCCCTGGGACCACGCCCTGTCTGGCTCTCAGAGGAAACTCTGCCCCAGTTGGAACAGAAATCACCTTGCTGGCGTCACGAACCCAAACACGCCGACTGCGGGGAGACTGCTTTTCCCAACCCGCCCGACAGCCCGCTTGCATTTCCATCCTCTCAGCTCTCTACTGTCTGCCTATGAAAGCAGACACTGATAAGGAAGCTTGAGGCAGGGGCTGGGGTGGTGTTGCGACATGCTGGAGGGAGGAGCAGGAGGCAGCTTCTCGCCCAGCCCCAGCCGTGGTGAGAACGCGATCTCGCTCCATCTCTCAGCACCTGTGTGGCCTTGGGCCAGTTGCTGAACCACTCTGAAGGTCAGTGTCCTATCGGGAGGATGGTGCCCACCGCCCAGACTGCTCAGGTGGACAGCCATCTGGTTGGCACAGGAGCAGTGCCGGCCATCATCATTGCCTTTATTCCTTTTTTTTTTTTTTTTTTGACAGGCAGAGTGGACAGTGAGAGAGAAAGACAGAGAGAAAGGTCTTCCTTTTGCTGTTGGTTCACCCTCCAATGGCTGCTGCGGCCGGCGCGCTGTGGCGGGCGCACCGCGCTGATCCGATGGCAGGAGCCAGGTACTTATCCTGGTCTCCCATGGGGTGCAGGGCCCAAGGACTTGGGCCATCCTCTACTGCACTCCCTGGCCACAGCAGAGAGCTGGCCTGGAAGAGGGGCAACTGGGACAGAATCCGGTGCCCCAACTGGGACTAGAACCCGGTGTGCCGGCGCCGCAAGGCGGAGGATTAGCCTAGTGAGCCATGGGGCCGGCCTGCCTTTATTCTTACTGGACTTGGGAAGATGTTGAGGGGTCCTTTTATCTTCTCTGCTCTCACTGCTGCAGATGCCCCGCCCCCCCAGTATATCTTACTTGGGTGAACATTGCGGTGTTACCAGGGCATTGCCAGAGAGAGAGGAAACCCAAGTGTAGACTGGAGGGTGGGATTAAACATTGACTCTGATAACCCATCAGCTAACCCAGCTACGGATAAACAGAGATCGACCTTAATAATACACTAAATACCAACCCTTCCGTGGTTCCTGTGCACCTGCCCAAGCGTCACCGTGGTTACCTGGAGGAAAGAGTGAAGGCTTGGACTCAGAGTCCCGCCTCTCTCTGGCTCCCCCGGAACTCACCTGGCAGCGTCTTCACTCGGCACACATAGGGGTTACTCTCCTTGGACCAGGTGGGCACAAAGATCGTGATGGAGCCGAGGAACTCCGTGTCAGGCGTCAGGCCAAAGAACTCGTATTCTCTCTGCTTCCCTCCAAGGTGCTGAATTTAACCGAGAACCCAGAGTGATTTCTCTTCCATGGAGAGCTCCTCCTGGGCCAGCAGCTGCCCAACCAGCGGCTGAGTCGGTCTGCAGTCCCCACTCCCACTCCCGCCTCCTGCTTTCCCCCCAGATCCAATCAGTAGCCAGCCCCCATGTCCTTTTTACTGAGTGGCGTTTGGCATGCAGCAGGCAATCAGCAAATGCTACCTACTACTATGACATCATCATCACCACCCTCCTTCCAATCCCCCCACCCACAACCCCTCTTCTTCCAGTTCTTCTCCTCTTCTCCTTCTTCACCAAAAACCCTTTGCAGGTGCACGCCTCTCACCTTCCTCATTGCCTCTGCTCTCACTGGGCCTCACTCCTGCAGGCTGCACCTTGCAGTGGCCTCCTCACTGGTTGCCTGTCCCTGGCTTTGCCCCTGCCCACGCCATATTCACCCTGGTGCCATCGCAATCTCACTCAACAACCAATACGATTTCATGCTCCTGCATCCCAAGTCCTTGGATGGGCTGCCCATGTTGGCAAGGTAAAATCCCAGTCCCTGTCTCGTCTGCACTCATCTCTCTGCAGCCCCCTCCCCGGCAGTGCTGAAAACCTGTGGTGCTGGCAAACACCAGCTTGCCTGACCAAACTCCAGTTCCTTTGCACTTGCCGGGGCCCCCCTGCTGTGACTATGGTTCAATCCCATCCCCTGTGAGACCCTAACCTCCTGTTCCTTGAACCCCTCGCCCTCGGCTGCCGTGTGTGTCCTGCCTTTCCTCTTATCCCTTGATTGCTTTCCCACTTGGTTTTGCCTCTCAAAGCTGAGATTTTCAAGACGCCTCCTTCATGCATGTTCCTTCTCGCTCACATGCCCTCTGGTCATTTGACTGTCCAGAGCTGTGACTCCTGTGATCCCCGATGGATGGGTAACTCCCAAACCATCTCAGGAAGAGTCCAGGGCTCCTGCCATCCATGGTGACCTCCTCTCTCTGGGTCCTGCCCCATCCCAAGCCTCGAACCCATACCCATGCTGAATTCTCTGATTCTGCTAATAGCATCATTCTTTTTCTGATCTCCAAGCCCAGACCTCAGAGCCATTTGTGACACATCCTCTCTCACATCTTTGTGCCACACTGCCCTTAACTGAACCTTACACCTCCCATGAAAGGGCAGGGCTTGAGCCGGCGCCGCGGCTCACTTGGCTAATCCTCCACCTTGCGGCGCCGGCACACTGGGTTCTAGTCCCGGTCGGGGCGCCGGATTCTGTCCTCGTTGCCCCTCTTCCAGGCCAGCTCTCTGCTGTGGCCAGGGAAGGCAGTGGAGGATGGCCCAAGTGCTTGGGCCCTGCACCCCATGGGAGACCAGGAGAAGCACCTGGCTCCTGCCTTCGGACCAGCGCGGTGCACCAGCCACAGCACATCAGCCATGGCGGCCATTGGAGGGTGAACCAACGGCAAAAGGAAGACCTTTCTCTCTGTCTCTCTCTCCTACTGTCCACTCTGCCTGTAAAAAAAAAAAAAAAAAAAGAAAGGGCAAGGCCTGTGTTCTTGGGACTTCCATAGCCAGGAGTAGACTGCCCTGTGGCTCTCTCTTTCCTCTTCTAGGCACATGGAAGCCAAGATTTGGGGTCATTTTTGGAAGGAGGGGTGTGGGAGCAGGTGAATAAATACATAAACAGATTGTACAAGTTAGAGTTTTGTGCAACATATTTGAAATCACATACATTGGAGCCATGGGACCCAACTCCAGGACAGGTGGCAAGCCCCGAGATTCCTCTCTCCCAAGTTCTTCGCTGTTCCCATCTGGTTCCAGCCATTGCTATTTTCAGCCCAGACTACTGCAGTAGGCCCCTGACTTCCAATCCTGATCTCTCTTCATTCTGATTCTTGTAAGCTACAGCTTCTGTTGGGCAAACCTTACCCCAATTAACAGCTTTACTTCTCACCAAAAAACAAAACAACCACCTAAAGGCACAGGTGAGTAGACAAAGGCAGGCAGAAGGTGGAGAGAGGAGGAAAGGCATGGCGCTGAGTGAATTTCCTAATTTTTAGCCTGCAGGAAGAGCCCAGTTGAGAGACCCTGTCGTCTCACAGCCTTGAATAAGCAGAGGAAGGAGTCTGGGATAATCTCAAGGGCTGAACTGCACCCACAGATAGGTGCAACCCACAGAACGGGAGGCCCCGGGCTCTGTGAATGAATTCTGCGAATATCCTGGCCGGGCCCTGCAGTGTGCCTGAATGGCATGGACTCCCAGCAGCCCTGCTCGGGGTCACAACAAAACAAAGCTGGACTCAGATTTCATAGTTTCAGCTAAATAAACGGCTAAAACAAACAAAGTAATGCTCTCTGGAGGAAGACGGTAAAGTCCAGAGTACTTCAGTGTGTCCTTCCTAATGTCCAGGACGCATTCCAAGTCTGAGTCATACATGGAAAGAGAAAGTGGAACTCACTGTAGAAGAAGGAACAACCCACGTGACCACCCCAAGACAGCCACACACAGCAACTAGTCCACGCCAATGTTAAAGACACGCTTGACATGAGGGCCAGTATCTTAATAATGAATGAATAGGAAGTCTCCATAGAAGATAGAAACTATAAATATTGGAAATGTCAGAACTGAACAATGCCATGAATGAAACTGAAAAACTCATCGAATGATCTTACCAACAAGTTAGAAATGACCGAGGAAATGATGAAGAGAATTTGAAGAGATCAACAGGAGATAGAGAATTCGGTAGCAGTGATGGTTGTACCACTTTGTGAATATACTAAAAACCTCTGAATTGCAGTTTAAAAGGATAAATTTTATGATATGTGGATTGTATCTCATTTAAAAAAAAAAGCCTGCCAGAATGCTCTCTGCAGGGGTGTGCTTTAAACAGAAAGACGCAGGTGGGTTGAAAATAAATACACGAGAAAAGTATACCATGCAAACCGAAGAAGGCTGCGGTGACTCTACTGGTATCAGAGGAAGTCTAGTTCAATCCTCCGGAAAGAACTCCAGGGATCTTTGGAAAGTTCTTGGAGAATGAGGGTTATGAAAACCCATGTGTGGATTTCAAAATTGTTTTTGCGACAAAAGAAACTTATCTTGTAGTTCAGTTTTGCCACTAACCTTTTGAAGTACCCTCTTATTGCTAGAGATCAAAGGAGACGTTTCACAAGGATAAGCAGGTCAATTTATCAAGAATTTGTAACAGTCATGTAAATGAAGGTATATGTCTGGCGACAGAGTTTCAAATGCATGCAGCAAAAATGCAGAGAATTGAAGTGGAATTAGACAATCCCAGGAGAGTTTAATACCCTGGGTAATTAGAAGACCGACAGATCCTTCCCCCAGGTCAGGAAGGACAGAGGAGCGCATTGTAACACTATTCCCTGCCTCTACCCAAGTGATATTTACAGAGTACACAGCCAAACAGCTGTCAAACACACCTTTTCAAGAGCTGGAGGCAGCTTAGCCCCAGCAGGCCATATGCTGGGCCGTAAAACAAATCGCAATAAATTTCAAAGAACTGCCGTCAAGCAGAACGAATTGTCTGATCACAAATCGAATTAAATTAGAAATCCCAACAATAAGGTATTCAGCTCAACCCCAAATATTTACCGCAGCTGGCTGTGATAAGGAATCTTCCTGCTCTTGGATAGATAAAAATCCCCCCTTCGACCCCGTGCTCCCCCTCCTCACGATTTTCTCCCAGGGTCCTCTACATCAGAGGGCCTCACGCTGCAGGGGTAGGCTCGCTCACTCGCTCACTCGCTCACTAAGGTGCAGATCCCACGAGGCAACAGTAAGGGTTTGATTATGGAGGCTGGAAGGAGGCCCAAGAACCTGCATTTTAAAACAAGTGCTGCACAAGACTCTGACCGAGTGTTCAGATCCAGAACCCGTGTTTTGAGAAACTGTTTTGCATGTCTCCAACTCCCGCCAAATTAAGCAGTTTGTGTTTTCCAGGAAAGGTTTCCCGCTCCTGTCTCGAAGCGTAGTAGGGGACATAGGCTGGTAGGAGGAGAAATGTGGACTTTGAATGGAACTGGATTCGAATCCCGCCTAAGCTATTATTTCTATGCCGAACAACCTCCAGCGAGGGGCCTCCGTTTTCTCATCTGCCTCCTAGGGCTGTGGTGCAGAAGAGACAATGGCACGTGCCACCTGGCACACCTCGGAAGCTGGTGTCATTGGTGCCGGTTTCCTGGGAGTCGTCCAGATCGTGCTGAGCGGATCTCCTGCCCTGCTCCCGCTCCCGGGACGCTGTCTTCCTCTACCCACAGCTGTTCGAATTCTTGTTCCCACTCCCTCTCCACCCACTGACAATGAGAGCCATATGGAGGGAAAACGGGTTCATTCACCTGAACTGGGCTGGGGGGAAATACCATATATTTTTGAATATAAAATGAAATAATTGGGGCCTGCACTGTGGCGTAGCAGGTAAAGCCTCCACCTGCAGTGCCGGCATCCCGTATGGGCGCCAGTTCGAGTCCTGGCTGCTCCACTTCCAATCCAGCTCTCTGCTACGGCCTGGGAAAGCAGTAGAAGACGTCCCAAGGTGCAACCGTGTGGGAGACCCAGAAGAAACTCCTGGCTTTGAATCAGCTCAGCTCTGGCTGTTGCAGTCATTTGGGGAGTGAACCAGCAGATGGAAGACCTCTCTCTCTGGCTCTACTTCTCTCTGTAACTCTTTCAAATAAATTTAAAAAAAGAGAGAAGACACTGCCTACGATCACAGTTCCTACAAGTCATGGAGAATGAGCAAAACCAGACTGCAGCCGTGGGAATGGGTTCCAGCATTCTCTGAGGATGCTTATGGAGGCTCCCTCCCGGGACTTTAGAAGGTGTCATGCAAAAAAGATAAAGTCTATATTATGCGCAACAGGAGTTTCTCCAGCCAGATAAACTGAGAGAAGTTGTACTAGACAAACGGAGACTGGGGTCTTGGCTCTGCAGCACTTGCAGGGTCCGTGGACCTCCAGGAGGGAGGTTCTGCAGAATGCTGTTTATACAGCAGGTCCTCGTTCTATTTAAAGCAGGGCAGCTCCGAGCAAAAGAGAAGGGCAGGGTGCAACCCCACCGCCGCTTACCATTTGGTAGGTGTGGTTGACACGGAGCTCCACGCGGTAGAACAGGTCGTGGAAGATGTCCTCCAGCGTTAGCTGGTGGCCATCCCCTGCATGGATGGGCGTGGGGGCAGGGTGGATGACCACCTGAATGGACCTGACCTTGGGGATACAGGTCACATCTGCTGGTTTGATGGCAGCTGGAGAAAGGGAGAGAGGGAAAAAGTCAGAACTGGCCGTTCGCGTCTGAGGCTTCCCTGGACCGTGGGAAGTGATAGCTCCCCCTCGTCTCCTGCCCCAGCCCCAGTATACTTCTGAGAGCATCAGCTAGACAAACAGGAGAAGGGGCAATGTCCTGCAAGCAGATGGTGTGTGGGTTTAAGGTTGGCCCAGTGGTGACCAAGGGTGGGCAGGAAGCACCCAGGGTACGGGGCACCTGCCCCAGATTTGCACGCCTTATCCCACCCTTGTCCCAGCCTCTGAGTCTGCTCAGAGTAGCCTTTCTCCCTAACGCACTGGCGGCAGTAGCCTCAGGCATGTCCCGGACTCAGGGTCCCACTCCACCGTCAACACTGGAGCACTGGTAGTGCTATGGCTTCAGCTCCAAGGCCAGCCCGAGGACCTCAGCCTCTCTCTGATGGAATTTTCCAAGGCAACAAGCGGCCCCTTGAGAATCTGATGAGCGCTGGATCCTTTCCCCTCAACGTGCACATACAAAGAAGTGGGGATGCGGCTCAGTGGTCACGACACCACGTGGGACCTGCACAGTCTGTCCTGGAGTGTGTGAGTTTGAGCTCTGCTTCTGAGCCCAGCTTCCTGCTACTGCACACCCTGGGAGGATCAATACTTAGATCCCTGCCATCCCTGTGGGAGACCCAGACTGGGCTCCCAACTCCCACTTTCAGCCTGGTCAGCCCCAGTTATTGCAGACACTGGGCGAACAAACCAGCCTATGAAAGATCTCTTTCCATCTGTCTTTGTCTCTTCCTCTCCTCCTTTTTCTCTATGCCTCTGCTTATCAAGTAATTAAAAAACATAAATAAGAATAAAATGTACATATATGAATCCTGCATACACCTTCAGGGATTCCTGGAACACCTCCCTCATCTAATTTATAAAAGTCCTTCGGGGCCAGTGTGGTGCTTAGTGTAGCAGGTTAAGCCACGGCCTGTGATGGCGGCACCTCATATGGGCGCTGGTTGGAGCCCTGGCTGCTCACTCCTGATGCACCTGGGAAAGCAGCAGAAGATGGCTCAAGTACTTGGGTCCTGCACCCATGTTGGAGACCCAGATGAAGCTCCTGGCTCCTGGCTCTGGTCTGGCCCAGCTCTGGCCAGTGAGGCCGTCTGGGGAGTGAATCAGCAGACGGAAGACCTCTCTCACTCGCTCCATCTCTTCTATCTCTGTAACTCTTTAAATAAATACATCTTCAGAAACAAATTCCACAAGGGGTGACTGAGCTCCAAGACGTAAAACATCTGAGTCAGAGAATGTCCACGACGGGGCTATTTATAAAACCGAAAAACTGAGCTAACCATCCTCACACAAGAAATGAGGTAAGTAAATATGAGCAGCTCCAGAGCCTGGGTCGGGTTGCAACTGTGACATATCTCATGCTGCGAAGACATATTTAATGACATGGGCGAATGCTCAGAGAACCAGCCTATGCAGGAAACCTGCCCCCAAAGCAAACCGAAAAACCCCATCCAATTCCAAAGTCATAGATACAGTTGCTAAACACTGTGGTTCTGTCTGAAGGTTCATGTTATTTGAGGGTGGCTTTTATTTTTCTCTGTGTACATATTTCTTTATCTTCAAATTTTCTACCATGAACATGGATTAATTGAATAATCCAAGAAAAAAAGCCAATAAGTTACTTAATTTAATTTTTTATGATCTTAAAAAAATTATACATAGGGGCCAGCGTTGTGGTGCAGTGGGTTAAGCCGCTGCCGCCTGTGACGCCAGCATCCCAGGTGGGCACTGGGTCAAGCGCCAGCTGCTTCACTGCTGACCCAGCTCCCTGGGAAAAGCAGCAGAAAATGGCTCGAGTACCTGGGTGGAGTGCCAGGGCTGCCAACCATGTGGGAGACTTGGATGGAATTCCAGGGACTTATCTTCAGCCTGGCCCAGCCCCAGCCATTGTAGCCCTTTGAAAAGTTAGCCAGGGGATGGAAGATACCTCTCTTTCTCTCCCCGCCACCCCTCCCCCCGTTCTCTGCCTTTCAAATAAGCAAAATAAATGTCTTACAAAATCATACATAGATGTAAATCAGTCGATGAACATCACCACATACTTAGCATGTGTGGCAGTGTAGCAACTGGCATCCATCCATCCACCCATGCATCCATGCATCCATCCATCAGACATTTACAATCCATCCATCCATCAGACATTTACAATCCATCCATCCATCAGACATTTACAATCCATCCATCAGACATTTACAATCCATCCATCAGACACTTACAATCCATCCATCAGACATTTACAATCCATTCACCGTCCATAAACCACCCCTCCATGAGCAACGTATAAAGCATATTCTATGTGCCAGGCATCTGCGGAGGGCTAAGAGGAACCAGGCCATCATGAAACTCGAGTGTTAGTGCGGGAGGCAGGCAACACACACAGGTGAGCCCAGTCATTGCGGGTTGTGATGAACTTGGAGACAACAGGCAGTGAGCTACTGAAATCAGGCGGTCAGGGCTGGGGCCGTGCGGAAGTTGAGCCAGGCAGTGGGAGCAGCAAGGGCCCCGAGGCAGCAGCAGTGAGAGGCAGGAGCGGACAGCGGACAGCGGGTGAGGTGTTTGCGATGAGGCCTGGGGTAGGCAGGGCCTCGGGGCTGCAGCCAGAGTTGGCCCTTAAAGTGAAGAGTGGCTGCTGGAGGTGGGGGGGGGGGGAGCGGTAAGCAGGGGGAAGGGGGTGTTACATGTTGAGAAGATCCCTCGGGGGCTCTGCAGAGGGTGGTCTGGGCTGGAGTGGTTGCAGCCAAGGTGGAGAGACACGAGCACACCCACTGGGGATGTGCTGCAAGTGGGCACCTTCCCTTGGAGCCCCACCCCCACCTGCTGCGTGGACCCCAAGGCCCTGCAAGCCCCTCCATTCACCCCAGAGGCAGAGGCCCGCTCCTGTGCCCTCCACCCCCCAACACTCCCACTCACTGTGCTGCAGAGAGCTGAACCGCCTGGTCATCTTGGTGTCAGTCCAGCCCCCCGCGCCCACGGCTGTGACCCTGGCGTAGTAGTGCTCCGTGAGGTTGCCCGTCTCCACGGTCAGGTTGCAGGATCTCCGGGTGATCCGCTGGCAGCCCGCCTTCGCCAGCCACTCCCTCTCTCCGTACCTGCGGGCAAGGAGGGGGACCGAGCTTAGCGTTACGGGGAGGCTGGCGCTGGGTCTTCGGCCGGTTACTAAGGACAAGCACATCTAACACCGACTTGGTGCCTTGCACGCCCCGGGCCCTTTACGTGAGGGGCCTCGGCTCTCCTGAGGGCTCCTTGAGGCGTGCACTTCACTCTCCCCCTTTTGCAAACAAGGAAGATGAGGCTGAGAGAAAGAAAATTTGCCCAAGCCCTTGCAGGGTGCATGTGAGGGCTGGGGCAGGGCTCGGATCTGGACCCAGCCAGCCCTAGTCCACGTTCTGGGCTCCTGGGCGCCCTGTGGCAGAAGTGGCTCGTGGCTCGCCATGAGCCAGGGGGACAGGACCATGGGGGAACCCCAGGCTTGAAGACTCTGAGCCCTTGCCCATACTCCTACCCGGGTCGGGGCACAACTGGTTGACCCGTCTGTCCAAGAACTACAAAATCACCATTGGCAGGCATGAGCGCTAATGACTTTCTCCTAGGTAATCCGCCTAACACTGCTGTGATGAGGGCACTATCTCCATCTCCCTTTATGGACGGGGAAACTGAGGCTAGGCCAGGTTACCCAATGGACCAAGGTTACATGGTCAAGGGCTGGCCCTCCAGCCTGGGCATTCTGACCCCAAAGCCTGCACAATTAGCCATTCTTTTGTCTTCCCTCTGTGGAAGGAACCCCAAGGAGCAGAGCTGTCTCTGGAATGGGCAGTGAGCTGCAGTGAGGGGACAAGTGGGAGGGGGGTTTTCTGGCAGGGGTGGGCTCCGGGATGCGGTCAGAGGAGGCGGGGCTGGGGGAGGCGCCCACGTCTTATACTCCACGCTGTAGACAGTGTCTGGCGTGCTCTCTGGGCCGCTGTCCCACGTCAGGATGTTTTCGAAGTTGCTGGACTGGAATTTCACGTGCTGAAGCAGATCCGAGCGCTGCTCCGCGAGGTGTGCTGCGGGAGGGCGGGAGGGAGCAGGGTGAGCAGAGGCTGCCGGGCGGAGGTCCGGTGAGGGGAGGGGGCGGGACCCAGCGCCCCACCCCCAGCCTGCGCCCGCTGTTCCCACTCATCACGTCCAGCTACAGTGCACACTCTACACAGCACGCCATTGGTAAGTGCTGAGTCCCGTGGCTTCTTAGTAAAACCACCAGCCCAGGCAGCCATCACTCCTGTCTCCTCCCAGAACAGGTCCAGGACCTTCACAGAGACCGCCGCCCCTTGAGCACTCCCTCCCTCCCCACCGCGCCTCCTGGCAACCACGAATTCACTTTCCGCGCCTGTTCTGCACTTGTCCCTGAAGTAGAATCTGGCTTCTGGTCTCTGTCTGGCTTCTTCCACTCAACCAGGTGTTCTCGCGGTTCATCCTGTGGTAGCGTGAACCAGCCCTGACTTCGCTTTTGTGGCTGGGGTCATTCCACCGTGTGAAGGGCCTCCTCCTGCTTCTCCACCCGTCAGTCGGCGGGTGCGTGGGTGGGTGGCCTCCAAGCATCGTGCACAATGCTTTAAGGGGCCGGATGGTTTCCCTTTTCACAGTATGCATGAGGAGGGGGCTCGCCGGCTCACACCATAGAACTGTCCAGCTGTTCTCCAAAGTGGCTGCACCATCTCCCATTCCCACCAGGGCGGCCATTTCACCACATCCTTATCAACTCTTGTTATTGTCGCTCATTCACATTTTTTTTTTTTTTTTGGACAGGCAGAGTGGACAGTGAGAGAGAGAGACAGAGAGAAAGTTCTTCATTTTTCTGTTGGCTCCCCTCTCCCCCGCCCCGCCCGCAATGGCTGCTGCGGCCAGCGCACCGCGCTGATCCAAAGCCAGGAGCCAGTGCTTCTCCTGGTCTCCCATGTGGGTGCAGGGCCCAAGGACTTGGGCCATCCTCCACTGCACTCCCGGGCCACAGCAGAGAGCTGGCCTGGAAGAGGGGCAACCGGGACAGAATCCGGCGTCCCGACCGGGTCTAGAACCTGGTGTGCTGGCGCCGCAGGCAGAGGATTAGCCTAGTGAGCCGCGGCACCGGCCGCTCATTCACATTTTTAAAAAAGTTTGCCAAGAGGGGCCAGTGTTGTGGCACAGCAGGTTAAAGCCCTGGTCTGCAGCACCGGCATCCCATGTGGGTGCGGATTTGAGTCCTTGCTGCTCCACTTCTGATCCAGCTCTCTGCTATGGGCTGGGAAAGCAGCAGAAGATGGCCCAAGTCCTTGGACCCCTGTACCCATGTGGGAGACTCGGAAGAAGCTCCTGGCTCCTGGCTTCAGATTGGCTCAGCTCCGGTCATTGTGGTCATTTGGGGAGTGAACCAACAGATGGAAGACCTTTCTGTCTCTGTCTCTACCTCTCTTTGTAACTCTTTCAAATAAATAAAATATTTTTTAAAAGTTTGCCAAGAAATACCCAGGATTGTGCAGTCTTTAAGGGGATCACTTTCCAGAGCCTCCGTTTCTGGGGATGCCTCTTTCTAAGTTTGAAAACATTTTAAATAACATTTTTATGTATTTGAGAGGCAGAGGCAGAGAGAGCCACAGAAGGAGAGAGAGAGAGAGAGAGAGAGAGAGAGAGAGAGAGAGAAAGAGAAAAGATGCAGAACTCCTATCTGCTAGTTCACTCCCCAGATGCCTGCAAGGGTCAAAGCTGGGAGCCGGGACCTGAATCCAGGTGTCCTGCATGAGTGGCGGGAACTCAGCCATTGAACCATCCCCACTGCCTCCCAGGGTGCGCATTAGCAGGAAGCTGGAGTCAGGGGCCAAGCCGGTTCCAAACCCAGGAACACAGGGCGTCTGAACTGGAGTCTGAGTCCCTAGGTTCGATGCCCCCTGCTCCTCATTCACTGTTTAACACCTCCCGGGTCTTTACTGGGTTTTAGAGTCAGGCAACTAAAGTATCGAACAAGCAACTTCCCCAAAACAATGGCGGAGGAGGTGTTTGTGGATTCCCGGGGTCTCTCTTGGCCAAGCCAATCCCTGCCCATCCACCATGCTGCCTTCTTAGAAGGAAAAAGCACTGCTCTGGCCACAGATTTGGTGCTGGGTAGGCCACGACAGAGTCCGCCACAGCTGGGTGACCTTGCGTGGGTCATTTAAGTGATCAGGACTTCAGTTTCCATGTCTCCAACACAGAAGTAATTCGATTTACCTGAAGACAAACGGGGACAGTGGCAGCTGGCAGGTGTGAAGTGCAAGCCAGGTGCCAGACACTAGGCTAATCCTCTTACAGCACTCAGATGGGACAGGTCCTCCCATTACCCCATTTAACGGATGAGAAAACTGAGGCTCACAGAGGGCTGATGGCCAGCATCACCATCAGCACACCGCAGGGCCTACGACATCCACCACAGTGCTAGACTGGCTTCATCTGTGAACGTGGCCAGCGTGGGATTGGTCTCCAGGTGTGCGTGCTGAGTCTGGGGGAGGGGCCCGGGGAAGCCAGGGTGGGGAGGTCCTGGTCACCCTTTGTTATGGGTGTGAGGGGCTTCCGTCACTGGAGCTCCTGGTAGAGGGACCAGTTTAGGGAGGAGGGAGGAGGGGGGAGGGGGGAGGGGGGAGGGGGAGACTGACTCCTTTTGCCCTATGCCCGTGCCCGGCTTGTGGTTACTGATGTCAAAGAAAAAGAGGCAGAGGCCCGAGAAGGGGGCTGGCAAGGGGGCTGCTGCAGCGGGCACAATCTCACTGCAGAGGAAGAGCCTGGAGTTACGACCCCCCCGCCCCCAATCTCACTGCAGGAAGAGCCTGGAGTTACGATCCCCCCTCCCCAATCTCACTGCAGAGGAAGAGCCTGGAGTTATGATCCCCGCCTCCCCCCGCCAAGCCGGGCTGTGGAGGAGAAGGAAAGGGCGCCGGGCATGGCGGATGGCGGCCAGCTCAGGCGGCTGGCTGGGTGGGAATGAGGCAGGTGCAGGCCCGGCCGAGCCAAGGCTTTGTGGCCGTGTGCGCATGTGTGTCCCTGACGTGTATGGGCCTCCCCGTACTGGACATGGCCGTGACCACCAGCAGACTCCCACTCCAAGTCTTCGTGCAAGATTTTTCCTAGAGGGGCCAGAGGCCTGGGGAGGCCCCTGCGGGATTGGGGAAGACATGAGACCAACCCAGCCCTGCGGCACGTCCATCCGCTGGCTACACCAAAGGCCACCTCCTCTCTGACTCTGCGTTGATCTGGCCCAAGCAGCTGCCGAAATCTTTCTCTTAGGCTCCCCAGAGCCTTCAGAACGGGCCCGGGGACAACACGAGGGGTGTCTTACTGCCTTTACCCAATGGGATGGCTGCACTGCTGAGTCCTGAGATGGGGCGGACGCTTCGTCTGGACCCAAGTCTGGGCAGGCTGGGGTCTGTTTCAGGGGAGGTGGTCCTGGGTTCAGGCTGGGTGTGAAGTTGAGGAAGGGAGTATGGAGGAGTCAGACCTGGACAGGGGTCGGGGACGGGGAGAGTGAGACTGGGGGAAGGCCAGGGTCCGGCGGGGGTGGGCTCGGTCTTTCTGGTGGTGGGTTGGAGGCTGCTGTGGGAGTGGTTGCTGGTTGGGGTCCCAGTTGTTGTCTGGGGGGAGGCTGGGGCGCGCAGATGAGGCCAGGCCCCGGGCTGGCTGGCCAGAGGTTGACACCACTTTTAAGAGGGAAGTGCACTTGGCTTTCTAACATGGGAAGGGAGGACCTTGTCTGGGCCCCTCTCTTAGGGGCATCGAGGGACACCAGGGTCTCTCCTCTCCTCCTCTGCTCACTTCGCTTCCTCGCTCCATCCCCTGCCTCCCCAGCCTGTGTCTGTCCCACACTTCCTGGATGAAAGTCTACGTTATGAAATCAGGGAGGCCTGCGCGGTGCACAGCCCGGAGCCCGGCAGCTACACCAAGCGCTTCCACGTTCGTGTGGGAAAGCAGCAGCTGCGAAGCTATGGAGAAACTCCCAGACCAAAACCAACCCAGCGCGCAGAGGGTGCAGCCTGAGAGGGGGTGAGGGGCCCCCTCTGGTCCAACCAGAACGGGGGAGGGGGCAAATGCGCCCAAGAGAGCATGCCTGGGAGCCCCTTGGGGAAGTACTCCATCCCCCCAGCCCGTTGCAGCCAGGGCAGAGCTGGAAGCACAGGGGGCCCGGTCGGCTCTTGCCAGGGACAGCGGCAAAGGCTTCACAGTTGCTCTGTCTCTCCATGGCCCTCGTCCTGCACTTGAGCGAGAAGGGGCCGGGGGGGGGGGCCTGGGCCCCCGGTCTCTGGGGTGTGACTTGCTGAGAAAGCTGCCCAGGTCCCCGCTCAACCCTGCAGGAGAATGGGGACAGAGCGGGGGTTCTGCAAGGGGCTCTCTAACCCCAGGGCACAAGCCTACTCAGGTGGGGGTCGTCGTGTGAACCATGCCCTGTAGTGCTGTTTTCAAGTGGGCCTTGGTGTCCTAGGACCTAGTAGGCGGGGAGAAAGTGCTCCTACACACCTAAGCAGAGGGGCTGGCAGAAGCCCCCGCCGCGCGTGGAGAAAGTCGGGGTCTGAGCTCGAGCGCCCCCCGCCCCCTCTCTCCTCCGTGTCCTGTACGCCAGGCACAAGCACAGGGGAAGGTGGGCCTTTTCTTCCAGAATGGTTTCAGGGGTCAAAGGGTGTTGCCTTCCCCAGGCCACTTCTCCACGCCCTGGGGTGCTGGGGCCAGCACTTGTGACAGCAGGCGACAGCCCCACCGACTTGAGGCCTGAGCCAGCCTCCAGGCCTCCCCAGTCCCCCCGAGCTGGACATCTGCTTTCCCAGGAAAACTCAGCACCCAGCTCAGCTCTGGCAGGGAAGAAACTGAAACTGACCATGCTGGGGCCGGGTGATGGGGTGGGGAGGCGACCCTGCGTCCTGCTCTCAGGATGCGAAAGTTGGACCACCGGGCGCGGGCACTCACCAGCCAGGGATCCCACGGTCAAGATGGTCAGTAGTGTCCTCATCGGGGCCCCAGGCCAGGGCCCCCGCTGGGCTTCCACTCTGGGCGGCGCACAGAGGGCGGGCTGGGGAGTCTCGCTGCCTGGGTAGCTGGCTCCACCCGGGCACGGGGCGGGGAAAGACGAGGGGGAGGACCCGAGGGGTGCAAAGGTGCCTGCAGTGTGCCCTGGAATCCCAGGTCCTGGGCGGGACCCAGGGGAGTTCCCTTCCCACCGGCGGAAAGCAGCGACAGCTGGTTTGTCTGGTCTGGTAGCAGATTGATCCCAAGACTCTCCCATGGGTTAGCAGAGAGCTGAGGCAGAAAAGACGCTGCGTCCACTCCACACAGCCTTATCAGAGAGCAACGTGGTGCTGTGTACAAACGCCAGCGCCATGTGTGCACTATTCTAGTCCCAATAATTCTGTTCCCAGAGGCGTTACCCTCGGGGGAATACCAGGACAAGGGAGCCAAAGGGGGAACAAGTTCCAGAATTTCCTTGCAGCAAAGGAGAGGCTCTGACTCCTTGCTCTTGTCCTTGGCTTTGTGTCTGAGGCCCCTCCTTGAGCCCTACAGCGAGGCAGGTGCCCCAGGATGGCCCATGGGCTTGGGGCGAGTCTCCCTCCTGGAGAGAGACTGTTGGAGATGAAGCCCAGGACTCACAGGTGAGCCTCCTCGTCTGGGGTCAGCAGAAGGCTAGCGAGAAGCCCATCTCAGACCTCCGTGATTCCATCAGCCGTGGCGGGGCCAGGGGCGGCATTCACCAGTGGGTCTCTGGCCCAGGATGATGAAGATTTTAGCTGCTCCCCCAAGCTGCCATTCTGCCACGGGGAGTGGTAGCTGCAGAGATGAACAGGAGCTTCACACTATCGAAGCGATGGGTGTTTAGGAAATAGCTTTCTCTTTGTGCGAGGCCCCAGGGCAGTTGGAAGGGGCCTGGACTCCGGTGAGGGTGGACGTGACCAGAGGGCCCTGCCTGGAGAGAGTTTTGCTGGTCCCAGCTGCATGGCAGGCCAAGGCCTAGAGCCAGACAGCCGGCCCCTAAGGGATCCTAGGAGGGCTTGGCTTTTGGATGCCATGGGCTGGGATGCCCAGGGAGCTATGCTTATGCTGTTGTTTTCTGGGTTGTGATTGTTTGCTACTGGCCCCGAGCCTTGGCAAACGTTAGACCCAAGTCTGTGCTGTGTTTTGGGGAATGAAGGTAGGGCCTGTGCCTTTCATCTCCTGTAACTGCAGGAAACTACATTTTCCCAGACTGTTAGCTGCTTCCTGATGGGCTGAGCCGGTGGGGAACTGGGGGAGAGAAGTGAGGGTCCACCCCGCCCCTCCCCTTCCTTGGCTTCCGGTGGCATCTCCAGCGGTGGCTGAGTCTCCCCCGGAGCTCCAGCTCCTGCGTACCCCCCCACCCCGCCCCGTTCCCTCCTGACAGCTCCAGCCCCCCTCCCAAGCTGGTGGGGGCCAGTCCTGGGCTATGAGAGGCCAGTCTCTGGCTGCCTCTCTGTCCCGAGTGGGTTCCCAGCTCTGTCACGGGCTGGGTGACTGACTCCTCGGCGTGAGAGCTGCCGCTTGAGACGTCTCGGGGCTCCTGAATGGGCCGTGATGGAGATGAAGTCTTCAATGACTTGAGGGACGGGGTGTGTAGGGCGACTTCGGCGAGAGGAACTGGTCACAAAGTGCCCCGAAGGGACACCCTAGGGAGAGGAGGGGACTCTGATGGCTGGCTGGGCTGTAGGGAGCCTTCGTGTCCATTGGAGCAGGTGGAACAAGAAAACCATCCCCAGGAGCTCTTAGAGATGCGGGGGTGGGGGTGGGGGGAGGAGCCTGGCGGGCGAGCTAGAGGTCCTGAAGTTAAGAGGGGTGGTGTATGAAGACGTGTGGGCTGTTAAAGAACATCCAGGTTCCTTCCTTCCTTTCTTTTATTTTTTTTTAAAGATTTATTTATTTATTTGAAAGTCAGAGTTACGCAGAGAGAGAAGGAGAGGCAGAGAGAGAAAGAGGGGTTTTCCATACGCTGGTTCACTCCGCAGATGGCCACAATGGCCAGAGCTGCGCTGATCTGAAGCCAGGAGCTAAGAGCTTCTTCCAGGTCTCCCACGCGGGTGCAGGGCCCCAAGGACTTGGGTCATCTGCTGCTGCTTTCCCAGGCCATAGCAGAGAGCTGGATTGGAAGTAGAGCAGCCGGGACTCGAACCGGTGCCCATATGGGATGCCGGCACTGCAGGCGGCGGCTTAACCTGCTACGCCACAGTGCCGGCCCCCCCAGGTTCCTTTCCAACAGTTTCAAAGAAAATGACAGCAGCCCCATGCCCAAAAACACGAGTCAGGTTAAATGCATAAGGTGATGTTCAGCCAAAGAGAGACAAAGTAGCCTTCCGAAGAATGCTGGAGAAAAATGGTAGCCTGTGCGGGAGTCCCTGTGTGTTGTCCCTGGAAGAGAAGCAAGGCATAACCCACGTGTGCTCCATGCCTGGTGGAAACAGGAACCTCCCCTCGCAGAGCCGGGAGTCGTGCAGGACACGTGCAGACACACGGAGTCATGGAGTCATGGAGGGGGTGCAGGGAGGTGACTCTGACTTTTTCCCTTGGCTCACCTGCAGCTTGGCAAGTTTTATGGAAGCGCATTCATTTAGCTTAAGGAGCAGCAAGGCTACTAGACGGAACTAACCGGCATCCCCAAGTGCCCTTTCCTCTCCGTTGGCCAAACTCTTCTCAAAGCCTGCTGGGAGGGTTGCCTCCTGCAGGAGGCCCACTCGGGACGATTCCAGCCCGTGGCCATCTCACTTTGAAAGCCCTTGCAGAGCCTGCGGTCTGCCCCACATGTTGGCATAGCCCAGTGTCATCCTTCTTGAACACCCCAAGTTCAAGACTGGACAGGAGGGGTTCAGGCTGGGGTGGACAGGAGACCTGGGCACCGTCTTCAAGTACTGGGGGGTTGTAGCAGGGAGAAGGGTCTAGATGCCTTTGTGTGGCTCCTGTCCACAGGAAAGCCAAGGAGGATGAGTGTTTGGGGGGTGGTGTTAGGGAAGGTGGCAAGTTTCTCCTGCTGGAAGGAAAGAGCTCTCACTAGGATGCTGTGGCTTGGGGGATGGAGGTGTTCAGAGATGCTGTGAGCATGGTGGAAGTTCCCTAGATGACCTCATTCTGTGGTCTGTGCCATGTGACAGTTGGGGCTGGCATTGTGGTGCAGTGGGTTCAGCCTCCTCTGATGCCGCCTGCCCACATCAGAGCATCAGTTCAAGTCCCGGCTGCTCCACTTCCGATCCAGCTCCCTGCTGATGCCCCTGGGAAAGCAGAAGATGGCCCAAGTGCTTGGGCCCCTATCACCCACAAGGGATGGAGTTCCAGGCTCCTGGCTTCGTCCTGGCCCAGTCCTGGCTGTTGCGGCCATTTGTAGAGTGAACCAGCAAATGGAAGGTCTCTCTCTGTCTCGCCCTCTTTCTATAACTCTGCCTTTCAAATAAATAAATAAATAAATATATTTTTAAAATTTATTTATTTGACAGGTAGAGTTAGACAGTGAGAGAGAGAGACAGAGAGAAAGGTCTTCCTTCCTTTGGTTTACTCCCAAGTTGGCTGCAATGGCCAGAGCTGCGCCGATCCAAAGCCATGAGCCAGGAGCCTCCTCCCGGTCTCCCACGTGGGTGCCATCCTCCACTGCCTTCCCAGGCCACAGCAGAGAGCTGGACTGGAAGAGGAGCAGCCGGGACTAGAACCGGCGCCCATATGGGATGCCTGCACTGCAGGCAAAGGATTAACCTAGTGCTCCATGGCGCTGGCTGGCCCCTAAAAATTCTTTTTATTTTTATTTTAATTTTATTTATTTATTTATTTATTTATTTATTTATTTACAGGCAGAGTGGACAGTGAGAGAGAGAGACAGAGAGAAAGGTCTTCCTTTGCCGTTGGTTCACCCTCCAATGGCCGCCGCGGCCGGCGCGCTGCGGCCGGCGCACCGCTGATCTGATGGCAGGAGCCAGGAGCCAGGTGCTTTTCCTGGTCTCCCATGGGGTGCAGGGCCCAAGCACCTGGGCCATCCTCCACTGCACTCCCGGGCCACAGCAGGGAGCTGGCCTGGAAGAGGGGCAACCGGGACAGAATCCGGCGCCCCAACCGGGACTAGAACCCGGTGTGCCGGCGCCGCAAGGCGGAGGATTAGCCTAGTGAGCCGCGGCGCCGGCCTAAAAATTCTTTTTAAAAATGTGATGGTTGAAGGGAACGCATTCCGAGTGCAGGGAGCACCCGTGTGGATTCTGTAGCGTCCACGTGGATGAACAGAGAGCAGTGGCCCACGCCGACCAACAGGAGTGACCGCGACAGCAGCAGATCCGCCTTGCTGGTTCTCTGGCTCCGACTGCCAGAAGCCCCGAGTTTCTATCTGATAAATGCCCCGAAACCTCTTGCCTCGCCCCGTGCCTTGGATGAGTTGTACTGCCGCCCTTTCAGAGGTCTTCTCACAGTAACTTCCTCCAGGAAGCCTTCCCGGTGTGAGCCACTCACCTGGCTGGGGAGGAGCCCAGCTCCATGTTCCCAGATCCCCATGTCAGTGACAAGGGCTTCAATGCCAGTGAGCTGGTGTCTCAGCGCCTGCCCTGAGTTGGCACAGAGCAGGTGCTCGCAGATGAGTGAGCTGGAGGCAGCTGACCAGGAAGATAATCCTGTAGGAAGCATCCCTAAGCCGCAGAAACAGCAGATTCAACAAGTGACAAATCGCAGGAACGTGACCTGCTCCCATGCTCCTCTCTGCGCTCAAGGATACCAGAGACTTTTCTGCAGAGGGCAGTGGGGCGGGCGATGTGGCACAGCAGGTTAAGCTGTCCTGGGGAACCCCTGCGTCTCATATCAGACGACTGGGATGGAGTCCAGCCCCCCACTCCCCACTCCCGATTTTTTTTATTTATTTGAAAGACAGTTACAGAGAGAGAGCAAAAGACTGGGAGAGAGAGAGAGGGAGACCTTCCATCCAATAGTTCACTACCCAAACACCCCAAATGAACAGAGTTGAAGCTGGGAGCTGGACACTCGGTCCAGGTCTACCATGTGGGTCGCAGCAACTGAGTCACGGAAGCCATCGCCGCTGCCTCCCACCGTCGGCGCGAGCAGGAAGCTGGAGCCAGCAGCCAGGGTGGGGGACTGAACCCAGCTCCTCTGATGTGGGATGGGGGCGTTCTGACTGGCAGCTGAATGCCTCCGACCCCCAGCCTCTTCTTAGAGAAAAACCCGGCTTTGGAAAGCGTGTGTCCCCCGGAGGCCTGGGCTGTGTCAGCCTGGGGCATCGACAGAGATGTCCCAAGGCAGGAACCCGGGCCAGGAACCAACTCTGAACCTTACCCCGGTGGCCATGAGTGGGTCTTGTCCGCTCTCCAGGCCTCGGTTTCCCTGCCTGGGAGGGAGGTTTGGTGCGAAGGCCCCTGAGGGCCCTTGGGGCTTGCCCAGCCTCGGCCTCCGTGTCACTCTGGGGCTGGAAGCCTCTCCTGACCCCCCAGAGGTCCCGTCGTGACCGCCGTCACCAACGCAGGCACAAATCCGGCTTTGCATTTATTGCCTCTGCTTGTAATTTCAGCTCTCCGGAGTTCCAGAAGCTTCTAGCCTGTTCTAAGGCCGGGCTTCTTCGTGAGAGCGCAGACAAGACCCTGCGTCCTGTGGAGGCCGCTGTGAGCCGGGGGAGGGGGACGGAGGGAGAGCTCCGGCAGGCGGATCCGGTTCAGATCCCAGCTTGCTGCTCTCTGCCCTGTGCAGACTGCTTAACCTCTCACCCTCAGCTTTCTCATCCACGAAATGGGAACAGTAGTCTCTCCTCTGTGTCATGTGTGCTGTGGCCCTTGACAGCTCGTTTGTAAAATTTGTTTTCATTTTTATTTGAGAGACGGGGCAAGAGAGAGAGGAAGAGGGAAGAGGGGGAGGGAGGGAGGGGGAGAGAGAGAAAGAGAGAGAGAGAATCTTCCATCCACTGGTTCACTCCCCAGACGCCCTCAATAGCGAGGATAGCGAGGGCTGGGCCAGGTTGAAGCTGGGAGCCAGGAGCTCCATCCCGGTTTCTCACATGGGTGGCAGGGATCCAAGTACTTGAGCCATCACGGCTGCCCTGAGTGCACACTGGCGGGAAGCTGGATTGGAAGCAGAGCGGCCAGGGCTCGAACCCTGGCACCCCACTATGAATGCAGGTGTGCCCAGCAGCGTAACCACTGCTCTGCAGCTTCCGCCCCTGAGTTTCTGGGAAGAGGCCGTGCTGCCAGCATCCTCTGCTACCAAGTGAGGAGACAGGGGCTGGTGCTGTGGCACAGCAGTGTAAGCCACCGCCTGCTGTGCCGGCAGCTCATATTGACACGGTTCGAATCCCGGCTGTTCCACATCCAATCCAGCTGTTAATGGCCTGGGAAAGCAGTGGAAGATGGCCTAGGTGCTTGAGCCTCTGCACCTACATCGGAGACCCGGAAGAAGCTCCTGGCTCCTGGCTTCGGATTGGCCTGGCTCCAGCCATTGTGGCCATTTGGGAAGTGAACCAGCACATGGAAGTCCTCTCTCTCTCTCTCTCTCTCTCTCTCCTGTCTGTCTCCCCCCCCCCCCCCGCTTTGTAACTCTGCTTCTCAGATAAATAAATAAATCTTAAAAATGAAAACAAGAACAAAACGAGGAACCAGGGACCAAGTGAGGGCCTTTAAAAGCCCTTGCAAGCCCCAGCGCTGGGAGTGCAGGTGTGGGGCGCAGGGAGGCAGCCTCGATGCCCGCGGCAGAGGCTCTCTTAGCCACACGGCTGCTGCTGGCTGCGGAGGCTGGGCTTAGCCTGCAGAGGAGGCTTCCAGGCCAGGTTAGAGGTTTTTGGAGGAGGGGGCCTCTGTGACAGAGCCTGCAGCTGAAGTGGGAGGGGTTGGAGCTCCAAGTTCCTGTCGGAATCTGGTTTTCTATGTGACACATTTGGTGTCTAGGGAAACGGAGGCTTAGAGTGGAGTGGGTGCTGCTTCCATGTGGAGGCAAAGAGACCCAGAGAGGGGCCTCTCTCGCCTGCTGTGGCCATGCCTGCAGCACAGGCCCTCCAGGCACTGTCTCCGGGATCCACCTTTGCCTCCTAACGCACAAGCAGTAAGGAAAATGACTCCTGACCAGCCATAAACAGCTGGCTCGCTGCCGTGTCCTGCACCCCTCATGCGCGGGGCAGGGCTGCCTAGGGCTGGACCGGATCCTGACGTCAGCCAGTGTCTCTGGGGTAGCTGACTCACGGAAGTGACTCACTGGCTCGCCCAATAGAGCTACTCCTGGTCTTTTTCTAAAAACAAAAAAACAAAAATACAAACCACCCCCCATCCTGTTGGCTTCCCGCTGTGCGTGCAGCAGTGAGCCCAGGAGGGGGCAGGCGAGCGCCACGGGCCGAACCCCAGCTGGCGTGGGCAGTCCTGCTATGGAGTCGCAGTGAGCGGATGAAGGTCCAGTTTCCCACCCCCGCCCCTGCAGCTTCACTGAGCGGTGGCCGATCGCCTCTCGGAGCAGAAGCCGGGTGAGGGACGGCAGTCACTCAAGTGCAGCAGGAAGCTGGGAACTGGGGTGGCATCATCTCATGCAAGGTCCCTGACCACCTTACACCGAGGTCAGCCACAGCCAGCTGCATGCGTCCATTCACTCACTTATTGTTTCATTCACTTATTCAATAGCTCCCACCATGTGCTAGGTGCTGTCGCAGGGAGGGAAAACAGCCCCTTCCCCAAGAGTTCAGTCCTGGTCCCCACCTCCCCCAGAGGACAGTGCACTGTTCCAGGGAGAGCCCTCCTGCAGCCTCGCAGTTCCCCTCATGTCCAGGAGGTGGCAGCAAACAGGCCAAAAGAAGCTGACTAGGTGATGATGGGAGGAAGACTGGGTGGGAGGTGGTTGGGGTCACCTGGCGAGGAAGTGCTGCCCTGGCTCCTGGAAGGGGCCTGCTGCACATCTGTTCAAGGGGGCGGGTGCCGGAACCCACCACAGCCACCATATTCACCGTCTCTGTGAACTGACAAGGGCATTTGGGCACGAGTAATGGAAGCATCAGGCTTAAAACTAGCATACAGGGGAACTGGGCCTTGGGATGGACCAGGGTCTCAGGCCCTGCATTGCGGGTTAAGTCACCACCTGTGATACTGCCATCCAATATCGTGGCACCTGTTCCAGGCCTGCCTGCTCCACCTCCAATCCAGCAATGGAACATGGCCCAAGTGCTTGGGCCCCCGCCACCCACATGAGAGACCCAGATGGTCTTCCAGGCTCCTGGCTTTGGTCTGGCCCAGCCCCAACCGTTCTGGCCATTTGGGGAGTGAACCAGTGGACAGAAGATCTCTCTGTCTCTTTCTCTCTGCTGCTCTTTCTTTTGTATATGATTTATTTATTTGAGAGGCAGAGTTACAGACAGAGAGAGAGGTCTTCCATCTGCTTGTTCATTCCCCAAATGGCTGAAACGGCTGGAGCTGGGATGCTCCAAAGCCAGGAGCCAGGAGCTTCTTCCAGATCTCCCACATGGGTGCAGGGGCCCAAGCACTTGGGCCATCTCCATTGCTTTCCCAGGCCATAGCAGAGAGCTGCATCAGAAGAGAAGCAGCAGGGACTCGAACCAGCGCTATATGCGCTATATGGGATACTGGCACTGCAGATGGCGGCTTTACCCACTACACCACAGCCCCTGCCCCTCTGCTGCTCTTCCAAATAAATAAAATAAATCTTAAAAAAAAAAAAAAAAAAAGGAACCGGAGCCTCTCCTTTCTCAGCGGTGCCGGCCTGTGCTTGTCTCATCTGCAGACTGGGGCTTCCCAGCGTGCATGGGAAACGAGGGCCTGGCAGGTTGGAGCAGGCCTGCTCTGGGCCCGCTGTGCCAGGAAGACATCCAGGGGCCAGGGCTTGTGTTGGGTCGGCTCAGTGTGGGCCTCCTGCCTACTGCAGGCAGTGTCGGCAGCCACCATGCGGCCCTGGGAGAGACCCTGGGAGCTGGCAGACCCTCCCCAGCAGAGTGTGGATTTGGGTTTGCACGGTCAGCCGAATGGTGCTGTTCCACACCCTCCCATGGGATGTAACTGGGTGAGCCGCCAGGGTGGCGGGCGAGCTTGGTAGAGCCCCACCCCCGTTGCCATGGCACCTGCACCTTTCTCCTGCACTCCTTTAATGGGTCCCATCTGCAGGGTCTGCGACGGGGCCCGGGCAGCGGCCTCCACGCAGGGCCACTGGGACTCTGGAGAAGCTCCCCAGGCCCTGGCAGGAGGAACAGATCCCAGATGTGCACCGCTTGGACCCCCAGAGCTCCGCGGGGCCACAGAGCCTGTGTTGCACACAGCGTGGGCCATCTGACCACTCCCCTCTCCCTTCCCTATTACCTGGGCTCACTGGGCTGCTTTATACCCCAAATGCTCATCTCTGGATCTGCCTGGGGGACCTAATCCAAGACCCCGGCCACAGCCCTCATGGCCAGGTTTCCCAGGTGACTGGTGAGGAGCCCTTGGGAGACAGGAACACACAGATTTTCATTTGATTCTAACTTTTTCTCTAAAAACAGAGCTCTTGGGCCAGTGCTGAGGCATAGCAGGTAAAGCCGCCGCCTGCAGTGCCAGCATCCCATATAGGCGCCGGTTTGAATCCTGGCTGCTCCACTTCTGATCCAGCTCTCTGCTGTGGCCTGGGAAAGCAGTCAAAGATGGCTTGGGTCCCTGCACCTGTCTGGGAGACCTGGAAGAAGCTCCAGCCATTGCGGCCATCTGGGGAGTAAACCAGAGGATGGAAGACCTCTTTCTCTGTCTCCTGCCCTCTCTCTCTCTGTAACTCTGCCATTCAAATAAATAAATAAATCTTTAAAAAAAGAATTTTCTTTAAAAAAATAGAGCTCTTTATTTAAACAGCATGGAGTCATATGCCAGCAAGCACCAGGTGTCATTTAAATAGAACATACACAGAGAAATGGGGTCAGAGATGCATAGGAATGGGCGGGAACTGCAGAGCTGTCACAGTGCTCCAGCAGTCATCACCTCGCACTTGGGCACCGCCTCCTCTCCTCCTTGACCCTTGTCCTTGGCGGCAGCCCCGGCCTATGCTCCCCAGTGCCCGGCCACGGGGCAGAAAAGGGTTATGTAAACAATAAGTGCTAAGCATGCCCCACAAATCCTGATCCGCACGCCCTTTCCAAATGCTGCCCAGGGTTTCCGTGGACGACCTCACGGCTGGAAGGGAACCAAAATGCACAATGAAGTCTCAGGCTACAGCAGAAATCTAACTCTAAGAAAAAAAAAAAATCTTAAAAAGAGCAGCAAGGTTAAGGAACAGAAACAGCCCAAGGCAACGCAGTGCTGGCGACCTCCAGGGAGTGGGCCAGCTGTGTCCCCGGAAGTCACCGGCTGTGGTCTGGTCTCTCTGCAGCTGGCCCTGGGCTGTGAGCTTCCCAGACTGTGAGTGCGTGCAGGCTGGGCAACAGTGGAAGCCCCTGCCCCCAAACCAACCCCATGTGTGAGACCACCGTGTAGAAATCGGGGCATGGCGAGGCTTCCTAAGGGAAGGAGCCCTTAGGCCAGCGGCTCCCTGTCACCCCTACAACAGAAACCCAAGGCCTTTTGGGAATGCGGGTGGTCTGAGAACTCCTGGACCTGGCATGGAAGAGCGCACCCTTGTGGCGGCTTCCAGCCAGCGCAGCTCTGAGAGGAAAGTGGCCTTGAGTGTCCCTTCTTCCCAAAGGCGAGCCCCGGGGGGATTTAAACAGGAGCGCCCGAGTCATCTATACCCAGGTGAGTGTAGGTTAACTGAGCACCTGTCGCCACCCTGGTGGGAGCAGCCACCTTTTTCGGGAGGAGATGGGACACAGGGCTTCTGAATGACCACTGTATTCAGCCGCAGGGCCCGGGGTCCCAGGCCCAGGGGACCTGCCCTGTCGCTGGCCCCCTGCACAGGTCCGGCCTCCCGGAAGATGGATCACCTGGTGCCTGCCCTGGGAGCAGAGCTGCCATTGCTGGAAGACACGGAGGGAGGGAGCAGGGCCCCTGGGTCGGCTTCTGAGAACTCAGTCTGCCAGGGGGAAGGACTGGGGGGGCAGGCTGGAAGGTGGGGGCGCTGGGGTGTTATCAGTTTAAGGGTCACAGGTGGGAGATGCCGGGGGTCTCCTTGGAGCCTGGGTGGGTGGAGATCCTGCCAGCCGCCAAGGAGAGAGCACCAAGGACGTGGCAGGCCCCATGTGGAGGACTCCCTGGCCGCTCACCACAGCTGGGCGGAGCTGCAGGGGAGGCTGAGGTAGAGAAGGAAGGCAAAAGGCCGAGCAGGGATTTGAACCCAGGTCCGCACGGCGTTAAACACTGCAATTCCATGACTCCAAGACGCACTTAAAGTCCACCACCTGTTCCTTCGGACGCTCTCTGCCAGCCGGATTTTCCTTTATCAGGGTCCACGCACAGGACTTGTGGGTCCGGAGGCTGAGAATCAGGGTCGGGGGAGCTCGGTGGAGCTTGGTTGAAAGGCACAGGTCCTGATGCATCAGGTGTGCGGCCGCTGGACCCCGTCCCCAAGTTCTGGACAGCTCCTTGTGGTCAGCCTTGGCATCCAGCAGCCTGGCTTCCCCTCCTTCCGCCACCCCAAGGAACAGCGGGGTGGTCTGACCCCTAACGGACCCCTGACCTTGACCCACCTTTCTCCACCCCTCTTGGACTCAGCCTGCAGTGGGCAGGGCCTTCTCAAAAAGCTGCAAGGACGTGGGCCGCCTCAGCGGGGGACGTAGGCTCCGGGGTCCTGCTGGGGTGCCGAGTGCTTGGAGAACCCGGCGGGGGCGCCGGGTGGGGTGAGAGGCTGGAGGCCGGCTGACCTGGCCATGTAGTGCCCCGGCACCCTGCCCCCGACCTCGGGCCTCTGCAGGGTCTCAGCCCCCGAGCTACCCAGGTCACTGTGCTCACTTTCTGATTCCCTCCTGTCTTCTTCCTCCTCCTCTTCCTCCCCTTCCTCCTCCTCCTCCTCCTCCTCAGGGCTGCTGTCCCAGCAGAAGGTCAGTGTCCGAAGTGAAACTGGGGGTTCCCCAGGGAGCAGACCCAGCCGCGGGGGTGGGGAGCTCCAGGTGGCCCAGGAGCCAGGGTCATCCTGCAGGGGCTCCGCCAGGGAGTCCATGCCCTGGGAGAACGCCCCTGGGGGTGGAGGCCCTGGATGCTCAGACCCCCCCGGCTCTGGGCCCAGGCCCCTCTTGGCCAAACATTCAGAGGAGCCAGCCTCGGCCCAGGGCCAGGAGGCCTCCCCGGCGCTGGCCCAGCTTCTCCCGGAGCAGTCCCAGGCAGAGGAGCCACTGCTGGGGCCTGGAGGCGTGGGAGCCCCCGCTGAGCCTGGCCGGGACCCCTCCGTCTCAGCGTGGCCCGCAGCCGGGGGCTCTCGCCTCAGGAAGGGGGGCGCGCCGAGGTAGGGCTGGAAGCAGGCGCTGTCATCGGAGTCCTCCTCGGAGCTCGCAGGGTCATCCCGGGCCTCCTCGGCTCCAGCTCTGCTCTCCGACCCCGCCTGCGCGCCGCCTGGAGCCCTTCTGGTCAGTTCCTTCCGGGGACAGAGGAGCAGGGTCTCCAGGGACTCCGGCCCGCTGGGCTGCAGGGTTGCCACGGGACATCTGGGGCCAGAAAACACCTGATGTGGGGACAGGAAAGAGGAGCTGACACTTCAGGCTGGGTCCAGATTGCTCTGGACAGAGACTCAAAGCCGTAGTTTCTCTGGAAAGTGATCTGGGAAGCAGGAGGAAGGGAGCAGCCAGCGAGGGGGAGGGGTGGGGGGCGTTAGCAAGCGAGCAGCCGAGAGGACCGCAGGTGCAGAATCCTGCCAGGGACTCAAGGAGCCACGGGCCATGCACCTTGGGACGGCCCCACCCAAGGGGGAGACTCCTGGGGCTGTACTTTTTTTTTTTTTTTTCTTTTTGAGAAGCAGAGAGAGAGAGAGAGAGATCCCATTTGCTGGTTCTTTTCTCAAATACCTGAAACAGCTGGAGCTGGGCCACACTGAAGCTGGGCCCGTGTGAGTAGCAGGTACCCAGGCACCCACTCACTCCAGCCATCACCGCTGCCTCCCAGGGCCTGCACGAGCTGGAGTCAGGAGCCAGAGCCGGGATGGAGGACACTGGCGTCTTAACCACCAGAGCAAACACCTGTTCCCCTCTCGGGTATTTTCCACCATTGCTAAGGGACACAAGGGCTGGCGGCGATGCTAATTCCCCGATGCCTGCAACCTGCCATGTGCAGTGGCAGAGAGCGAGCCCCAGGTGCAGGTGCTGGTGCCAGAGGCCGAGCAGGCGTGCACCAGAGAAGATGGAGCAGGGCACCTCGCCAGGGTCCTGGAGCCAGGAACACCCCCCCTGCCACTCTGCCAGAATTCAAGGATTCTCCGAATCCATGCTCCATGCCCCCCGCCCAGCCCAGGGTCCACGGCCTCACTTCACAAGTCCCACCCACCTGATCTATCCATTGCTTCTTCCCCGCAGGCCCCCAGAACCCAGGGGAGCCAGGCTGCAGCAGACAAGGGACCCTGGGCATGGCACGTCTGTGGTTGAGCCGTGAGCCAAGCAGGAGCCCTCTGAGACTTCCCCTTCCAGCTTCCCTCCCCCGCTCCCCTTCAGGGCGTCTCTCCTGAGTGCCGCCGCTGGGGGCCTCTGAAACTCTCCACGTGGGCTGAGGCACTTCTGCCCCCTGGAGCCAAGGGGTGCACTAGCAATGGTGGGATGTGCACCGGAAGACAGCCTGAGCTTCCAGCTGGACGACCTGGAACTCAGCCCCGACAGCCTCCCTCCGCCCACAGCCCCCAGCTGCCTCACCAGAGCCTGCGGTGTCTTTGCCCGTTGAAACCAGGGGCTCCCCATGAGACTCTTCCAGATCACACCTCCCGTGGCAACGACCAGCAGCGGCGGCAGAAGAGACGGCATCACCAGGAAGGCCAGGTTGGCTGCTAAGGGGGGAGAAACGAAAGAACCACAGTGGCTCCCGTGTCCCCACAGGCAGAGAGCCCGCACCCACCTTCCCATGTGGAGCAGCGTCTGCGGTGGGCGCCTGGTGCGGCCGGTGCCGCCTCCCCATCACCTGGCCTGCTGCGCCGCCGCTTCCAGCTTCCTGCCGCCGTGCACCCTGGGAGGAGCAGGGATGGCTCAGTGCTCAGGCCCCTGCCAGCCACGCCGGACGGAGTTCCCAGCTCCTGGCTTGGGCCTGGCCCAGCCCAGGCTGGGGTTTTGGGGAGGGAAACAGTAGATGGCACATCTCTCTCTGCCTTTCAAATACATGAATCACTTTTCTTTAAAGGGAACAGTCTTGTTTTTAAAGAAAAAAAAAAAAGAATATGGGGCCAGCACTGTGGTGTAGCAGGTAAAGCTGCCGCCTGCAGCACCAGCATCCCATATGGGCACCGGTTTGAGTCCCGGCTCCTCCACTTCCGATCCAGCTCTCTGCTATGGCCTGGGAAAGCAGTAGAAGATGGCCCAAGTCCCTGGGCTCCTGCACCCACGGGGGAGACCTGGAAGAAGCACCTGGCTCCTGGCTTCAGATCGGCACAGCTCCAGCCGTTTTGGCCATTTGGGAAGTGAACCAGAGGATGAAAGGCCTCTCTCTCTCTCTGCCTCTCTCCTTCTCTCTCTGTAACTCTTTCAAATAAATAAATAAATCTTAAAAACAAAAAGAATAAATACATCATACAGATTGTGGAAACCAAGCTTCAGAGAGGTGATGTAAGCTGCCCAAAGACACACAGTTAGCAAGGTGGAGCTGAGTCTCATCTTGGTGAGGCTGTCTCTTAAATATATATATTATAATATAAGCATATATAAATTATATATGCATATGTATTATATGCATATTATACAAACATATATAAATGTGTTTATGTTTGCTTATTTTTATTTCTTTGAAAGGCAGAGAGAGTGAGTGGGTCACACATGTGTGCACACCCACACACATACACACACACGCCTTCCATTCCCTGGTTCACCCCCTCCACGAGACCCCGCAGGCCCCGGGAGAACACGCCCAATTCGACAGGCCCTTTGCACCCACCTGGGGCCTCCAGGAAAAAGCAGCTGGGCTTGGAGAACTTGCTGTATCTGGGGACAATGAAGGTGTGGATGGTCCTGGCGTGGAGGCAGTGCCAGCCGCTGGCCGTGGGCTGAAGGGGCACCCAGACTGCCTGGCCGTATGGAGTGACTGGAAATGGGATCTGTTGGGAGAAAGAACGTTGAGGGGCAGAGCCGCCATGGGGACCTACTCTGCGGGGCCAGGGCAGGGCGGAGCCCACGGGAGGGTAGGGCGGGCTCCCTACACCTTCTCTTCTGCCCCTGTGTTCAAGACCAAGATCGACAGAGCACTGCCCGGCCCTCCCAGGGCGGGGCAGCCAGGTTCACGAGGAGCCCACCCCATGGCAGGGGTCCCCCAGCCATGGCCGGCTCAGCAGACTGTGCGTGGCCCGTGTGAGCCTTTGGAGGGTGGCCGATCCTGAAGGAGATGTGCCCTGTGCACCAAATACACGGCAGACACCAAAAAGAGGAGGGAAACTGTAAAATAGCTCAGCCACATTCTATTCATTCCTGGGTCCGATGGTTACACTCTGTTGGAGGAAACAAAGTCCACTACGAACGTTAGATGCACCTGTTCCCTTTCACGTTAAGATGTCACGTGTGGGGGCGGGTGTTTGGCAGAGTGGGTAAGCTACCATTCGGGACGCCTGTACCCCACAATGCCTGCACCCCACACCAGAGGGCCTGGGCGCGAGTCTCCTGCTAATGCGCCCTGGGAGGCAGCAGAGGACAGCTCGGGTACCTGGGTCTCTGTCACCCACTTCACAGTAGACGCCCTGTAGCCCACTGCACTTGAGCCAGATTTTATTGATGTCCAGGATCTTGGCTTTGGCTCCTGGCTGTTTGTGGGCATTTGGGGGACTGAATCAGTGAATGGGAGTTCTCCTTGTCTTTCTCCATTTCAAACATATAAATACATGAAATTTTTATAATTACAAATGGGATAAAAACTACTTAAAACAAAATAAAATCACATAGGGACTGGTGTTGCAGCGTAGCAGGTAAAGCCACTGCCTGCATCGCCGGCATCCCACATGGGCGCCGGTTCGAGTCCAGGCTGCTCCTCTTCCGATTCAGCTCTCTGTTAAAGCACCTGGGAAAGCAGTGGAAGTCGGCTCAAGAACTTGAGCCCCTGCCCCCAACGTGGGAGACCGGGATAAAGCTCCTGGCTGCTGGCTTCAGCCTGGCTCAGCTCTGGCCATTGTGGCCACTTGGGGAGTGAACCAGTGGATGGAAGACCTCTCTTTGTGTATTTTTCTCCCCCCGCCCTGTAATTCTGACTTTCAAATAGACAAATGCATCTCTAAAATAAAATAAAATCGCTTATGTGGCCCACGTTATATTATCAACCTGTGCTAGTTCGGAGTATCTGGGAGGTCTTGGAGGCAGGACCCACACCGGATTCCCATCTATGTCCCTAGGATCTGCAGTACGTGGGAGATCGGGGGTGTGAATATTGGCCGAGTGGAAGAAAGAAGGAACGAGGTCAGGGGTCAGTGAAACACAACTGTGGCCCTAACTTGCCTGCGCCCCTATTTTGTAGTTTGTCAGAGGCCAGCGATGCCCACCCCCAGTTCATCTGCACATCATCCGCAGCGCCTCTTGTGCTGCACCTGCAGAGCGGAGTCATCGAGACAGATCCTGCAGCCAACGCCACGTGCCCCTTCATAGACAGAGCGGGCCGGCCTCGCCAGTCTGAGGGTGGGTGGGGCTTGGCTTTGCTCCCTCGAGCTGGTCCGTGGTTTACATCACGAAGCTGGTGCCTTGGCAAGTAGATTCCCTGTAGCCCATCACAAGCCTCAACCAGGGTTTACCGAAAAAACAACTAGCTATTGGGTCAAAATCCACAATGCTGTTGCCTCGTGATGCCGGGTTCCACATCAGGCTAGATGAGGCCAGACCCACAGCTGCTGCATCCAAGGATTCAGTCAGCCACAGACTGAACACATGCAGAGAAAAACGGCTTCTGCAGCACTGCCTGTGACCCCAGTACCCCATATGGCCGCTGGTTCGAGTCCCGGCTGCTCTGCTTCTGATCCAGCTCCCTGCTAATGGCCTGGGAAAGCAGCAGAAGATGGCCCATATGGAAGACCTGGATGAAGCTCCTGGTTCCTGGCTTTGGTCTGGCACAGCTTTGGCCATTACAGCTATCTGGGGAGTGAACTGGCAGATGGAAGATCTCTCTCTCTCTCTTTCTCTCTCTCTCTGTATCTCTGCCTTAAAAATAAATAATATATTTTAAAAAAGTCTCTGTCTTGATGTGCCCATATTTTTCTTGTCGTATTCCCCAACAATACAATGTCACAGCTGCTTACGTGGCACTGACACGGCGCTGGGTGTCACTAGTGCTCTAGAGGTGATTTAAGGTATGACAAAGGATGAGAAGGAGCTGCGTGGAACCAGTCTCATCGGCGGAGAGCACAGGGCTGGGCCACAGCTCACCTGCACGGCACAGTGAGGAATGGGGGTCTATGGGGAAGCCTTCCTGGAGGAGGTGAGCAGGCTGGGAGGGTGAAGAGCCCTGGGGTTGGGAGGGATTGGGAGCAAGGGTTTCCCACCTTGTTTCTGGTGCCTTCCTTCCAGAACTCCACCTCATACTTCAGGTCCAGCGGGGGCATGCAAGGGGGCAGCTGGTAGGTGGCATTGACACTCAGGATCTCCTCCATGTGGGTAAGCAGCAGCGTGGGCGGGGCCAGCTCCACTGGCAGAAAGGAAACAGGGCCTGTGAGTACCCCTGGAGGTCCCAGGGCTTCACCCCAAGCCGCCACCCCTGCCCTCACCCAGCCCAAAGAGCCCGCTTGGAAAGGGAGGGGCAACGCCAGCCTTGGCCAAACGCCCAGCGTGCGTCCTGTGCCTCCCAGCTGTCTCGGGAAGCCTGCGCCAGGCTGGCAGGGGCGTCCCACGGCCTCCATCAGGGACAGGGAGACAGAGGCTTACAGGGGGCTCGGCTCCCCCTTGGCTTGCCTTCCCTAGCCCCTGCTCTGTCCCCATCATGCCCCTCCATCTCTGCTTCCTGGCGCCACTGTGACCGAAGAGCAGGAACAGCAGCCAGCGGCACCATCGGCATCGCTCGGGTTGCTTCCGGAGCCGCGCTGCACCTCGCTCAGGCTGCCAGCAGAGGGCAGCTCCGGGTGGCTGCCGGGCTGACGCCCTTGTTCCCTTGCCGGTTGTTACCCAGAAGCCTCTCCCGGCCGCGGGGGCACCTCACCTCGCCTCGCCCCCACCTTCACACCAGAACCGGCCCCCGGAGTCCTCCTCACGCTGCAAACCTCCCTGCCGTCCCCCCTGCTGCATCGCTGCGGCCTCCGGCTGGGGAGGTGCCCTGCCTTCCTGGGCCCGCAGGATTAGCCTCGGCTCACCCAGACAATTCAGAACCATCTCTCTATTGTATGGTCCATAACCTTAGTTAAAATTCCCTTCCACCATGCAATGCTTTTTATTTATTTATTTGAAAGGCAGAGATATAGGAAGAGAAGAGAGAGAGAGAGAGAGAGAGGTCTTCCATCTGCTGGTTCACTCCCCAAATGGCTGCAACAGCTGGGGCTGGGCCAAACAGAAGCCAGGAGCCAGGAGCCTCTTCCAGGTCTCCCATGTGGGTACAGGGGCCCAAGCACTTGGGCCATCTTCCACTGCTTTCCCAGGCCACAGCAGAGAGCTGGATCGGAAGTGGAGCAGCTGGGACTTGAACTGACGCCCATATGGGATGCCAGCGCCGACCCCTGGCCATGCATGGCTAACCTCCAGCATGTCTGCGGGACCCAGGGATCGGGCCAGACATCTGGCGGGTCAGCTGTGCCCCAGGCCCTGCCACTGCCGCCTTCTTTGATCTCAGACTCTCCCGGCAGGGTTTCGGCAGGTAGAGGTGCTCAGGACGTCACAGGACTTGGGGATCCACTCCATCCGAGAGAAGCCAGGCCCACAGCGCTTTTCCGAGTTGATCCATTTTCTGTTTCGAGCACCAGCTGAGACGGCAGAGGCTTCCAGGAGGGCCCCGCTCTGACGGAGGGGCGCCGTGAGTCCACACTTCACCTCTCCCTGGAGCCGTTTGTGGGACAGACGCTCCAATCTGCTTATCCTGAGGCTTCAGATGACGCTAGTCACACACTTGGCTGTTTCCACGTCACACACAATCCTTTAAGAAAAGATTCATTTTGGGGCCGGCGCTGTGGCGTAGTAGGCTAAGTCTCCACCTGCAGTGCCAGCATCCCATATGGGCACTGGTTCCTGTCCTGGCTGTTACTTCTCTGATCCAGCTCTCTGCTTATGGCCTGAGAAAGCAGTGGACAATGGTCCAAGTCTCCTGCACCCACCCACATGGGAGACCCAGAGGAAGCTCCTGGCTCCTGGCTTCGGATTGGCCCAGCTCTGGGCGTGCAGCCATTTGGAGAGTGAACCAGTAGATGGGAGACCTCTCTCTCTCCCTCTCTCTCTGTAACTCTACCTCTCAAATAAAATTTAAGAAATATTTTTAAAAATTGCTTAAAATACTATTTTTAAAGAGAGATGGGGAGAGACAGAGAAGAGTGATCTTCCATCTCCTGGTTCACTCCCCAAATGGTCGCAATGGCTGGGGCTGGACCAGGCTGAAGCCAGGAGGCTGGAAATCCATCAGGGTCTCCCACGTGGGTAGCAGGGACTAAAGAATTTGGGCCTTCTTCCGCTGTTTTCCCAGGCACATTGGCAGGGAACAAGAGGGGAAGTAGAGCAGCTGGGACTTGAACCGGTGCACTATTATGGGATGCCTACAGATATGGACGCCAGGGTCTCAGGTGGCAGGTTCCACTGCGGCACAACACTGGCCCCCTGGCTTACTTCTGGGAGGAATCTTTTCGTTTCAAAGCCTTTTGCCACCTGGAGCAGATGAGAATTAATTTCCCACCAAGCCTTGGTTCTTTCTGAATTCTTCCCTCAATTCCTCTCTCCTCCCATTTTACTCTAGGCAACAAGAAGCAACCGGGCTGTGCCCTCTCTGTTGTATTCAGAAAGGTCCTGGATAAATACCCAAATGCGCCATAAGTTTTGCTCTCCGCGCCTGCAGGGCTTCCTGCCAGTGTGTGACAAGGACCCGTCTCCACTTGGTGAAGCAGCGCCTTCAACGTCTGCATTTCTCCTTACAACGAGGTTGGCATCTTGCAGGAGATTCGGGCTTTCTTCACCACGCCCCGTTCTTCCTGCAGGCCCTCACCAGCGCAATATTTCACATCCACCTTTCGGTTCAAGACCCTCGAGGCTTGTCCAGTGGTCTGAACTCATGCCGGGCAATGACACCAGGCATGGGGCAGGGAGAGGAAGCTGACCCACATGACCAAGTGCCAGCCAAATGCCACTTCTTCCGTGCAGCTCTCTCTGACTGCCAGCCTGTGTTTGGTTCAGGGTAAACATGTGGCTTTTCCATGACATTCAGGACAGATCTGCTAGGCGCTGACTACGTGTCGAGCCCTCGGGAGGGAGCTGAGGAGGACACAGAGGTGACAACTCTCTGGATGCTGACCCACAGGAGCTGGAAGCCCAGGGAGGAAATGAAATGACCGGTTGACCAGAATCCGAGGAAGAAAGAGGCCAGGGGCGTGGGTGAGAAGGGTTGCTCCGACATCCCTGCTGAAACCTTATTTCTAGGAGCAGCCGTGAGGGGTTTGAGTCAGTACCAGGCTCTTCCCCTGCCGGCGTGGACAGCCACCAGACCACCCGTGGAGGAACGGAAGACCTTGGCTTTCCTGGGTCCTGGGTCTTCCGAGTCCCATGACGCCGCCAGCCTTCCTGGGTCTCCAGCGTGCAGAGGGCGTTTGGTGGCACTTCTCGGCTTTGCACGGGCCAACGCCCATAGTAAACCTCTGATCCCACCCATAGGTGGCTGTTGGTTCTTTTCTCTGGAGAACTTTGATGGATACACCCGCCTGTCTCCACCTGCGCCTGTCACCTTGCTAGCGACATCTGCTCCAACCTCTGTCCTTCCACTCGTCTACCCTCTCCCTCTCTCTCTCCTTCCATCCGCCCACCCAGCCAGCTGCTTCCCATTCAAATAACCTCTTCTTGCTTCTCTGTCATCCTTCATTCAATCAAAGGGATTCAATCAGCCTCCCCCACCCCGACCCCCTTCAAGCCCTGTGCAGCCCTCCAACCTTGGGCACCTGGGCGCCATGTGGCAGGGCAGGGCTCTGTGTGGACACCGTCTGGGAACTTGTCCTCCCCTTGTCACAACTCTCCCCTCACTGTTGAGTCTGGCCCAGGGTCTGTGCAAGGTCAGAGGGATCCAAGGTCACATCTGATATCCACCAATTGCTAGCAATGCACCTTGCAGTTACTCAGCTTTTGTAACTCTTGCTTCATTAAAAAAAAAAAAAAAGTGTAAGGGGCCGGCGTCGTGGCTCACTTGGTTAAACAGCCTCAGCTGTTGTGGGCATTTGGGGAGTGAACCAGCAGATGATTCTGTGTTTGTCTCTCTCTCTCTCTCTGTCTTCCAAATAAATTTAAAAAATATTTTTTTGGGGGAAAAGAAAAGCAGGAGCAAGTATTTAAAGTAGTAGCTCACTGAGTGGTTCATGGTCAAGGTGGTTCTTAACAGGAGCTAACGGTCATCGGTCATCGTGAGCAGGTGCAAGCCGAGCGGCAGGTGAGACTGGAACTCCCCCAACTCCTAAACCATGTCAGGCCATCGGCACGGCCCCTCCTCGCCAAGGCTGGGGCCAGGGTCACGCCCATGGCGGGCTGCCCCTACTCTGCTGAAGTGGGAGGCAGGTGGCTAGGACAGCAACATCGCCAGGCGAAGTCTCTGGACGGAGAGCCGCCCGACAGTCCCTTCCCCACAAACCCACCTTCAAAGAGGTAATCCAGGTATTTGGATTCCACCCAGGAGGACTTGGCGCTGGGCGAAGCCACCCGCACTCGCCCCCTGAACTTGTTGTACAGGTCCTGATTCTTGAGGCACATCAGGGAACACACCAGCTCGCGGGTTCCTGCACACTTGTCCACTCTGCGCCACCTGGGGGAGGGAGAGCTGAGGGCGGGGTGCAGAGGCAGGGTCAGTGACGCGGAGAATAGGGAGCACTCGTCCCTCATTCAGCCCGAGAGCCCCCAGGTCCACTGTCCAGCCAGGCAGCTGCTGGCTGAGACAGAACTCAGGTTCTGAATGCCGACAGACGTGGGTGGGGGTCCTGGCTCTGCCCCTCACTAGCTCTGGGACCTTGGCAGGCCTGGAGCCTCAGTCTCCTCATCCAGAAGCCCTCCCTCCCAGGGTTGTCATGGCAGCTGCTACTGCTGGTGCTGGGGACCGTTTTTCAGGTCCCTGCATTCAGATATTTCTGAGCCAGCTGCTACGCACAGGGCGCTGTGCGGCCGCACGGGAGAAGGCGAGGAAGAGCACTGGGCATCATTCCAGGAGCAGGTGAATCGGCAGTGACTGTAGAAGAGATGAAGGCCTGTGCCTGATGGGCGGGAGATGAGAGACAATGACCTCAACACAAGATGAATGCGGAGGCGGGTGAGCACCCCGATAACACCGGGGAAGATGGGAGGGGCTGCTTCCAACGGAGGGGTTAGACCGTCAGTGTGTGCGTCTGCCAGGAGGGCACAACGCAGCTTTCTGCCCCTGAGCTCCTGGACTCTACTGAATGAAAAGCGTCTGCTCCTAAGAAAAGCCTGAGGAAAACAAGAGACTTTGATAGTCACTTCTCAAAGGAAGCTAAATGAATGTCTAATAAGCACATGGACAGACGTTCAATGTTATTATTCACTGGGGAAATGCACATTACAGTCACAAGGAAATACTACTAGACCTGCTCTAGAGTAAGATGCCCGTGTTCCATGTCCGAGAGCCTGGGTTTGACACCAGCTCCAGCCCTAACCCCAGCTTCCTCCTGACGCAGACCCGGGAGGTAGCAACGATGGCTCAAGTGATTGAGGTCCTGCTCCTGGGAACCTGGGTTGAATTCTTAGCCCAGGCTTGAGTGCTACAGACATCTGGGGAGTGAACCAGGAGGTGGGCGCTCTCTCTCTCTCTCTCTCTCTCTCTCTGTCTCTCTGTCTCTCAAATAAATAAGAACAAAGCATTAAAAAATAAAAAGAGGCTTAAATAAAGGATGGGCAATGTTAAGTGTTGACAAGAACATGGAATAACTAGAATTCTCTTACATGGTGAGAGTACATGCTAGTTTCTTGCAATGTTACACACTCGGTCATCAAACTTCCAGATTCTACTCCTAGATCTCTACCCAAAGGAAGTGAAAACACATGTCTAGGGTCCAGCGCTATGGTATGGTGGGCTAAGCCTCCATCTGCGGCTCCGGCATTCCATATGGGCGCCAGTCCTGGCTGCTCCACTTCCGATCCAGCTCTCTGTTATGGCCTGGGAAAGCAGTAGAAGATGGCCCAAGTGCTTGGGCCCCTGCACCCACGTGGGAGACCCAGAAGAAGCTCCTGGCTCCTGGCTTCAGATCAGCTCAGCTCGGGCCATTGTGGCCATCTGGGGAGTGAACCAGCAGATGGAAGACTTCTCTCTGTTTCTCCCTCTCTCTGTAACTCTACCTCTCAAATAAATAAATAAAATCTTTAAAAATAAACAAAACATATGTCCACACACAGACTTGTACATGAAGTTTCATAGCAGCCTATAATTCTGACTATCTCTATTGTGGACTGAACTGTGTTCCCCAGATGTGACTATATTTAAAGAGGTAATCAGGGTTAAATGAGGTCCCAAGGGCAGGGCCCTGGTCCAACAGGAGTGGTGTCCTTAGAAGAGGAGGAGAGGCCGGCGCCGCGGCTCACTAGGCTAATCCTCCGCCTAGCGGCGCCGGCACACCAAGTTCTAGTCCCGGTTGGGCACCGGATTCTGTCCCGGTTGCCCCTCTTCCAGGCCAGCTCTCTGCTGTGGCCAGGGAGTGCAGTGGAGGATGGCTCAAGTCCTTGGGCCCTGCACCCCATGGGAGACCAGGATAAGCACCTGGCTCCTGGCTCCCGCCATCGGATCAGCGCGGTGCGCCGGCCACAGCGCGCCGGCCGCGGCGGCCATTGGAGGGTGAACCAGCGGCAAAGGAAGACCTTTCTCTCTGTCTCTCTCTCTCTTTCACTGTCCACTCTGCCTGTCAAAAAAAAAAAAAAGAAGAAGAAGAAGAGGAGGAGGCACTGGGAGTGCCAGCACCGAGAAATGGCCATGTGAGGACACGACAGGAAGACGGCCACTGAACCTCAGGAGAAGCTAAGAGACCTTGGCCATGGACTTGGAACCTCCAGACTAGGAGAAAGCAAATCTCCGTTGTTTCAGTCACCCAGTCTGTGGTACTGTCAGGACCACCCTCACAGAGGACCGCACATTGTGGTACCAGAAGCAGGTGCTGACGTAACAAGGACATAAAAACGTGGGGGCGTCTTTGGAACAGGGTAAAGGGTAGAAGAAGCCTGGATGGCCTTAAAGAGACGGTCGGCGGGAACACAGACATTAAGGAAGAGTCCTGTTAGGCCTCAGACGTGAAGGCAGAACAGGTCTTAGTGCTGGAACCTGAGAAAAGCTGACCCTCGCTATAAAGCGGCAAAGAAGTGGGCCGAATTGCGTTCAGTGTTTTGTGGAGAGCAGACGTTAAAAGAGACGAACTTGGATATTTAGCAGAAGAGTTTTCTACGCAAAGTGTTGAAGATGTGGCCTGATTTCTCCTTACTGCTTAAGAGGGAGATGCAGAAGAAGAGACAGGCTGAAGGAATTGCTTAAAAAAATCCTCAGCCTGTCCGTACTGCAGCAAACAAGCCAGTTCTGGAGAGAGCCCCAAAGTGGCGGCTGGAAAATCATTTGATAAAGAGATCATGGCGCTCCTGGATCTTATCATCCATCTCAGCAGAAGCCAGAAATCGAGATGGGATTAACTTGGCAGAGACCCTGCCAGCTTGGGCTGAAAGGGGAGGAGCAGGAACGGATCGGACGCAGACCCAAACGGGTCCTGTGGGAGGGTGCAGAGCTGCTGGGCGGTGAACGCGTCTGTCTTAGCCTTCCGGAGAAGGGAAGAACCTGAAGGGCACTCAGGATTCAGCAGGGCTAGCGTTGCTGCCAACCGCCTGGGGGCCAACGGTGTCTTAGTTTCAAAGGTTGGGGCTATCTCCTCCTGGCTGCTGCAGGCCAGGCTGACCCTACACAGGGCCTCAGGGTGGGGTCGCCCCCCTGGTGGGCCTGGGGGGCTGAGCACTGAGCCTTACACCTAATGGATTTGCTTTCCCAGGTTTTTGACTTGCTTGGGACCTGCATTCCCTTCTTTCTTGTCTTCCCTCCGTGCCATGAGGCGTGTCTACCCTACGCCTGTCCCACCATTTTTTTAAGATGCAAATAACTTATCTGCTTTCACAGGTTCAGGTGGAGGAATTTTGCCTCAGGAATTTTATGACTCACACCTGGAGCCACACCCACACCTGCTTTAGATTATGCTTAAGTGAGACTTTGTACTTAGGGCAGATGTTGGCACATTCTTGAGGCTGTCTGCCCAAGTTCATCTTGTACAAGTCCCTGCCTAAACCTACCGTCAGCCATACTTCTACTTAGTAGCAAGTGGTCTGAAAGACCTTGGGGGCCGGCACTGTGGTGTAGTGGGTTAAGCTGCCACCTGAAGTCCGGCATCTCATAAAGACGTGGGTTCAAGTCCTGGTTTGCTCCACTTCCGATCCAGCTCCCTGGGAAAGCAGTGGAAGATGGCCCAAGTCCTTGGGCCCCTGCACCTATGTGGGAGACCCGGAAGAAGCTCCTGGCTCCTGGCTTCAGTCTGGCCCCATCCTGGCCATTGTGGTCATCTGGGGAGTGAACCAGTGGATGGAAGATCTTTCTCTCTCGGTGCCTCTGCCTCTCCCTGTCTGTAACTCTGCCTTTCAAATAAATCAATCTAGAAAGAAAGAAAGAAAGAAAGAAAGAAAGAAAGAAAGAAAGAAAATCACCTTGTGTATTTTGTGTATGAGAAGGACATGGCTTTTGAAGAACTAGAGAGCATACGGCAGCCCTAGCAAACCAACACCCACCCCCGGCTGGAAACAACCCAAATATCGCCAGATGGAAAAAATGGATAAACAAATCGTAGCACACTCACACAAGGAAATACCACTCAGCAATCAAAATCAGTGAGCTACCAATATATGAGAGGTCTTCAAAAATCCCGTAGAAAATGCCTGTGATGGAAAAGCTGTCCATGGATTTCAACATTTTTTCCCACCAAAGTAAACTGATACGAACTTGTCACAGCGTGTCTGAACAGGATGTAATCTGAGGCTGTATGCAGGCCAGCACATCAGTCTGAAACTGTCCTTCTCAGAGCAACCCGCATTCTGCTAACATCTAAAGCAAAACTAATCAAATGCACTGAGTATCAAATGTACGGGACGCCTGGGTGGAAGAAGGGTGACATCCCTGGGGCCGTGCCCTGAGAAAGCAGCAGGGTTTGATGGGGGACTTGTTTCAAGCAGGGGGAGGCGATGAGGAAGACGAAGCCCACGGCAGCAGGCCGCTCAGATCCATTTACGAGGAGAAAAGTGAATCGAGCTTGTGCCCTACCCGACGAGGACCAACACTCAGCAGCCGAGACCACAGCCGACGTCACGGGCGTCTCAATGGGCTGCAGCACTAAAGTGGGTGCCAGCACGTTGTGCCCGGATCAGGCGCCCGCAAGAGCAGAGCAGAGATTTTTATTATGCAAATGCGATCAAGATCCGGAAGCACCTGTTTGGAGAACTGTCACTGGAGATGAGAACCGGCTTCTCCAGCGAGACCCTGAAGACAAGGCACAATAGAGCAACGGCTGCCCAGGGGTGGACATGGGCCAGGCAAAGCAGAAGCAGATGTCAAGAGCCAAGGTCATGGCGACAGGTTGCAGAGGGAGGTGGTCAAGTTTATTGACTTTCTGGAGAGCCAAAGAGCAGTCACATCTGCTCATTAGAGGCGCGTTAGAGGAAGTGAGCAAAGACTCCAGCAGAAAAACCGGGCGAGCTTCATTAGAGTCCTCCACCGCCACACGCTCCTGCTCCTTCCTCCCACAACCAAGGGCTATATTTTTTTTTAAAAGAGTTGCAATGGGGGGGTGGGGGTGGGGGTGGGAGCAGTGCTGTGGCATAGCGGGTAAAGCCGCTGCGTGCAGTGTCAGCATCCCATATGCGTGCCATTTTGAGTCCCGGCTGCTCCATTCCTGATCCAGCTCCCTGCTAATGCACCTGGGCCCAAGTGCTCGGGCCCCTGCCACCCATGTGGGAGACCAGGGTCCTGGCTTTGGATTGGCCCAGCTCTGACATTGTGGCCATCAGGGGAGTAAACCAGCGAATGAAGACTTCTCTCTCTCTCTCTCTCTCTCTCTCTGCCTCTGCCTTTCAAATAAATAAATAAATTGTAAAAAAAAAAAAAAAAAAGAGTTGCAATGGGGCATCATTAGACATCCCCCTTACAGTCCTGATTTGCCCCCATCTGACTTCTTTTGTTTCCTAATCTTGTTTTTTAAAAGATTGATTGATTGATTGATTGATTTTAAAGGCAGAATTACAGAGAAAGAGAAGTCCTCCATCCACTAGTTCACTCCCCAGATGGCTGCAACAACCAGGGCTTGGCCAGGCTGAAGCCAGGAGCCAGGAACCCTCTGGATCTCCCACGTGGGTGCTGCCTTCCCAGGCACGTTAGCAGAGAGCTGGATTGGAAGCGGAGGAGCTGGGATTCGAACCGGTGCCCATAAGGGATGCCAGCACTGCAGGTGGTAGTTTAACCCATTGTGCCACAGCACCCGCTCCTGTTTCCTAATCTTAAAAAAAACTTGAAAGGGCACCGCTTTGATTCAGTTATCGATGTCAAGATGACCACATTATCGTGGTCAGAGTCCCAGAACCTCCAGTTGTTTAGGGACTGACTAAGTGGCTGGTATTATTGCTTAGAAAAGTATCTTGAACTTGATGGAGTTATGTTGAGAAATAAAATGTATATATTTTTAAGCTTTTAATTCCAATTTTCCATGAACTTTTTTGAAGTCCCCTTATTTTAGAAACATTTTGCTGTGATCATGGAGCCAGACATGAAGAGGTGCACGCCGCACAAATCCATTTCCATGAAATTCTGGAACATGCGCTAATCTGTGTCAGCGAGGGAGTCTGTGGTTGCCTAGCTCTGGGTGGGAGGGGGGTGGACCTGATGCAGAGGGCAGGGAGGGCACGTCTAGGCGCTGGAGCTGTTTGATTTCTTGATGATGGCGGTGGTGAGATAAGGGTGTACATTTGCCAAAACTCATCACACTGTGCACTTCAAAATGGGAGCATTTATTCTACGTAAGTTGAAACCCAATTATGTTGATTGTAAAAGAAAATGAATCAATTCAACCAGGCCGTGGTAAGAAATGTGCACTCTCAGATACAAATCTATCGGCTAAAAGGGGATTAAGGTTTAAGAGAAAAGTAAATGTCACCGAGGAAGCGAATGTAGATGACATGTTGCTCTCAAACACGAAGTATACGGAATTTTAAACAAGTCAGGAGTGAAATCTATTTTATGTGGAGACAGCATAAATAAATAAATGGGATTTGAGGGGAAAAGACAGATATTGAAGACAGAAAGAGATCCAAATACAGATAATAAAAGAAGAAAATCAAAACAGTGGAGCAGAAAAAAAAGTAAAAACTATAATTTACTAAGTGTCCTGGAATAAAGGTTGGAACTATGCAGTAACAGACTATTGAGTACCTGTAGATGTCGGCTTGGAGGAGTGGCTGTTTTGCCTGGCAGGTAAGGTGCTGGCTAAGACGCCCGTCCTCGCGGGAGAACCTGACGCCTGTACCTGCAGCTGCTTCTGCCCCAGCCTGTTGCTAAGGCGACCTTGGGAGGCAGTGGTGACGACTCAAGGGACTGGCTCCCTGACACCCACGTGGGAGACCTGGATTGAGTTCCCAGCTCCTTGCTTTAGCCTGGCTCAGTTGGCTGTCGCAGGCATTTGGGGGATGAGCCAGCGGATGACAGCTCTCTCCCTCTCTCTTTCTGCCTCTCAAATAAAAACCAAAATAATAATAAAATATCAACCCAGAATAAATGACCAACATCAACACATAGTCTAGTGAATTTACTATAGTTTTAAAGAATTATTTATTTATTTGAAAGGCAGAGGGGAGAGAGAGAGAGAGCTTCCATTCATTTGGTTCACTCCCCAAATGCACACAAGGCTGGGTCAGGCTGAAGCCAGGAGCCTGGAATGCAATCTGGGTCTCCCATGTGGGAGGCAGGGGCTTAAGTACTTGGGCCATCTTTGGCTGCTTTCCCAGGCACAATGGCAGGGAGCTGGATCAGAAGTGAGTAACCAGGACACTAACCAGCTATAATGCCATAACGCCAGCCCCGAATTTACCATATTTGAAAGCAAAAGAGACAAACCCCTGGGCAAAGAGAGCAAGTAACCTAGAAGACGTCACCATGTTTACTTGGAGAGAAAGAAAATGAGTAATGAGTGATTATGAGTCATTTTCATTGTATCATTTTCTGTGTCCTTGAGAACAGGGCACAAACGGGAAAAAACACGGGCATTTAGCCTGTCTTGCCTATCTGAAGAGTACCACTGGTTAGCAAATACTCTTTATAGAATAACTCCAACTAATGAAAGAGTCAACATATAATGAGAATACTTCCACTTCGTGGCAAACACTTGGCTCAGGGGTTAGTTGCTACTTGGGAGACCCACGCCTGATACCCTGTGCCTGGTTAGAGTCGTAACTGCTCCTATTCCTATCCAGCTTCCTGCTAATGCACACCCTGGGAGGTAGCAGATGATGGCACAAGTGCTTGAATCTGCCTCCCACATGGGAGGCCCAGACTGCATTCCAGGCTCCAGGCTTCAGCCTGGCCCGGACTTGTGTGCATCTAGGGAGGAAACTAGTGCATGGAAGATACCTCTCTCTCTCTCCAATTTTAAAATAAAATGAAAACACTCAAAAAATCCTAGCTCAGGGCGGGCGCTGTGGTGCAGTGGGTTAAAGCCCTGGCCTGAAGTGCCGGCATCCCACGTGGGCACCAGTTGGAGTCCCGGCTGCTTCTCTTCCAATCCAGCTCTCTGTTGTGGCCTGGGAAAGCAGTGGAAGATGGCCCAAGTCCTTGGGCCCCTGCACCTACATGGGAGACCCGGAAGTGGCTCCTGGCTTCGGATCGGCGCAGCTCCGGCCGTTGCGGCCAACTGGGGAGTGAACCAGAGGATGGAAGACCTCTCTCTCTGTCTCTACCTCTCTCTGTAACCCTGGCATTCAAATAAATAAAATAAATCTTTAAAAAAAATCCAAGCTAAAAGAATAAACAAAACAAAACAGAGGAAGAATGTCACCATTTTGCAGTCCTCACAGTGTCTGTAACACGGGAGACCAGTATCAAAAGGTCCAGAGGACGGGGACTCCGCCCCTACGCCTGCCGCACTGCTCCGGCCCTGTGACTCAGCCAACTACAAGCGCTCTTCATGAAGTTCACCCAAAGTGTGTGTTGGGAAAAAACTACGCATGGATTCCACAAGATTTCACACCCAGACAAAACTTCCCTTTTCATTCTGTTTCCCACACGGGTTTTGTGTCCCCGGGGACATCTCGTGTACGCGGCAGACACGCGGTGGTGGCACCGTCTGCCACCTGTCACCGCTCGGCTTTTGAGAGCCCCCTGCGGCTGGCCCTCGCCGGAGCCAGCCCTGTCGCTCAGAGCTGCAGCTGCTGAGGCTGGGGCTCTCTGGGGCCAGGCAGGCTTGGGTTCCCCTTCCGGCGCCATCACAGCCCCCTGGGACCCCTCCCGTCCCCTCTAACACGGGAGAGACAGTGCCTACCCTTGCTCTTGGGAAGAGGAAGTGGGACACTCACAGGCGGCCCCCAGCCTGCGGCCTGGCCCTGGGTGGGGCCCGAGGACGTGGCTGTTCCTCCTCTTCCTGCTCCCCTGCCTCCCCAGGTGCCCCTGAGTCCCGACAGCTGCCTTCCATCACGTCAGTCTCCCACTGAAGACCTTCAGACAACCCCACCGAGCCCGAAGGTGGTGCGTCTGCACCCGTCTCAGCCTCCCCTGCGCTGGTCGTGGCTGTCTGGGCTTCCATGTTGAAGATGTTGCTCTGTGGGGACAGCGTGAGCACCTGGCCATGCCTGAGTCCCTAACTCCCCAGGGGACGGCGACGGTCCCCTGGCCACACTTGTGTCCTCACCAATCAGCGGCAACAGCCAGAGTGCGCAGGAATGCGGTCCCCTGGCCCTCCCAGCTCCACCCAGCCCCGCTGCCGCGCCCAGCAAGCCTGTCACCGCAGTTTCCTGCCCAACAGCATTCTTGCCTCCAGACTTTTATCAGCAGCCCCTCTCCAAATACCTGCCCGTGCCATCAGCCACGGACCCAGAGAACTGTCGTGTGCGGACCACGCTGAAGGCAGCCAGCCCAGAGGGTCCCCACCCAGCGCCCGGGCTCCCCTTTGCCAGCCCCAAGCTCCCCTCTACCTCTGGTAGGCCACAAAGTAGGTCACGTCCTGGGGGTTGCCAGGGCCTGGGAGCCACGTCAGGTACACGCTGAAGTTCTGGGAGAGCAGCGACACGTTCTGGGGAGGGGCCAGAGCGGGCCTCCCTGTGGGGCAGAGAAAGGACATGGAGCTTGGAGTTCCTGCATGGTGCGCCTTGGGCCCCTCTGCTACGGAGCAGTGACGGGCGGCCAGGTGCTGGCTGAGTCTGAGGACCCGAGGGCCACAGAGCAGCTGGGCCGCAGCTCCTGCCCCTCCCCAGGCCTCAGCTCCCAGCTGAGCCACCAGAGGAAGCGCCCACCCACCTGGCACCGGAGGGTTGCAGCAGAATGCCCGGAGGGTCCCCCATAGCCTGCCTGCCCGCAGTGGCCCGGGAACTATTTGTGGAACGAATGAACACTTCTTAGCATGCTTTGCCTTCCCCCAAAGGCTTCCTGACTGGCCTCCCTGTCCCAGCCGTGCGTTGCTGCCCGGGCACTGGGAGTGGAGCCCCTGGGGCGGGCACTTGGCTCAGCGGTTAACACGCCTCTGCATCCCAGATCGGAACATCTGGGTTTGGGTCCCGGCTCTGCTCCTGATCTCAGCGTCCGGCTAACGTGCACCCCAGAAGGCAGCAGGAGACGGCCCGAGTGGTTGGGTCTCCGCCGCCCACATAGAGTTCCTGGCTCCTGGCTCTGCCCTGGGCCACGCTCGGCTGTGGCAGGCATTTGAGGAATGAAGCAGCAGATTGAGGATCTGGTCTGTCTGTCTGTCTGCCTTCCAAATAGAACGCAAGCAGTAGAGCACTAGTGGGTGGCTGCAGATCCTGGCCGGCCTGGGAGCGCCTCTCCTGGCCGGGCTCCCACTTAAATGCACCACTCAGGCATTTCTCTGCTGATTGAAAGTGACCCTCCACCCCCTACCCCGTCCTGTCTGCTGTCAGCCGCCATGCGCAGGCTCTCTCGCTTGACGCTTCCTCCAGCCTCATGTGACCCTGAGACAGGGACTGCTCTCTCGACCCACGGCCCCCCACCTCACCCGGCACCTGTAAGTTCTGAATCTCTGAGCTGATGGCCTATCCTGGCGGGTATTGAAGGTATGCCTTCCACTTTAAGAACCAGGGGCTTTCGCTGGGACGTCAGGGAGAAGCCCCTGGGCCAGGCGAGAGCCCCAAGGGCATCTGCCAGGAAACCAAGTTTCCCGTGTGAGAAGCCCCGGGTCACAGGCTGGACAGGCAGGTATGAGGCCGTCCACCAGCTTCACAGGTGTCCCGTGAAGGGCACATGGAAAAGTCCACATGCAGCTTCCTTCCCTTTCCTGCTGGCGTGGGACTGCCCACGCTCCAGGACTAGAACCCCTGTTTAGCCGGGAGCTGCCCAAACACCTTGTTCCGCAGTCCCTGGTCCATGCAGCAGCCAGGCTAACGCAAGAGTCGGACCACGCCTCTCTTCTGTTCAACCCCCACCAGACGCTGTGCCCTGAGCTCCGAGGCCCCGCCCAGTCGGACCTGCTCCTCTTCCCCTGCTCCCTCCTCTCCAGCGACACCAGCCTTCCGGAAGCACCCGGGGCCTTTGCACATGTGTTCCCTCTGCCTTCAGAGTTCTCCCCCGGGTACAGACCTGGCTCTGTCACTGTCCTCTGACGCCTTCACTGACCATGAGCCCCTACTTCCCCTCCCCGGCCCCTCCTCCCACTGCTCTCCTTTTCCCAAAAACGCACGGGCTCACTCCACCCCCCGATTCCACGCGCTTCCATTGCCCTCAGAATAAAGTCCACGCTCCTTATCGATGTCTGTGAGGCCTTGGCCAGTGCGGCCTGGCCAGGTCATCGGGCTGATCCCTTCCTGACGGCTTCCCCGGGGGCTCACCAGGCTCCGGCCAATCCCCCAGGAAGTGGTGGTGGTGAGGAGGAGGAGAAGGATGACGGCAGTAGCCGTGAGCCGGTGTTCTCTCATTTAGTCCTCACCAAACCCCCTGGAGACAGGGACTTATTAAGATCATCCCACTGGGGCTGGCGCTGAGGCTTAGTGGGTAAAGCCACCACCTGCAGTGCCAGCATCCCATATGGGTGCTGGTTCGAGTCCCAGCTGCTCCACTTCCACTCCAGCTCTCTGCTATGGCCTGGGAAAGCAGTGGAAGATGACCCAAGTCCTTGGGCCCCTGCACTCATGTGGGAGACCCGGAAGAAGCTCCTGGGTTCTGGCTTCCGACTGGTGCAGCTCCAGCCATTGCAGCCAACTGGGGAGTAAACCAGCGGATGCAAGACCTCTCTCTCTCCACCTCTCCTCTCTGTGTAACTCTGACTTTCAAGTAAAATAAATAAATCTTAAAAAAAAAAAAAGACCATCCCACTACAGATGGGGAAACTGAGTCCCTCTCCGCTTAAAAGTCCCAGGCTCAGCATTCAAATCCAGGCCAAGTCAGGCCCTTGGGCCACTTCCTCCCCTAGGTTCACATGGGTCTGTCCAGCTATGTTCTTTCATCTGTTCACCGTTGCAGGCCAGGGCTGTCAAAAAGGCGCAGGGCTCCTCCTTCCCTGCCCTAAGGGAGCTCCAACAAGTCCCTGCACTCGTGTGGGAGACCTGGAAGAAGCTCCTGGGCGGGCCGCGGGGAAATCCACTCAAGTTACAGGACGGCCATGGGGAGGGAGGGCCAAGTGCCCCCGAGAGCCCACAGAGTGGCTCCTCAGCCTGGGCTGCCAACTCTTGACCTTTGACACGCAGAGGTGGGGACTGGGGGCCTTCCACGCCTTCCCGTGTCCTCTGGCTGGAGCCACCTCTCGGGATGCTCCCAGCTCCTGCACTGCCTGGCAGGTAACAGGCAGGCCAGGCCGTGTGCAGGCTGCTTGTAAGGGACCCCGTGGGCGGGGCAGGGGCCTGGTTCGAGCTTGGCCACCTGGAAAATCGGGCGGCTAGAGAGCTGAGCCTCCAAGGGCGCCGGACACTGGTTTGGCACTTTTTACACAAACCTCCTGCAGGCTGCAGCACAGCCGCCCTGTGGAGTGGGCTGGAAGGAGGCACTCAAGCAAGTGTCAAATGCATTGCCCGGGCTACACAGCCAGTGAGTGTGGGATTTGCACTCCACCCTACACCATCCAGCCAAGGTTTGTGTTTTGTCCGTGATAAAACCGCTGGGTCAAAGTTCGGCCAGACCCGGCCGGGAAGTCTGTTGGGTCTGACAGTGAAACAGAGGGACTGGGGATCCCTCCCCCCAGGCGCAGGCCAACTGTCTCTCAGCAGGTGTAGAAGCACTGCTGTGGAGGTGACAGGGGCGGCCTGGCAGGTGACAGCCCTGCAGCCGCTGCCCACCGCAGATCCCATGCCCACTTCACCCCTCGCTCACTCCAGCCCCAGGACGCTCTGCTCTGTGCGTCTCACCTCTGCTGTCTTCTTGGGCAAGCCCCCGCCCCTTTTAAAAATATTTATTTACTTGAAAGACAGAGTTACAGAGAGGTAGAGGCAGAGACAGAGAGAGGTCTTCCATCCGCTGGTTCACTCCCCAAATGGCCTCAATGGCCGGAACTGGGCTGATCCGAAACCAGGGGCCAGGAGCTTCTTCTGGGTCTCCCATATGGGTGCAGGGACCCAAGCACTTGGGCCATCTTCTACTGCTTCCCCAGGCTATTAGCAGAGAGCTGGATGGGAAGTGGAGCAGCTGGGTCTCAAACCGGAGTCCATATGGGGTGCCGGCACCCCAGGTGGTGGCTTTACCCGCTACGCCACAGCACCAGCCCCAGGCAAGTCCCTTAACACTGCTCTGAGCCTCAGTTTCCCCATCTCAAAAGGAAGAGTCACGGGGCCTGCGCGGTGGTGCAGTGGGTTAATGTGATGCAGTGCCAGCATCCCATAGGGGCACTGGTGAGAGTCCCGGCTGCTCCACTTCCGATCCAGCTCTCTGCTGTGGCCTGGGAAAGCAGTGGAGGATGGGTCCCTGCACTCGCGTGGGAGACCTGGAAGAAGCTCCTGGCTCCTGGCTTTGGATGGCCCAGCTCCAGCTGTTGTGGCTATTTGGGGAGTGAACCAGTGGATGGAAGACCTCTCTCTCTCTCTCTGCCTCTACTGTCTGTAACTTTACCTTCAGGAAAAAAAAAAAAAAAAAAAAAAAAAAAAAGGAAGAGTCCCATCGGCCTCAGCAGTCAGGCAGGTTTGGAAGCGAAAGCAGCACGCCCACACAAAGGAGCTGCTCGGCTAATGCTGGTTTTCAGAAGGCACCGGTCTTTAAATTGCGAGTTTAAGATCGGGAGGCTGTTGGGGAGGGTGATCTGAGGACCTTCTCCTGTGTGGACGGGCTGGAGTCATGGGAAGCTGAGGGTCAGGGCTTGGCTCCTATCCCCAGGTACAGGGGGTATTTCCAAAAGTTTGTGGAAAGTGGACTTAAAATACAAGTTTATTCTAGTCCAAATTTATTTTCAACCATGCATATAAGGGGTCTTGGCAAAGTTCATAGAAGATACATACGGGGCCATCATTGTGACGCAGCTGGTATCCCATACGGGCACTGCTTCGAGTCCTGGCTGCTAAGCTTCCAATCCAGCTTCCTGCCAATGTACCAGGTAAAGTGGTGGGCGATGGTCCTAGTGCCTGAGCCCCTGCACCCATGTGGGAGACCCAGATGGAAGTTCCAGGCTCCTGGCTTTGGTTTGGCGGGGCCCTGGCTGTTGGGGCCATTTGGGGAGTGAACCAGCAGATGGAAGACTTCCCTCCCTTCCTCCCTCCCTCTCTCTCTCTTTCTCTCTCTCTTTCTCTCTCTGTGTTTGTCTCCCTCTCTCATTATAACTCTGCCTTTCAAATAAATAAGTAAACTTTAAAAATACATATTATGAAAAAGCTATGCGAATGTAGGCTTCAAAAAAATTTTTTTTGCACCAAAATGAACCTACCTGTCACTTCCCATGGACTTTTGGGAGTGCCCACGGATCCTGTATCCTGCCACCCTGTTCACCAGGGAGGGTTCAGCAAACTGGCCTCAGGTAAGGCCAGAGCCCCCTGCCCCGCTACGGAAGGCTTTCTGGGGAACCCGAAGGGACATGGGCCCGGGGGCAGGGCGCGTCCCGGTCGCTGTCCCGGAAACCGGTGCCCCTGCAAGGAAGGCAGCCCAGCCTGGGCTTCAAGGCCCGGACTCTTCCCCACCCCGTGGCGGGAGCTGGAAACCTGAATTCGGTTCCCCCTGGACAGAGATTCCTAGGACCGCGCTGTGTTCAGTCCTAGGGGGCGGCAGGGCCGACGGGCACCCGCGCCGGGCTCCGGTGGCGGTGGGCAGGCTGCGGCCCCAGCCCCCTCCCCGGCTCCGCGGCCCCGCGCCCTTACCTGGAGCGGTCTGCAGCAGGCACAGCAGCAGGGAGGCCCACCGGCAGGCTCCTGCCATGTCCGCCCGCCCGGGCACGGCCGCCCGCCGGCCCGGGGCCCCGACTCCTCCCTCCCGGCTCGGCTCGCGGGCCGGCAGGTGACGCGGGCGGCAGCCAATGGGAGGCGGAGTCGCCCGGGAATTACCTGGGGCCTCCCCAGGGACCTCCCCGCCGCCGCCGCAGCCACCGGGAGGGCGCCCGGGCTCGGGCTTTGGTTTCGTCTGGTAGGACGGGGAGAAACTATCATTAATAACCACAGATGTCTCTGGCTAACGCCCCAGCAGCTCGCATGTCTTTATCTTGACTCATTTCTGTTTTTTTTTTTTTTTTTTAAGCTAATCAATTAATTATTTATTTACTTTGTAAGGCAGAGAGTCAGAAAGAGAGCACTCATCCACTGGTTCTCTCCAATGCCAGCCACAGCAAGGACCCCGCCAGCTGAGGCCAGGAGCCTGGAACTCGGGTCTCTGATGTGGGTGCCATCGACCCAGGTGCTGGAGCCATCCCCTGCTGCCTCCCCCGTGCGCACTGGCAGGAAGCTGGAGCAGAGCTGGGACCAACTCCACGCCAATACGGGGTGGGTGTCCAAGTGGAATCTTAACCTGGGCACCAATCGCATGCCTCTCCTTTCTGCTTTAAAGCCCGAAAACTTCCAAAGCACTGATGTCTTTCAAAGTCATTTTTCAGTTCTGTTCCAGTGACAGATGCCATTGCCAGCCACCGGTGCTGGTCCAGACCCCACAAAGCAGTGATGCAGGTGCAGATAGATGGTCCTGGAGTGACCCCAGACCACTGTCCTTAATTCCATTGCTAAGATCTCTGTTCCGGAGGGAGCTTAAGCCTCATTACCTCCGTACACCATGTATGTGAGAGCGTGTTTAAGATCTGCATGAGAAAAGTTCCCCCTTACATGTTCATTCCCCAAGCAAAATAAAACGCACCTGCTTTTCTCAGGGAGCCGCGGCTGTGGGAATGATTCCCCGGGATCTTCCGATTTGCAGCAAATAAAAATGACTTTAGGTACCAACTGCTCCCGGTGAAGGTTTTGATTTCTATTTACCAAGAAGCCAACTGGCTTGGGTAATGGTTAGGTTCCAACATGGGACTTGTCAGCCGGGCCAAGAGGTTCCAGGCCAGTTTCACAGCAGCCTCAGATACCACCTCTGTGCCAGATACCAAGCCCAGCGCTTCACACAGCATCTGCCTTAATCCTGGCCGGGATCCGGGGGTCAGCTCTGTTAGTCTCTGCAAGCTCTCCAGCGCTTCACGGACGCGTCTGGGGGAAGCTGGCCTTCTCCCGCCAAAGCCTGTGGCATTAGCAGGAACAGTGATCACCTCCAGGCTGGAGCAAGGCACACTCGGGCTGCAGCCACTGAACAGGAGGCTAGAGAGGGCTGTGCGGCGTCGGAAAGTCAAATCCCAACAAATCACTTTGCTTTAATGATGCGATGCTAGAAGCAGCTCACCCTCATGCCCTGGAACGGAGGGAGTGATCCAGGGCGCTGAGCAGGGAAGCGTGGTGTTGTGGACAGAGAAGGACCGGGGAAAGCAGAAACAAAGCACGAAGCGCTGAGCGGGCCTTTCAAAGCTGCTGCCCACCTGGGCTGGAAGGCAGAGCCACAGGAAAGCGACCGCGGGCCAACATCAGGTGGTTTGAGGTTACTTCGGGAGTGTGACGATTAACGCGGGAGCTGTACTGTTGCGCCAGCTGAAACGGGCCTGGGTGGGAAACTGGGCTAATTCCTCTGACTTCTCCTGATTTCTTGGAAGGTCAGGTGACAAGGTAGCTTGTTTGGTTTGATTTTTAATCTGATTGATCGGGGCCTAGTATAGAAGCCGTGTCTAAAACAGTGGCCTCCTATAATTTTTTTTTAGGATTTTATTTATTTATTTGAGAGGTAGGGTTACAGACAGTGAGAGGGAGAGACAGAGATAGGTCCTCTGTTGGTTCACTCCCCAAATGGCTGTAACGGCCAGAGCTGTGCCCATCTGAAGTCAGGAGCCAGGAGCTTCCTCTGGGTCTCCCATGTGAGTGCAGGGGCCCAAGCAATTGGGCCATCCTCCACTGCTTTCCCAGGCCATAGTAGAGAGCTGGATCGGAAGAGGAGCAGCTAGGACTAGAACCAGTACCCAAATGGGATGCCGGCGCCACAGGTGGAGGATTAACCTACTGCACCATAGTGCCAGCCCGGCCTCCTATAACTTTTGGTTACCAGTAGTGACACAGAGATGTTTGCAATACACTGAGAGCAGGAAATCAAGTACTAACACAGGGGCCCACTGAGAAAGCCTGTGTGTGTGTGTGTGTGTGTGTGTGTGTAAGAGAGAGAGAGAGAGAGCGAGCAAGCGAGCTGTTGGCGTAGACACAGATGTGGAAGGATTCCTCCCATAGGTAAACTGTTGTTATCTCTCTGTGATAAGGATTTTCTTTTTACACTTTCTTTTTTTTTTAATTTTTTTTTTTTATTTGACAGGCAGAGTTAGACAGTGAGAGAGAGAGACAGAGACAGAGAGAAAGGCCTTCCTTCTGTTGGTTCACCCCCCAAATAGCCACCAAGGCCATAGCTACGCCGATCCACAGCCAGGAGCCAGGTGCCCCCTCCCGGTCTCCCATGCGGGTGCAGGGCCCAAGCACTTGGGCCATCCTCCACTGCACCCCCGGGCCACAGCAGAGAGCTGGCCTGGAAGAGGAGCAGCCGGGACAGACCCTGGCGCCCACATGGGACGCTGGCACTTCTTTTTATCCTTTGCTCTTTCCGATCATGTTCAGTTTCAAGGTTTCCAAGAACTCCTGTGCATTGCTTTTCCCGCAGTCGGTGTCAGTCTGGCAGGAGCCACAGCGGTCACTCAGTGAGTGTGTGATTGTGCATCTTCACATCCTGGCCCTCACACCTGAGAAGACTGCCCCGGGGCTTATGCAGTTGGTAGGTGCTGGGGTCGGGGTTTGGGCCCAAGCCCGCAGCACGGCCTCTGCCGGCGCTGTCTTTACTCTCTGGGAACCAGTGCCCGTGGGCGGCTGTGACGCAGACACGTGGCAGAGGGGACCCTGTTGCACACACAGGCTTCTGCCTGGCTCCCACCACTTCTTGGGGGAGGGGCCAGAAAATGCATTCCTGCAGGGTCCAGTGGATCTGAAAGTTGCTCTGAGATTGGCCCTGGAGTCAGGCATTTGGAAGTCTCGGGGCGGTCAGGACTTCGCCTCCATCAGTTTCTCACGGGGGCTCTGGGAGGCCGGGCAGGTGGACGAGGCCTCTGTGGGACGCGCATGTCAGGCTCTGGGGTTGAAAACCAAGAAATCACAACTATGGTGGAACTGAAAGTAGAGACAGTTTTTCTCCTGGGACGGAAGAGATTTGCACACCAGGAGATACGGGTTCAGTTAGAAACCAAGCACATGTCCCATCCAAGATCAGGGGACTGGGGCATTTTTTTAAATGTTTATTTTAAATTTATTTTCATCTATTTGAGAAGCAGGGAAGGGGATGGAGAAAGAAGGAGGGAGGGAGGGAGGGAGAGAGAGAGAGAGAGAGAATCTCCCAACTGCTAGTTCACTCCCCAAATGTCTGCAAGAACCAGAACTGGTCCAGGCCAAAGCTGGGATCCAGGAACTCCACTCGGGTGTCCCACATCAGTGACAGGGGCCTGGACTTGAGCCATCAACTGCTGTCTCTCAGATGCCTCAGGAGCTGGGTTGGAAGTGCAGAAGCCAGGACTCAATCCCAGGCATGTTGATACAGGATGCAGGCTTTGCCAGTGGTGGCTTAACTCATTGCACCACAATGCCCATCCCGGGGCTGGGTTTTTAAAGGGAAAAGGAGGAACAGCAGGAGAAGTGAAGCAACTTATTTTGGACAATGTCTGCTTGGCCCTGTGGGTTACACAAGTGGCTGGGAGTGGACTTAGATTGGTGCTGAGGGTTTGCTCAGACAGAAGAGGCTATGGGGCCATGGGGCCATTGCGAGGGGGTGGGCAGGAAGCAACCAGTCTACCAGGAGAGGCAGCGAGTCAGCAAGTCAGCGGAAGCCCAGGGATTGGGGACTGTCACCACCGCCATCAGCACACTCTCTCCAAACAGGACCCTTTCTCTCGAAGCTGCAGATCACGGCGCCGTGTCTCCTTCCTCTGAGGCTCGCTGAGACTTCTGACTTCACCTCCGCTGAGCCACGGCAGCTCTCCCAGTCCCGGCGGCCTGCTGAGCTGGCTGGGAGCCTTAGCCAGTGGGGACCCGGGTCTGTATTTGCCACCTGCTGAGCCAGCCCCTCTGCATCTGACACCTGCTGTTTCCCACAAACTCTGTCGCCTGTTCCTTCTCCCGGCTCTCCCATTCTGCGCTCTGTAATTTCTACTTAGGAAGCTGTGTGTCCGGATGTCTCAGTCCTTTGAAGAACATTTTGTAACCATGAACAAGTTGCATCTCTCAAAGCTTTTTTAAAAATGACCCCTATAGGGCTGGCGCCACGGCTCACTAGGCTAATCCTCCGCCTTGCAGCGTTGGCACACCGGGTTCTAGTCCCGGTCGGGGCGCTGGATTCTGTCCCGGTTGCCCCTCTTCCAGGCCAGCTCTCTGCTGTGGCCCAGGAGTGCAGTGGGGGATGGCCCAAGTGCTTGGGCCCTGCATCCCATGGGAGACCAGGATAAGTACCTGGCTCCTGCCTTTGGATCAGCACGGTGCGCCGGCCGCGGCGGCCATTGGAGGGTGAACCAACGGCAAAGGAAGACCTTTCTCTCTGTCTCTCTCTCTCACTGTCCACTCTGCCTGTCAAAATAAATAAATAAATAAATAAAATAAATAAAAATTAAAAAATGCCCCTATAGATGCAGTTCAGAAATCTCAGCCAGGTACCACGACCTGGCCTCTGCCGAGGTCCTCGGTATACTCGCTGCACCTCAGTGTGTTTCCAGGTATCTCAAATTATGACAATAAGTCCATTCTGGAATAAAATGAATACACCTCTGATGACGGCTCTTTAACCAAAGCAGCCCACAGCACTACCACTTGCGGCACTGCACAGCGGTTTCTGTGTGTTTTAGTGCTTAACTCTCCCAAGCACCCCCGAGGCGGCCATCACGCAGATCCTCTTTCGAACAGATGGAAGTCAGAGGTTACATGGCTTGTGTAGGTCCAGCTAAGTATAGTGATGGGGCTGTGGTCTGGGCTCCCGTCTGTCTGCCTGTGGTTTTAAAACTTCTGCTACTC